ATTACTTATATTAGTAATAATTAATTTAATAATTAGGCCTTATATATTATTAATTATAAGCTTATTTAAAGTAGCTATTTATAATACAATTTAAGAGATTAATTATAAGTATAAGTATAAGTATAAGTATATATATAGTAGTTTTTAGTTAATTTTAGTATTATTATTAGATTTAGTAAAAGTAAGGCTATTTACATAAGATCTTTACTACTATATATATAAAATTAAAGCAGTAATAATAATAAAGCCTAGTTTATATCTATTATATAAATAGTCTATATCTTAGTAATTACTCTTTTTAATCTTTATAAAAAGGGATTTTCTATTTTCCCTCCCTAGGGGGCTATTGTATAGAGCTTTACCTGTAGCGCCTTTGCCTGTAATGCCTTTGCCTAGTAGTGCCTGTACTTCTAGTAGCTCTTTAAGGACCTTTCCGGAGGACTTTTCAAGGACCTTTCCAGGGGAGTCTCCTAATAGGTCCTCCGGAGGTACTTTTGCAGGAGCCTACTAGTGGCCTCCTGCGCAGAGGGCAAACCTTACTATACTTAATGCAACTATATATAACTATTAGTATCTATTACTTACTCTATAGTTATTAATCTATTACCTGCTAGCAATAGAGGTACTTTAAGATTTATTTTTTATACCTTATTATAATAACTTTACGTTTTTAGGAAAGACCCTGTAGGTCTTAGACTGGCTAATGGCTAGTCTAATTAACTAAATCTAACCTATAGCTAGTTAGTAAATTCCTTAGTAAACTCTATTGCCTTTACTTTAAAGAGGCAAAGCCAGAAGGTGCCCTTTTTACTTTATTTTTAAGTTACTCTTTAATTATAGCTTTGCCTAATTAGTATTTAACTTAGCTTTTTAAATAAAGGTTATAATATAATATTAGTTAATAAGTAAAGAATATTATATAGCTAATTTTAGTACTTTAAATATATTACCCTTATATATTATTAAGTTAAAAATATTATTATAATATTTTAAGTATATAAATAGCTTTATAGTAAGTCTTATAAAAATATTAATAGTAAAATCTATATACTTAGTTAAAAAAAAAGCTATTAATTAAAATTATTTATATTTTTCTTTATTAACTAAGATTTACTTTAAGGCCCTGATCTAATCGATATAAACAGGTATACTTAATACAGTCCGTACAATTTACAGTAACTTTACATAACCTATAGGTACCAAGCTAGGCCTATTAGGTCGGTTATGCAGGCTATAGGGCCTGACTTTGCAAGACAGGCTAGTTACGTGACCTATAATCCGGATATATTAGCATATAGATCGATTATATATGCTTATTTTGCTATTTATTAAAAACAAGCAGGTAATATAAATTGTGTTTTTTTAGTATATTTTTTACTATTTCTATCTTAGGCCTAATAGACCTAGCTTTCTAGGGCCTAGCGTAATAAAGGTACATTAATCAGGCTTGTATAACTGACCCCTGTTAAATCGTGTACTTAGGCCAGCTGTAACGTATCGAGTGTGCCGTTCGTATCGATTGGATCAGGGCCTAAGCCTTTAGTTTCTTAATGTCTAAACTTAGGAGGATAGCCTTCCTCTATGGAAACAGGCCAAGATCAACAGGTGCATTGCGTATTTGATCCTCCTGTATCTCCTGGATCAAACCTTCAGGATAATCCTCGATATTAAGATCCATGTATCCGCGAGGAGCCCATTTCCGCGCGCAGACAAAGAGCGTCTTTCCATTGATACTGGTATCAGATAGGATCCTCAGCGCGCATTCACCAGCATCTTCGGCCGTCGCAAACTCAACGCCTGAGTTTTCAACTTGGTCGAATTGATCTTTCGACAGGATACCCGTGCGTATGTACCTATAGAATGAATTAGCTAAAGACTCCAAGTTTCTCGGGATGGAGAGTAGCCTACCATGGCGCAAGAACATTCACTCGGCTTCTATAATAGAATGATGTTCTTCTCAGAGCATGCATTATTCCGCGGACCGCCCACTTCGTACTGCTGTACTCTGGACATCTGGGGACGTCGAGGAAGCCGGCGCCTGAACTGATAAGGATCAAGCAGGTATCATCTTGGTCCTCGTTGACTTCAGTGCCATTCTGGGATACGAAATAGTGCATGGCTAGCTTTGACGTATAAAGCGCCCCCTTCAAGTTTACATCGATAACCTGCAAGTCTGGCTTCTGCGGTTCTTGGTCCTTACCTGCATAGATTGATGTGAGAAAGCTGGATGAGACAAGGTGGTATGAAGTTCTTACCGTCAAAAGTAAAAGTCTGGTCTCTTTTAATCATCCCTGCATTGGCTATCGCGTAGTGAATCTTCCCAGAAGAAGATAGTTGAGCGGCTTCCCTGAATAAACGAACTTGGTCCTCCCAGACGGTTGCATCACATTGAACGAACTTCGATCCATCTAATTCGGAAGCCAATCTCTTGCCAGAGTCAGCACTCTTGTCGCCGATGACGACCTTTGCTCTGGTCCATGTTAGTATTCATTTCATGTAAGTCTAATGGATTGCATACTTCGAGTTGTGTAAGGCCCTTACGTATGCCTCTCCGATGCCATTAGCGCCTGAGATGTTAGCTAACCTATACCATGCCATTCATCTCGGTGACGCTGACCTCCGGTAACAATGGCAACTTTTCCAGCTATTTGATCTTTGTTGAAGTCGGTATTACAGTTGACGGTGGATGAGATGCGGTATGGAGGCATGGTGAAAACGAAATCTGTATGTGGTTGTGAAAATATGATACCCTGGGATGATTTCTGTGTTTTGGAAGTATTGGTGAGAATGGTTTTTGATGAAATAGCTTTTGCAGAGCTCTTAGTCTACTACTTCATTCAGTCTTATAAAACAAGTCTTAAACGCCACTTACCACCATCCATCTAATACTCGATGCAGACTTATGCGAGTTGATGATATCGTCAAACCTGAAGCTCTTGCGATCCGTCATCGGACCGACTTCCCCGGCTGTCAGACTCATCCAATGATGAGCCCAGCGTACGAGACTATAGCTTAATTAGACGCACTAATGCAACCTGCTGACAGAGTGGAGTTAGCCATTCCCGCTCCGATGGAGGGATTCACGTGCATATCGTAATGACGCCTCCAGAACCCGACGACTTTCTCTCCTGATTTATCCCAGGAATTCTCAAAAGGTATCACATAATTCTCTCATAGTCAGCCATATACATCGATCTATCAGCACCCGGCATATACAGCACCATGTCAGATCCACAAAAGATCGCCATTGAACCAATGGCCCAGCAGCTCCTTGTCCAGAAACCCGAGGAGGACTGGACTGGGGTTACTAGTACTGCACAACGACGAAAGCTGCAGAATCGGCTGAACAAGAGGTCTCAGTGTGAGTGCACCCTTCTAAAATGTAATCTGGGGCCAGCCTCTTACACAATACGCTCTTGGCAGATCTCAGAAAGCGTCAACGACAGGAACAAAACCGGCTTGCTTCCAATATTGTCGGTCAAACTGGTCTACCTGCCGAGTCTATGCCTTCGATAGCGCTCGCTCTCCAAGTTCCACCGGACGCCATGTTTGAAGTCATCCGTCGAACTTGCGAAGTTTACGAGAGGCCGGATATAGGCGAAAGAGTATTCGCTGTCGCGTGTAAGACTTATATGGACTATACCATGAACGCTCCTCGAATATCCCAGCTTCCCCTTCTGATTAGTCTTAACGTTACGATAGCAGTTGCCAATAATGCTACAATATTGGGGTTTGATCGTGCGATTATGTGCATTGATGAAGCTATTTCACCGTTCAACATCAATGGACCTTTTAGTACAGATCATAATCCTCCGAGGGCGCTCGAGCCTACAGAAGTTCAGAAGACTGTGCTGCATCATCCATGGCTCGACATATTTCCCTTTCCCAAATTCAGAGATAATGTAATTCTGGCGGCAGATGCTGAATTGCTGGACGATGGAGAGTTATGTGAGGATATAGCAGAGATCAACTGGGAGAACGCCGTGAAGCCAAGTCTGATTGTATGGGGAGATTCTTCAGTACCAAATTCCTGGGAGGCCTCGCCTTGGTTTCTGAGGAAATGGGGATGGCTTCTTCAAGGGTGCCCTGAGCTTATAGAGACGACAAATAGATGGCGGCAGAGTCGAGGGGAGAAGCTACTGAAGTGGAATAATGAGTAGTACAGCTATCTCCATAGATTCATCATGGAGCTGGTGATTCTTCCTAGCTATGAAGTCGCATATATGTCGTGACTGAGGACAGAATGTCAGTAGTGAAACTATCAGCGCCCTGCGTTAGTGTAGCCAACTACGCCGCATTACACTGCAGCCACTCCATGTAACACCCTAACAAACCTAGGTAGTACGATTCTCTTGAACCTTCGGTCTTTTAGAAACTATCTTGGGGACGATTGTAGAGCGAAGTCGACCTACAGCTGTGACAACTTGCTTGTTCCAGGAGGAAGAGCATCGCCGTCGCGAATTCGGCATCGCACAGAGGCGCTGTTGCGAATTTGGCCGCTCAACAATTGGATACGGTCGTGTGGCCCAATGGCAAGGCGTCTGACTACGAATCAGAAGATTCTGGGTTCGATCCCCAGCATGATCACATTTTTGCCCCCTAGTGATTATATAGTGCTCCACTTGGTGCACTCATAGCTCGATCAAATTGACTAAGGTAACCAAGACAGTCCATATCCTACCCGTCAATCTTACAGGGCTCACTCTGGAAGCTCAAGTAGCTTTTACTTATGGCTTCCTCTGACCCCTATTCAAAGCTGAGCTTTGGGCTTTCCACTGTCACATACGATCATACCCACTGGAGAATTCGGGATCCCGTCTGCTCTCCCATAGACAAGCCAGTGAGGGGCGGATTAGTAGTTGGCTCGGTGACGACCAGCGAATACCCGCTGTTGTATGTTTTTGTCGATGAAGCCTTTGCTCTTTTTGACTAGATGCTCTTTGCGGAGCTACGAGCTGTCTATAGCACAGCTCCACGTTGCCGAAGTTATAGTACACGTTGATAAGCCAAGGACTTGCTTCCTGCTATATTGCGCTAGAAGAAGCAACATCTCTCTCTCGTACTTCCCAACTTCTATTCTAATCCTCAGTGTTACGACGAGTCCATCGGATAACAGCTGGGTTCATAGGTCGAGAAAACATTGACTTGAACAACGGTTAGTAAGAACACTTTAACACCAGGAGGGGCACTTACCGAATAATCTGGCGCAGGAAGAGGTGCCTTAGGATCAGGCTGCTCAATATGAAGCAGTCTCACAAACGTTGCAATAATAGCACCAAGCTGTGCATACGCATAGTTCTCCCCTACGCAACGATGCCGTCCCGCTCCAAAAGGTAGATATGGACTACTGACAGACTTGTTCATCATGCCGAAGCCGTAGTCGACTGTCTCCCCATTCTTGGCATCATCAAGAGATTCAATCTTATCCCAACGATGAGGATCCCATTCCATAGGTCTGGGGAAGAATTCCTCGGATCGTGCTTGTGTACCCGGTGAAGCAAGGAGGGTATGAGACGGTGGGACAACCCAGTCCGTGCCGGGAACTCTCATGGGTGACTTGACCTGTCGGAGAATAGAGTGAATAGGGCTATGGAGACGTAGAGTCTCCTTGATAACTTGCCCATTCAGGGTCAATTTCTGCAGATTCTCCCACGTCAACGGCTCTTGCGGTGATCCCAAAACCTGAATTTGTTCGTCGTAGAGTTCCTCGACGAGATGCGGTTTATGCGCAAGGTTGAGCAGAAGCCAAGCGCCACTAGCAGCTGTGTTATGCTGTCCTCCCATGAGAATAGCAATCAACATCCTCGCTGCATGATGATCCGGCAGATCCTCACCATCTTTATACTTAGCATTCATAAGCGTCCAAACCATGTCAGTCTCATCACCTTGATTGCCCATCTCGCGACGCTTGCGAATAATATCGCTGAAAAGCTCTTCCATGACCTTTCGCGCATGATCGCGTCGGAAGTTCTGTGGCAAGGGAAGGCCGGGCATGACGAAGTTGATAGGCTGGAAACCGTCGTCGAGATGGCGGTACAGCGTTGCGAATGTGCTGTCGAACATGGAGCGAACTTCGTTGCCGAGGAGAGACCCTGCTGCGGTGTAGATTGTGATTTCGGCCATTACTTCGGTGATGTTGACGATGCCAGTGTTTCCTTTGAAGTAGGGTGAGGTGGCGATGTAGTCCTCCATTTCTTTGACGAATTTAGGGATGTAGCATCGTAAAGAGTCAGTCGTGAGACCAAGTTTGAGAAGCTACCGAGGAACCATGAGCATGTCGTTCTTCATATCACGTCGGTCAACTTACCCTCTTCTGATCCATAAACCTCGCATTAGAGCAATCATAAACAACCTCCTTCCCAAAAACAGGCGTCGTAAGCTTCCCATATACATCCTCAGCATTAAGATCCGCATGCTTCCCATTCAAGATAAAATCATTCCCCTTGGGCCCCAGAAACACAGTCGTCGATTTGCCCAGCAGGATGAACGTGAAACAATCTCCATACTTGGCCTGACAATCGAAGAAGAATTTATACGGATCGATTCCATACTGGACCGTGCTGCCGATAAGTGGAAAGATGTGAAATACAACTGGAGGGCGGTGAGGATTCGGGAACCAGAGCTGTTTGATGACGTTGGTGATTGTCGCGATGACAATGATGAGAAAAGCTGTTATCGGGATTGATAATGTCAGCGGAAGAGACCGCCAGTTGCTGTAGAGGGCGTCCATTGATGATGCCCTCGATGCGCAGTCGTGATGAAAATTTGGAGGGTTTCTCAACAAAAAGAAATTGGTGGTCAGCACTATCGAACGATTAGGGACCAATCTGGGTCAAGAGCAGGTGATAATGAGTCAGCCTTATCGGAGTCCTCGGCAGATGATCTTGTTCCTGAGAGAACAGCGCTAAAATGGCCCTCACTAGTGATGATCCCTGCCCAATCACAGGTCAGCCTCAGCATCTGAGTTTGCGTGTTATACATGTCCCAATTCTCGCTCCAAACCCAGAGAGATCCTCTCGATATTAATTTGTTTAATTAAAATGGTATGATATTAAGCGGTTATTGAGAGACTAAGGGAAGCCTACTTGATCAAAGTTGGCCTCCCTGACTCAGACCCGATCAGCACTCTCCATTGGCCATATAGATAGCAACGATCCGCTTCTTCAATGCATTGCTACAGATGTTCCCGGTTCAGACGCATTGGGACTTGACTAGTAGTATAATTCGCTACATCGAAAGCAAGGTGGATACTGCTATTCATGTCTAAAATATATATAATGGTAATGTATGCAGGAAACAGTGCAACAAAACAGTCAGCACTTTCATTCCCAGTCCCTACTATTTCACCTAAACGCCTTTTCTTAAACCCATCATAATTCACACTAGACAACATGACCGGCACACACTCCATCATCACTCCCGCGATTATGTACTGGGGAACTCCGGTCGCCCTCATCACCACATGCAACGAAGACGGCTCCGCCAACATCGGCCCAATCTCCTCAGTCTGGTGGCTCGGCCACCGTTGTCTCCTCGGCCTCGCCTCAGGATCTCAAACCACCCTCAACATCTTCCGCACCAAGCACTGCGTCATCAACCTCCCCAGCGCCGACATGGCGCACTACATCAACCCCATCGCGAAAACCACCGGCACACCTACCGTCCCTCCCGGCAAGCACGACCGCGGCTACACCCACTGCAAAGACAAGTTCGCCGCTTCAGGTCTCACCCAACACGCCTCTGATCTCGTGCAGCCGCCTAGAATCTCAGAGTGTCCTGTGCAGATGGAAGCAGAACTTACGAATAGCATGGACTTGATGCAGGATGTTCCAGATCGGAAGGGGCTTGTAGTAGCCATTGAGGTCAAGATTCTGAGAACACACGTTCGGAATGATTTGAGGATGGAGGGTTATGCTAATCGGATTGATCCTGATCGCTGGAGACCATTGATCATGAGTTTTCAGGAGTTCTACGGTCTTGCACCGTCAAAAGTCGCCGAGTCGAGACTCGGCACTATTGATGAGGAAAAATATCGCGCTTTTACTCGCTCGGATGTTGTGAAGCAGGGAGGAGATATGGATACATTTGTCAGTGAGACTGGGCGATAATGCCAAGGCACCCCTCTTTAGCGATCATCCCTGTCAAGAGAGCTCGTGTGACCACTAAATCAGCCTGTCGATCTGCCTGTAGGCATGTTCACAGCACAGCCGCAGTGGAACCAGTTTAGATAAATGCCTCGAATTGTTATTTTTCACCTTGTAATAAACTCTCTTCCGTTTATAATCTTGACGTTGGCGATAAATTTGCAGCAATGGAAACCGATATCTGTCCAGATGGCGATACGCGCACTGAGAAAGAAATGGTCGTCAAACTTATAGTCGCCCAATTCACAGCCGTCGTTGCCTTTTGCAATTGGCAGTCCCTTCGCAACGAACGACTCGATACCATCGAGCCAGTCCTCTTTTTTCTATCACCCTTGATAGTAGTTGCACAAACAGCCCTCGGTGTCGCCATTATCAACCTCTCATTTATTTTCGACCTGGCCCAGTCGCCTAAGTCCTTTCATTTCCATCTTGAAACTTACGCGCGACGCTGGAATACGCTCTTTGGAAAGAAATCTTCACCACCTTGGCGAACACCGACGGGTTCGTTAGAAGCAAGGAAGTCTCGGTTTGGAAATGCTTGGATACGACTTGGAAGAGTGATAGCCATCTTTGCGACACTGTTTCAATTTGTGGCGACGATATTTCTCTACTGGCGGCGGAAGGATCTACATGGCTGGGAATCGCTCTCAGTCGTTGATCATCGAACATTAGAGCTAGCCGTCGGCGGCGCCACTGTTTCGATCCTATCTCTTGCACTACTTTTCAAACTTCCCGGCTCCGGAGAGATGCCGGATGCGCTGTACATCCCAGAGCTTAAACCAGATCCCGCTGTTATCTTCTGTCGCGGCGATTCGCGCCGTTGTCCGAGCTGGTATCAAATCCTCTATGCTTCTGATATCGGCTCAGCTACTTCAGCTTCGACATGGCTTATATGCGTTCTATCATCAACATACAAAGGCGAATCGATTCCGTTTAACTTCCTATCCGAGTTCTACGAAGGGATCTACACAGAATTCGCCCGCGTATTCTCGCTCCAGATCTCAATGCCGGTATTTTACCTCTGCGTTGCAGCCTTTTTCGCAGCATTCTTCATTATCCCGAATATGTATAATGGACCAGGCTTTAAGAGCCTGCATACTCTCTGGACCATCATACCAGCTCTGGTTGTAGTGATTGCTGTTGTGATTACTTTTTTCTGCATGTTTATGCTCATGATCATGCCAACTGTTTTGGTTCTGATTCCTTCTCTTGTCAGTGGTCCTGGGTCCATCCTTACGATGAAGGGGTATGAGACTCGTGCGCTGTTTTCGCAGCCGCCGTTTACACCGGTCTTGAATGAGACGGATTGTCTTTTGCTCTGGAAGGACTCTGTGGCAGAGTATTTATGGTCACTTGTATGAATGCTGAAGAGGAATTGTCTGTATAGAAGATATATGCATTTTGAAGCTTAAGAATTGAGGATGATATGTCTCCGTTCTCTTGATATGACTATCCACACTGATAAACAGGAGTTTCCGTATTCCAATAAGCATACAAGTTCTTGTTCCCCTTGCGGTCAATCCTTCGCTGTCTCCGACTCTCCTCCTTCTGAACCTTTTCCGTAAATCGATGCTGAGTGGCGATGAGTGAACGTTGCTCAGATGCAGATAGGTGCATCAAAGCACTCCGGTCGCCGGCACTCAGGTTTCCGAGTTGGTATGTAACCGTAGCCTTCTGCCGCCTTTCTCGTCTCGATGAAAGCCTGGTGTCGGAAGTACCAGGTTCATTCTCCTCGTGCATAGGAGCTTCCTCATCAACCTCGACAGAGGAATACTCGAGCTGAGACCTGGGAGTCCGCTTGCGGTGGCGTGCTTGGTAGATTGATGGCTCAACTTGCGCTGATGACTTTTTGGAGATGAGTCGGCCGGAAGGCAGACGGATGGAATCGCGATCAGTCTGCACCGGCTTCTGATCGGGTTTGACCTCTTCGCTCTCAGACTCCTCGTCGTCGTCTTTGCTCAATGCGTCGTTTTCTGTATCAAGATCTTGGCGCGAAAAGTCGTAAAAGTCGCCAAATTCTGATCCATCTGACACGTCGAACTTGCAATGGCCTTTACCCATCATATGCTGCTGCACGGCCTGTATAGTTGTTCTGCTTGTCCCGCAATGTATGCATTCTCGATACTCATAAATAACAAGGTGAAGATACCTCAAAAGTGTCTCGAGATCTACCAAGAGGTGCTGCTTGTAAGGAACGAAGAGGCCATGTGAAGTCTGCATGTGAATGATGCTTTCGGCTAGTGTCGGGTAGACAGAAGAACAAAAGAGACATTGGCCTGGTGTGAATGATTGAGGTGCCGAAGCAGACTCGTTGATAGACATGATGTATGGTGTTAGAGGGCTTGTCTCTTGGGATAAAAGTAGGGTCATGGAAGAGGTAGTAGTTGTTGCACTAGTGGTGGTTGCTCCTAGCATGAGACTGAGTAGTCGAGTGTTGACAATGAAGTCGGAGAAGATGCTTTCTGAAGGCTCAGGTCCTGTGAATGTTCTCGTTGATTGTTTTTTGATGACCTTGATTTATGGGTAGAGCATGCAATCTTTATAGGATTACGCATTGCTTTGGGATTCCAGATTCTAAGTGCAGCTCCAAATTTGGTCAACATGATTGGGGGATTGAGGTGAGTCAAAGGAATGGGTCTAGCTCTTTAGGGTAATCGCCATGATGATTCATAGTGATTGAATCCCCGGCGGGGCCGAGACTCCTATCTTAACACAATTAGCTGGGCTCATGACGAGGATCTGCTAAGAGATATGTCACCCTCCCGCGCCACCATGGATTTTCGGAATCGACTCCACGGGCCCCCGGACCCGAAGAGCGACAATCTTAGGTGTCGCCATATTCTTTAGCAATGCTTCATAGCCCCAATTGACTTCGTTCCAAGTGGGATCAATCGCCTATCTTAAAATATTATTATTCAGATACATGTAAAGAAGAATTCTGAAAGTCAGTACTGTTATTATTGCTAGGTAAAGAAAACCCATTCAAACTGCGCCCTTGATATGATCCCAACTCCTTGACTCCCAATTATTTTTTCCATCACGAATCTCTTCTCACTATTCTTGGACCACTCGCTCAAAGATCGAGTCTACATGGGCCTGGACCTTATCACCCATCTTCTCCCTCAACCCAACCAAGACCTTCTCATTATCCGCAGCCTCACTCTTATTATCGACCAAAAACACACCACCAGCAGATCGAGCCGCCTTACTCAACACCTCAGGGACCGGTGTCGCTACCTTCTCAGTCTCCTCAACAGTGTACCTCGCATTAGTCGCATAAAATAACGCCCGCGCGCCAACATCCTCAGGACTAGCAAAGAACAGCCCTCCAAGCGGCGTAACAATCCACTGGAGCAGAAATCCGATAATACCACTTGAACCTCGAGAGAGCAGTGGTGTAGCTGTTAGACCGGGGAAGGCGTGCACGAAGCTGATCTTGGGGTTCTCCTTGGCGAAGCGCTCGAGGGTGAGAGTGAGCATGGTGGCTGCTTGTTGAGCGGCTGAAGCGACGCCGAAGTTGCCTGGTTCGGAGAGGTCGAGATCATCTTCGATGAGAGGGCCTTCTTGGCCGCCGGCGAGAATGTTGGTGACGTGGGGGTTTTGGCTGTTGTTGAGAAGAGGGAGGAGGACTTGGATGGCTCTGACGCGGCTGTAGAAACGTGTTGTCAAAGAGGGCTCCAGCTTTTCCTTGGTTTCTAAAGCGTGTTAGTAAATGGCCATATCAATTGATCAAAGGAAGGATTTACCTTTTCGACCCTCAAAAGACATGAAACCAACAGACATGAACAAAATGTCAATGTTGGTCTCCCGCTTGGCAATCTCCTTCATCGCAGCATCTGCTTCCTTGACGAGAGAGACATCGCGCTCAATAAATTCAATTGTGGCGGAGGGATTGCTCTGTCGAAGTTCTGCGATGAGTGGTGTAGCGGCTGAAGCGCTTCGACCGACGATGTAAATTGTTGGTGATTTGCTATCGGTAGCGATTGCGAGCTGCTTGATTGTGCTGCGGCCAATACCAGATGTGGCGCCGAGGAAAACCGCTGTGAGATTTTGAGGGAGAGATTGGGGTAGGGCTGATTGGTTGGATTTCTTGATTGTGTTGATTGCGACCATTTTGAATGATGTCAATTACTGTGATTAAAATAAACACTGGTGGATGTAAGTACTGAAGCTTAGTGTTTATAGATGCTGAATGTTGATGAGAGTGTTGATGATGAGACTGATTTCGACGAAGATACCCTTCACTTTAATACCACTTCACCTGCACTCAATCCCGTCATTTCTGACAATTATCATCTCAAAGTCAGCCTTATTCGCGGGAATCGGATATCCGTCGAACAGCGTAAGCACTGGGAGTTTAGCGCCTGGAGAATCCTGTCAGAAATGTCACCTTCATCTGATTGGCCGCGCAAGAATCCTTTCGGTCTTCTTGGCGTTTCCCGAGGTTTTAGTGCGTCGTGATAAGCTTGTGATTGCTGACTACCCTGCTGTCCCTCGTGCTGCGGATATCCGAAAATTCATTTTACGGATGTTGAAGATATACCGGGACTTCAAGAGTAAATATGCCGTAGAGTGATAGCTGTTGATCTTCGGTGCTAGACTAATGCAGATCTACCAATCATCATTCTTATATTTCTTTCTGTTCGCGTCTAGAACTTTCCATTTGTCAAAACCGTCATGCTTCGGCGGTTTATGCCATTTATCATTTTTGACCCCCCCAAACTTCAACTGTCCGCATGGCCCATTGCTGAAAATGAACCACGGCGCCGTAATCGGATCAAGCGCCTGCAGGTCGGCCATGTACCTTGCATACAGCGGCTGAGCCCCGTCCATACACTGCCGCCAGTTGACCGTGATGTACAGATAGCACTTGTGTGGCGCTTTTCGTATTGCGCCGGGGGGTCTTCCCCAGAAACTGACGCGGCAGTGTTTTCGCTTCATGCATTCGTTGCAGCAAGCGACGCGATCGCTGACTTTTATCTCGGTGGGGTTTACTTCATGGTCTTGGCGGGAGAATTCTTTGATCATGCGTTTGTCTGACGGATTCGCTCCTGGTGCCCAGGAGAGATAATTGGAACTGTTCTGATCGCAGACTTGGTAGTGCGTCTTTTGGGGAATTCGTCTTTCCAGTGTGACTTTATGCATGTTAGCTATAGAGAGTAATTCATGGTGTCATACTTACCTGACTCATCGGCTGTGATAGTTTTAGTCACGTTGGTAAGTGCCGTCTGGATGGGATTGACAGTGGTAGTCACCGTAGTAGCAAGGCCTGCAGGATATTGAGTCTCGTTGATAGCTGTCCAGACCGTCACTGTACTTGTCGTAGTATAAGGTCTTGGAAGAGCTTCGGTCTGCGCTCTGAAGCTGGTGGTGGTCACGGTTGTCTTTATCCGCATATCATCAGTGCAGATGAATAACAGAGTATGTGAGAACAGCTCAGCGGCAAACCCGACCGTTGTGGTTGTCTCCTGTAGCTCTGAAGATATCCTTTCCATATTATCTCGAATGGCAGTAAAGCCAGGTTGTCTCCCGATCGTCGTTGTAAAATATGTCGTGGTCGTGATGGTATTCCTGTTCGTCTCTGTCTTCGTCATGGTTCTGTTTGGTTAACAAAGCTCAGCTCTTTGCCACGAAGTCAGTAATAATAAACAAAAGTATAGAGTTTAATATTTACTGGTAACCGTTATGATGGCTATTTTGGCTTCAGGATATGCAGTGACTGTAGCCAGCTTCGTGAATGTCGTTGTGATAGTAGTTGTCTTGGTGATACCGACAGTGGAAGGGTTCGCTCTGATGTCAGTTGGCCTAGTATTATTACCAACAGTGATGTTACGTTGACTGGCACTCTTGTCGGTTACAGTCACCCGGGAGAGTCTGGCTTTAGACTTGGTGACGTTAAGAGGAACCGTTTGAATAATAATTTTGTCGGTTATAGTTATAGTTCCCTTCCAGGTGGTTGTGCTGGTGTGAATGGTATCGACGGCACTTGATCCAAGAGACGTTTCGCAGGGACCATCGGCAGCGCTCTCTGTGCTTAGGGCAAGAAGGCCCAGGAATAACCATAGGGCTACCATACTGTCGAGAATTGTGGAAGCGCGAGAATGACAAAAGGATCTCAGCTTAATGGTGAGAGGCGAGCCACTTACTGATGTACCCCTCTATGGCGGATTTCGGTCGTCATGGCACCGGCAAGGTTTGGGCCAAATTCATCATTGACAAGATATGCTTAATATCGATTGCGTTGAGGCTTCAAGCCTCTTTATGCTATAACTTTAGAACCACTACTACTTTGGGATGAGCAGCAGGCAGACGTAACAAAATATTTGTGATAAGCGATATCTTAGTACGGAAAGCATAAATTGCAGTTTTTCCAACCCCAGACTTTCTTCAAGCTCATGATCAATATGCAGTTCCCTCCTAGTCCGAATCCTCGTCTTCACTTGAGAGGCTGCTTTCGCTCCCGCCATCTGTATCATGTCCTTTTTCTTCTTCAGCCTCTAACTCCAAGCATTTCTCGCAGGTTCTGTAATGAAGGCGTCTTTGCTCCTCAGTATAGTGATAGACGCATTCGGTATCGCTGTCATGATACTCGTCGCAACAATGTGACCAGAGGCATTCCCCGAGACAATACCTCCCTTCCGCATCGACACGCTCTGAAAGGTCCTGGTCCGCGTCAGTCCAACCGCATTTATCCTTTAGCCACTTGGCTATACAGTGATGTGCCTCCGACTGAGCAAAGACAACACTAAGAACCAATTGTTGACGGCCCCGCCCTGTTGTAACGGCACCATAATGAAGGAGGAGTGCCAGCATGTCAAGTCTCCCATGTTCCGCCGCCTCCTCTAAAGCTGATCTGGCGAACATGCCTGATCCCCGTTTGTTGACTCTGGCACCGAGCTGAAGCAGCCGTACTGCAAATCCAATATGACCGCGTGATGCGGCGCATTGAAGAGCAGTCGAACCTAGGTCAAATGCTGAGGCGACGTTAACGGTAGCTCCGTTTTCAAGAAGATATGCTGCCATATTCATGTTATCTTTTAGCAGAGCGGTCTGAAGTGGCGATCTGGATGACTTTGATGATACGTCCAGCTCATTGATATCTGCTCCCACTTCCACCAAATACCTCATTAGATCACGCTTTCCCATCTCGATTGCGCTGCAAAGTGCTGGGTTCAATTCCGAGTCGTACCGTGTGGAAATACCGATGCTGGTACCAAGCTCTCTCAGAACCTCCAAATATTCAGATGTTCTCTCACTTTCCGCAACAACTTTCCAGGATATTCTGTCCATACTGCAACCGTGGCAAAGGAGCTGTCTGAACCCACAAGTGTGACCACCTAGAGCGGCCAATGCAAGAGGACTCCCCTCGATTCTGTCTTCATCAGTGGCTGTACGCCAGTAGGCTGACCCGTCACGGTACCGCCTAAGAACTTTTATTTCCCTTTCGTCGATGCTAATGGGAAGGATTGCAGACTCTAGAACTGAGAGGTGGCTAAATCGGGCAAGAAGCTTGTTCAAGATATCAAGCTCACCCGCCTCAGCAGCCAGCCCCACGGCGGTTCCCTCTAGGAGGTGACAATTTGTCGGTATATGCACCTTTTCAAAGAGCCTTCCCACAAGATCCCAATCCTTTTTGAGAATTGCCGCACAGAATGGTCCTGCATCGATTGGATACTCCTGCATCTCGAGGATGTCCTGGATGGATGAATCGTTTTGAGCCTGTATTTCGGCCTCGAGACAACCTTTTCCCATTTCATCAACATCCTTCAAGGTCCCATGGTTCCTCAAAAGACAAAATACTAGGTCCTGTTCGTGAAGATCAATAGCTCTGACAACTTCACCGCCTCTAAGATTGGCTCCCGCGTTTATCAGAAGCTCAACAGTGAGGAACCGCCTCGAAGTTGTGTCCTCCTTTTCATCTAAGGGCCAAGAACTGGCCAAAGCACATTGAAGTGCGGTGTGTTTACATCCATCCTCATCGTTCGGGTTGCCGCCAGCCCTAAGTGCAACTTCCAAACATCGGTGATAGCCACGCCGCGAAAGCTCCGCCACGTTACCAGGCTCAAGAGTCGCTCCGTTCCCAATCAATACTATGCAAACTTCTTCTGTCAAATCCTCATGATCTTTCCATCGCAGCAACGCGGTCAACATAGCCAGCGGAAGGCCCTGCGCAATATTGGGAATGTTGAAGTAATCATACCATTCGTTGTCCAGCCTGCAAAGCAGGGCGTTAGGGTCGCCCAGGCCCCCACATTCGATGAGTAGCTGCACTATTTCAACGTTCCCAAGAATGGCTGCGGCAAGTATCAGCGAGGCGGATGAACCTCCATGCTGTTCGAGAAGATATTTGCACACGAATGGATTACCGCCAACCACTGCTGCCTGTAGTGGCGTAATTCCGAAGGCATTAAAAAGTTTTCCGGGAACATGGATTGCGTCAAGTCGCAGCATAAGTGCATAATGCCCTCCATAGACTGCGGCGAGAGACGCATCTGCGAGGACTGAAGGTGCAGGCTGGCAGTTCTGCGAAACGTAGTCTAGCATAAGCTCCGCTATTTCGTCTCCCACCTCGACCGCCATCATGAGAGCTGATGTCGTTCCCAAGTGAGGTTTGAAGTCTTTCTGTCTCCTCCGGCCTGCTGGGTGGAGCCAGGAGGTCTCGTAACTTGTAACATCGGGACCATACTGTAGGATCCTCCGCATTAATGCTGTATTGCGCAATTCGATCGCTGCACGGAGTATTTCATCTATGCTGAGAAACTTATGATCGAACAACGATTCTATTATTCGTACTTTGTCCACATCAGAACATCGGCTATCCAGAGCCAGGTTCACGAGCGCTTCGTCATAAGTGCTGCCCTGAGCAAGATCAGGTCGAGCATGGAAGCGTAAGAGTAGCTGAACAAGCTCGAGGTAACCGGAGTGAACTGCCTTCTGAATAGGAGTGATCGACGTCCGATCTTGATATATGAATATACTATAATAGTAGTTAGGATCTTGTCCAAGTTCCAAGAGCCAGGTGAGGAGATGTAGTGGTCTTGGTACGTTGCTCTGACCAAGGCTCGAAGTCGCGTCTTCGATTTCTGAATGGAACAACCTCTCGAGAAATGCCCGGATGGTCGGGCTCTCATTTCGAAGTTTCCTCAGGTGAGTTTTTATGTCTATGTTCCTAAATTCAATGAGACTGGACAACAATTCCACTTGCTGATTGCCCTCGATCAATATTGAATTGGACATCGTATAGACCACGACCTTCAAACATTCAGTCAGAGATTCGAAAGCTGGACCAGCAAGCAGATTTTGAGCGGTCCTAACGTGTTCTTCAGGATGGCATTCAGGCATCAAATTGTTGGTACCTGTTATTACCTCCGACAGAGAGATTGACTGGGACTCGTGACCGCGAGTCAGCAGAGCCATCACCAGTGACCGCGCAGCATTAATTTGACACATTTGTTGTATTTTCATGCTTTCGGAAACGGTGGCGTTCGCTGTGGCTGTTTTTTGCCTGTAAGATAGGCTTCCTCCATTCTTGAGGTGACTTACTATTCCACGAGGTCTTTTGCAAGTGGAGCCAGGGTAGAGACGACGGCCACTCGAAACTCATCTGGAAAGTCGGTGGAGTACAAATGCTAAGCTGTGGATTCTTCGGAGATGGGGGGTCTGTTATACTCCATGTTAGAGACAATATAATCATGAAGCGAAGGCTTTACTAACGTGGCCTGAATCGAGCAAGGACGTCCATTTCTCGATGACGATTCGTCTCTTTCGTGACCTTGAGCTTTTTCAATCTCCTGCCACAGTGTATGACATCGCTGTCTTTTCCCTCATCTTTGCGCTTGCGAATCTGGCGATCAACGTACTGCCATGTCTCCTTGTCGATGTTTTTGGAGAAGTTCCAATTCCTGAGTTTAACTTCGAGCTGCCATTTCCTAGTTTCAAGTTAACATTCTCCTCACGATGTCAGATCAACGTATACGAACGACGCGTGTAGCCCGTGAGCTCTCAATAAGTCAATCAAATCTTTAAGCGACGTGTTGTTGACTAGATACTCATCTCTAATCAGATTCTTATGCTCTAGCCAGTCCCCTTCACTTGGCTGAGATGTTGTTGCACTCATCAGGATGATTTCAGTGAGATAGTGTCGCCTTAATGGAAGTATCGTGAAGAACAGTAGCCCAGAGATGCAGAAAGGAAGGGTAGCCAGGGAGTATTGTGTGCATGGAGAAGAGAAAATCGAGAAAGCTGAGCTCGGGTCTTGTTGTCTCTTGTACGTGCCCAACCAGGCTCTGCGTTTCCAGTTCTGATTCGTCTGATCCAGAATCTGAGGGGCTGCGAAGCTCGTAAGCCCCATTCCCGGCCTAGCGCCTAGCTTCAGGCCCTTTCATTGGCTCTGTCCAGAATCTTGTCTGGGGGTGCGTTCTGCATGAACTTCAGTTGGGTCTCATTCGTCAAGTCCATAATCTTGTGGGTCGCAGCTGACAGCTGAAGAGTACGTCACGACACGAAAAACAAGTCCATTGGATCTGTCCTGAATCTTGAGCCTTACTGGCCTTACAGTAGGCTACCTAACCTGATTTGGCAGACGAATACCAGGATATGGATACTCCTGGCGAATCAGTTTCAAGGTTCACCTCAAACTGCGCCCCAAGGCAAAAATTAGAAACTCGTTCGCTTTTCAAATATATACAAAAGCTAGGATCACCATGGCCTTTTTAGGAAAACTTTGTAACATAAGAAGGAGGATATCTTCAGGAAAGATCACTTTTCTTATTTGATACGACTTTGAGACCTTCCGCAAAATGAAAACTGAGATCATTGTCGCAATCGTCAGCTTGGTAGTTGCTCTCCCACCGACCCTTTACGCTCTACATGCGTGGTACCGAAGACGCCCCCAATCAACAGGTAAGTATTTGAAAGATGTATTCCGACAGAGCTAATCCGAGCCTTGGTACTTGATCTAGGGTATCCATCTCACCGGGCGCATCACTCTAGATACCGCTCAGAACTCCTTTGCTCCGTGTCTGAACGAGGCATTACACTGGCACTACGGGTTGAAGACGGTCTACTAGCTACCTCGCTAGAGCCAATTCCCAGAGTTTGGAACCCCTGCATGGCATTGAGCTGTTGAGTTGATTGAAGGCATGGCAACTGAAATTAGATTGGACCCTAGAACCGACCAACAAGATGACATGTAGTCGCTTTTCTCCAAGGATAAGCGAGACTACGTCGATCAATTGGCGCATATAATAAAAATATTCTCACGGATGCTAGCATATTTATATCCTTTTGTACAAAATTATCGCGGAAGCTTGCTGCAAAACATCATCGGTTAGTGTCGGGATAGGCAGACTTATACCGAAAACAGCTTCATTGCTTATGGAGTGATGATTATCAACCTGGCCGGACCTGCAGATAGTGATGAACCATTTAAATCAAAGAGAAATATCCACTGGACCTGTGATGAGTATAAACAGACTTGGTAAATAGTTGCATGTCGTCGCACCCCCATGAATTAAACCCAAAACCCACTCAGAAGGTCTGGCACTATCTCCAAAGAGTCAATTTGCGGGGTCAGCATGAGTCACTTACGCCCTTACGATGATATCTTGATAACTAATAAATACTGCTCGTCACTTATCATTTAATATCTCTTCCAAAATCGAAATTAAGAATTACTACAGGCAAATCACCATGACTTCTCTTACTAAAACTACCTACCAAGCATTTGCATCCCCGAGGGCCCAGGGCAATCCCGCAACGGTGATAGTCCTGCCCAAGTCAGAGGCCGGCACAAAGGATGACAATAACGCATTCCCATATGAACTGTTCCCTCCCACGTCAAAGCTCCAAGAGACAGCGACAAGCATCAATCTCCCAATGACAGCATTCGCACTCCCACTCGATCCGGAGAACGAGTCAGCGAAAGCCCACTACGCCGTTCGATGGTTCAATCCCGTAAACGAAGCGCCGCTCTGTGGCCATGCGACTCTCGCCTTGTCGCAGCATCTGTTTAGTACTCTTCCCAATGCGCCGCAGACACTGAGGTATCTCACCAGGCTTCATGGTGTTGCCTCTGCTTCTCTCAACCAGAGCCCATTTGAGGATGCGAAGCTGGTTGGCATTGAGTTTCCAGAACTGCTTGACCTTCCCGCCGTGGCAAAAGATAGCAAGCGATGGGGAGAATTGAAGGGTCTGTTTGAAGTTGCCTCTGGTTCGAAGTGGGAGGGTAAGGGAGGGCCAGTTAGTGTATTTGAGCAAGAGCAGTATTTCTTGCTTGAGTTTAGCCCTGAGCTGGACTTGAAGGCTCTGGAGTTCGATGCCTCCAAGCTGGTAAGTTTATCGCTATCGTTGAAAGTCCACAACTAACTTAGCAGGCTCCTCTGAATGGCTTCATCTACATTTTCCAAGTTTCGACAAGCTCTTCAGAGCACATCCATACTCGAGTTATCAACTGCATAGCAGGCAACAATCATGAAGACGCTGCGGTAGGTACCTTCGTCTTCAAAAAGGGCATCACTAATTTCCACAGACTGGCTCTTCTCATCGCGCCATCATCCCTCATGTCTTGTCAAACGCTGAGACTACTGCTCGGCTCAAGCAACACCACCCAGACTTTACTGGAAACACGCTGCGATCTTTGCAGCAGTCGAAAGAAGGTGGTGAATTGACCGTTGAGTGGCTTCGAGATACGAAGTCCGTGAGGATCATGGGTAATGCTTTACGTACCGGTGAGACTAGCATCGAGATCTGAGCAGACTAGGGCGGACTGGAAATGACCCGTCGTAAGCTTTTGCGGGATGAAAAGCCACATTTAGTATTGGCCTAAGACTACATGTGCCGGACTGAGTGAAGAGGGTTTCGTTATCCATGATCGACTCAATCCAGCACTTTTGTATAGTTAGCACGCTAATTGTGAGAATGCCATTGGAAGAAAGAGCCTTGGCATCAAGTCTGACAGCTTACAAATCGCATGATAACCATCTGACTCACGCCGTTCATTGTGTTTAGGCTAATTCCTTCAATGCCTCCTCGGGATTCAGAATTGTCCGAGTGCAGCTTGTAGCTCAGTGTATAAGAAGCCAGAGACATTTCGCTTTGCTTTGCGAAAATGCAACTTGAAAGAACACTTACCAACCATCAGCCACCGTTTGACACAGCAGCCAAGAATGGAGTTCAAGCCTACTAGAAGCATTGTCCACAATGAGGGATGTGACCTTCACTACTGGTATCAAGGATCCGGTCCTCTCATAATCTTCATCCCCGGTGGAAATGGCCACGGAATGCAGTTCAACAACATCATAGCCGCGCTATCAGATTGTTTCACCTGCGCGACCTTTGATCGTCGTCAAATGTCAGCAAGTCAAGTCCCCGTGAACAAACGCCTAAACCCTCCCCAACAAGCACGCGATATCCGCGCCGTCATCAAAGCTGTCGGTTTCGATAAAGCTATTCTCTTTGGTAGCAGTTCCGGTGGTATCTTCGCATACCAATTCGCCCATGACTTTCCAGAAATGGTGGTCCATTTGATCGCTCACGAAGCCGGCCTTGCAATGCTTCTACCCGATGCTACGCAGATTCTTGAGTGGATGTACGGTCTTCTAGACCTTTTCGAAACGCAAGGCCAGGAAGCAGCTGCCAAAGAGTTTGAGAAATGCCTTATCGGCTACGATGCTGAGGGCATTCCCAAGGCTGGCACGCCTGACCCAAGAAACCAGAAGAACTTTTGGGAATACGAATGGGCGCCGTTGATTGGATACTGTCCTAATATGTTCCGGATTAAAGAACACGGGGTCAGTGTTGGTGTGATGAGAGGGGTGCGGTGTAAAGATGCTTTCTATGCGAGAGCGATTGAGGAGCAGGCCAAGATCTTGGAGTGTCCTAGGATGACGGTGCCTGGGCATCATGAAGGGTTTCGGTGCGAGACGGAAGAGTTTCTCCCCTCGCTGTTAGAGATGCTTGATATACTAGACAAGAGAAAGTAGATAGATGTTCCTTAAAGCCTCACGAGTGAAAAGGTAGCTACTTAGTTGACGAGAAACATGTCACAGCAGGACATTCCTACAGATACCTTTGGGTCTCAGTTTGGCGTAGAGTTGGTCACCATTTAATACGAGGGAAACATGACAGACCACTATACCAACTATGTCAATGGAGCATCTCAGTGGTATTTTATTTATCAGATTGGTACTGACATCGTCTTAATCCTTGATCCTCGTTGTTAATTCATTAGTTACGGCCCTACCACAAATAACCAGCTACCTAAGAATAAGCTTATCACACGGTCCGCATCGAGATACCTCTCTCAAGCGGTTGAAGAGCATCACCTCCCAACTCATCTGCTGGACCTAGACTCCTCCGGCGCGTATGGTATTCCGTGACCTTGTGGTGGAGCAAAATATCCACCTTCTTTAACTAACAATGGACATGCTGAATCGCATGCGTTTCCTTGCTACATGATGCTACAATTCGGCAATCGAAATGTGATTAGGCTGCTGGGTGAACCAGTAAAGCTCAAATACCAAGCACCAATGGCTTTGTGCAAACAGGACTTTGGGTTCTCTCCATTGGTTTAAACTCTCAGCCATAAGTCCAACTGCATCTTTATCAAACCCGGTTTCCGTGATAAGGTTGAAAAGATCGGAGGCTAAAGGACGGTACAACCCAAAGAACAAAGGGACAAAACTTAAATGAGCGTTTGTATACTGTGATAAGGTTGAGAGGTTAAAAGAGGCTTCAGCCCTCAGGACACAAATGTAAAGAATACCAATAAATACATGTGGGCAATATTTTATCCTTCCAGTTGCCTCACATCTTGCTTTTTGCAGAAAAGCTAAATCCGTGCCAAATCGACTATAAAAGCTGCCTACTGCTCTTCATTAAGATTAATTCAGCCAAACGTACCAACCCTGGTTTCACTCTGCCAAAGATTCCATCTCACCACTAGATCTTGACGTCTCTAAATCTGTTCTACTGAGGGCTCCCAAAACCTGTCCCTCCCTCTCGTCGCCCACACCCTCGACACCATGGCCCCACGATCCTTTGTCAGTCTTCCGTGTGAACTGCGGCACATGATCTACAAATATTACTTCACCACTGAGCAAGGCTACCATTTCAATGCAGCCTCACGCAAGCTCACTACCGCCCACGGCGAGCCGATTGACCTTGCCCTTATATACACATGCCGCCTCATTGCTGAGGAGACCAAAGCAATGCCTTTCTTGTACAATGACATCTCCTTCAAGACATTCTATCAAGAGGATCTTAGCTTGTGGCTATGCCGTTTCGAAGGGCTAGTCAATGGCCAATTTCAACATCAAATGCAACTCATGATTGATTTATACCCGTTCATCACACGAGAAATGCACCTCCTTGTTGAAGAGAGATTCCCGTGGTTTACCACCCATCTCTCCAACGCACTAGCCTACCGCAGAAATCTCTCCAACAGACCATTCTACGGGAGAAACCCAGGACTGAGATTGCGAGATGGGTGGTTAGATATACATCATGGCAGGCTCAAGATGGACGGCACCCCCCCAGATAACGATATCTACAGGGATATCTGTTCCAACGACCGAGCACATTCTGCACATCGGACGGCAATTGAGTTCACTCTACGACTGCTTTGCGAAGTTTCGGATGCACAGTTTGTAGCCAGTGTCAACGAGCTTCTTGTCGATTGGGAGTATAGCGGTGGTGCGCGGCTGTCGAATTTCCTTGACCAATGCTACAAGCCTTGGCGTTTTCCTTCATCATTATCCGACCTTGATGACATGGGACGTAGGCTCGGAGATGGCCAGGGATGGGCTCGGATAAATTCGTGGGAGACCAGCATCCGTCATGAAAAGCAGTATCGTCTGCTCCATCGCTTCTCTGCTGTTTCAGCTGCCATAGGTTTCCTCGATGCTCTGCCTCTTAATCAGAGATCGTCTCTGCGAAACATCAACATCCACGAGGATCGCGTGTCCTCAGGCTATCCAGATGGGCATGCTATAGGTCTTATTCCAATCTGCCAAGAGAACAAGCGATTGCGGATCAGACATAAATTGAGCATGGTGAGAAACCTTTTCGCCCGTGCTTCCTTGTCTCAAGGTTTAGCCTTTAGTATCACTCAAGGCCAGGGGGGAGGGGACCATTGGAGTAACGAGGGCTCTCTCGCAGCCGCAGCTGATGGGCTGTACCCCATCGTTGCGAACTGCCTGGCCGAAGCCATGTTTCTCCCAGATGCTGGCATGCCGGATGGCTCATACACCCTGCTACTGGACGCAGAAGATGCCACAGATATGTGCTCTGCAATCTTTCAACAAGATGTACTCGACAAAGAGGCTACGCGGATGGTACTTGCCCGTGCTCTAAAGGAAGATCCTGACGGCGATTGGGTGAACGAGTGCTCGCTCGAAATAAAGAAATCCCTTAAAGCGCACGCCGGCGCCCTGGAACACCTCGTCAATAAGACATCGTTCTTGGAGACGAATTTCTATCCTGGACATCTAACAAACGTGGAGGCACTGATGCCGCACTACAAGGCGATTGGGATGGAGCACTGTGCTTTTGACCTTGAGTGGTGGAGCGAGTATGACTACGACTTTACGTTGTTCAGCCATGTCCCTGTGTACGGTCCGCTGCTATCGGAGAACTTTGAGTCTCGGAAAATTCCTGGGTACCCGCCTGAAGAATATGTAATGTTTTCTAAACAACTAAGAGATTTTTTAGTATTTGGCTAAACTTCTTAGTTGAGACTGGAAAGGTTGGCCAGAATGTATACACTATATATATGTAAATTTTGGGTTTATAAATCACATTATAGGTTCTACCTTCAAGAACAAGACGTGTAGATAGACAACCCCGACTGCTGAGAGTCAATTAAGTGACAATCAGAACAAGACAACTATGCATTACTCCTTCTCTTATAGTCTATGCGTTACTTCAACCTCCTCAGTTTCCTCGAATTCTATGTATGGCATGCGCTTTGTTAAAAGTGGGCTAGTCTTGCTAATCCTCTTCCAATTATGTGCATCAAGGCAGGCTCGTCTCGACGCCAGTACTGCTGGACGCGTCCGTGAGATAACCACTCGTTCATACTGATCTAGCGCGGATCTTATATCGCCATCGCCGTTGAGAGTAGGAACAACTCGTTCTACAAAGTCTTTAACATCGAAGATGACATGATTCGCGCCCTCACCCCGGTCTTTGTCGTTAGCTATAGATACATAAAGAGGGAAAAAATAGTCTTACACATTGCCATTGCATGGAGAGCATCTCCCATGAGTACAGCTCGACCAGTTGTTTGGAAGTCTTTCGGGGGGATCAAGTCTTGTATCTTGAGTCCTTTCATCTCGCTGTCGAGCGAGACTGCGGATACAAGTGGATGAAAGCACTCCGCCCAGGTGGAAGTCAACTCTTGGACCAACTTGTACTTCTCTTCTGGTGTATCCGGAATTTCGATGGGCGAAGGCCTGTTCAGGAAACCTTCGCGATATGGCCACGAGATATAGAGTTGCCCGATGTACGGGCGGTCTGTATCGGTGTGATTACCGGGCGCATCGAGGACTAGTGGCCATAAGCAACGACTACAAAGAGAGCAAAGCTGACTGACTTACCACTGAAGTATACGAAGGTATTATTTCTCGAATTTGCGCTGTGAAAGAAGTAGGGATCAAGGTCGCGGATTGGTTTGATCTGCGAAGGTGATAACTCCATCTTGATGCCTAGCATTCGAACAGGAATGTCCTTGAGCTTCCACTCGGGGAACATTGAGCGACGCACTCGTGAGTGACTTCCATCACATGCGACGAGTAAACTCCCGTTTGCTGAGCTACCATCCTCGAATGAAGCAGTGACAGAGTCGTTTATCGACACGACTCCGGCAACACCTTTACCCCACTGGTACGCGGAATTGTCAGTACAAGAAAACTGTAGTCAGCACTACAACGTACCTCAATGTCAATCCCAGTGGCTAGCAGAGCTCTGAGACCTTGTCTAGTGACTCGGACACGTTCCGCCTCTGGAGCCTTTGGTACAGATGCCTTGAGCTCTCCTGTACTCAAGTCAAAGAACGGGAAGCTCGACGACAGACCCTGGATAACAGCTTGTCGATCAGCATAGGCTTCTGGCAAGCGATTAAACAAATGTTTAGGCAAAAGATCTTTCAAGACGGGCAGCGTCCAGAGAAGAGTGAGACCCCATCCTACACCACATGTTTCAAGGTCCGTGTTACGTTCAAATACACGAAAGGGAATGCCATGTCGTGATAGACTCTGTGCAAGAAGTAGGCCGCTTATACCAGCGCCTATAATGAGGACAGGTTGATCTACAGTAGGAATCATTTTGGCGAAGGTTGATGATGAACTATGCTGCTTGGGAGAAATGACCAAGGGCTTATTTATTAATTCTCTCACTTGCGTGTCAGATCGCTTATTCTCACATCAGATGCCAGGCAATTGCCGTGCCTGACGCGATGACTAACTCGGCTTAAGAGCGGGGTCGTGAGCCGAAGGCTCCGTAGAGGCTCTGCTAACGTTGCAGTTGGTAGTTGTGTCTTGACCTGAAACGTACGCTACAGCAAATAGAAAGAGAGTGTTGCTGCTCTCCCAACTTTGTTGCTCTGATAAGCCGAGAACCTGATCTACGCATCGCTCACGTCTAAAGGGCGGCTTTTCGGGTCGAGTACCTCTGCCGAGAGGGCCTGTCATTTCGGAAAGTTTACTAACCTTTAGGTCAGCCCTTGTTATACAACGCGCTTTCAATTTGTGATCTTGCTGATGCATATTTATAGAATATAAAAAGATAAAAAGAATAAGAGCCTTGCTGATACTTGTGGCTAAGGCCGCCTCTCCACAGACGGCGCTGGGCATATTTGAAGGATGATGTCTGCGTACTAATGGTGCCTTGCCAGAAGCTGTATTATACAGAATGACAAATTCAAGCTTTGCTTTTATTAAGTATCGAGGAAGGATATTGAGGACAATATAGATCATTTCAGCAATAGTCCTTCTTTTCTCTTTAGCATACGGAAACAGCCGTGTTTTGGAAGCGATCACTACCCGAGTTTGAGAAGAGACCACGAAGTACGCGTTTCTACTTGAGTTCTTCAAAAAATAAGTACTACGTGAAGCTTATTCGCTGCTTTTTATTAGTATGACATTCACCGTTTCTCTGGTCAGTTGAGTTCAGATCTGCACACGGTCTTGAGGCATGGCCATCTCAGTCACAATCAAGCCCTTCTCAGATCAGATCTATCACATTACGAGGCCTAATAAGGAAACCCTATCGCAACCTAACTCAAATTAGCGAGATCAGTTCCTCACGCCCGTACAACGGACTCAAGAATCAAGCCACTTGGGCAATCCACCATTCGGGTCACAGACAACTTTATCCCGATCAGACAAACAACGGAAGCCATGCCAGCTCATCTCAAGATTAAACCTCGACTTTTCTGCAAGTTGTGCGTAGCGTGCTGAAATGGCCAGTCAAATGTTCTCCAGAAAGCCTGTTTGTTGGTTGACGACACTAGTGCCGGCTTCATGTAACACAATCAGATGGTAGCGCCATGTTGGTGGAAATGTTTGTCTGCAAAGCTGACTTGGCGCTGCTTTACCGTCCATTTGAGCAGGAGATTTGTGATCATGAGGGAAGTTGATTGATTCTCATTGATGCGCTTCTTAATTGATGGCGGTACTTGGCTAAGTTGATGTTACTAGTTGGATGGCGGTAAGGAGACTGGGTTTCTGTGTTTGATGTCGTGGTCTTTAAAGGCGAGCACTGCTGAAGACTTATCGTCGGCCATGACGGCTGCTATTTTCTTTCTTCATTAACAAAGCTTATTGTATGCATCTTCAGTCTATAATCATGGAATCTGCCTTGTTACTTATCTGCACCAGTGTCATAACCCTCGTGTATATCTGGATCACCAAATTTATTTTCAAAACATCACGTAATGCGCAGCTGCCTCCCGGACCCCAAGGTCTTCCTCTTGTCGGCAACGTACTAGATCTCCCACGAGCTGGGCAATTCGAGGCCCACCACTGGGCCAAACACAAAGATTTATACGGTATAATCAATTAATCTCATTGTGTCCTCAGAGATTGACGAGATACACATCAGGAAACATTAGTTCCGTTACTGTCTTCGGCCAAACCCTTGTCATAATCAACGATGCGAAGTTGGCTCAGACCATACTCAACGATCGGTCAGCCAAACATTCTAGCAGATCAAAGATGACTTTTGCCGGTGAAATGTGCGCGCATACCTCCTTTCTCACCCAAATTTGCTTGCTTACAAATTACAGGGTTGGCTGGGACAAGACCTTGAGCTTCCTGCCATATAACGACCAATTTCGCAGCCACCGCAAAAAGGCCCATCTTTGCCTCAAGTCTGAAGCTAGCGTCAAGGCAAACGACGTTATACAAGAGATTGAAGTTGGACATTTTCTGTTGCATTTGCTGAGGGACCCTGATCATTTGGTCGAGCATATTCAGAAGTATATCTTGGATGAAGGATATCTGGTGACAGTGCTGACATTTCCTGTAGACAAGCTGGCTCTGTGATCGTGAAAGTTGTGTATGGATACACCGCAGAGCAATTCAAACCCGATCCTCTACTAAGTACTGTACGGAAGGTTGTCGATGAGTTTGGTATCGCCGCCAAGCCTGGGTCCTTTATGGTTGACCTCATCCCGATTCGTAAGGTCACAAAAGCCCACTACGTAATTACCTTCTAACATGTTCATTCAGTGAAGTATATCCCCGACTGGCTCCCTGGAGCTGGTTTCAAAACAACAGCGAAGCAGTGGAGGTTTAATCTCGAGAGCTCGGTTGAGGACCCCGCAGCTTTCGTGGAGCATCAAATGGCTACCGGCAGGGATAACACATCGTTCCTATCTCAGCTGATGCAGAAGAAAAGCTTGACGTATGAAGAAGTTTCTGAGAATAAATGGTTAGCGGCATCTCTCTATGCGGCTGGTGCTGATACCGTATGTTGAGTCTCGAGTAGGTTGCATGACCCAGCTGACCGATCCCAAGACTGTGTCCGCGATCACGACGTTCTTCCTTGCCATGACACTTTTTCCCGCGGCCCAGAAGAAATCCCAGCATGAAATCGACGAGGTCATTAGATCTGCTCGTTTGCCAACGCTATCGGATCGACAAAACTTGCCATACGTCAATGCGCTCGTGAAGGAAGTTCTCCGATGGCATCCCGTCGGACCAATGTGTCTTCCCCATACAACCTCCCAAGACGACGTCATCGACGGCCTTCTCATCCCAAAGGACGCAATGATTCTTCCAAATATCTGGTAAGCTCATCATTACTCCCTATATCCAGAAGACAACTGACGCCGCTACAAGGCAAATCTGTCATGATCCGGCAAACTACCAAGATCCAATGGCCTTCAAACCAGAGCGCTTTCTAGGTCCGGAGGCTGAGACAGACCCGGGTCGTTTTGTCTTTGGGTTTGGTCGGAGAATTTGTCCGGCCCAGGCCATGTCTGACAAGACGTTGTTTCTCAATATGGCGCAGACTCTTGCTGTGTTTGACGTTAGAGTGAAAGAGGGAGGTGAGATGCCCAAGGCTGAGTTTACATCTGGAGTTGTCAGTCATCCTGAGGCCTTCGAAGCTGTGATCACGCCCCGATCCCCTGAGCATCCTAAGTTGATCGAGTCGATTGAGCAGATGCATCCATGGCAGCAGAGCGATGCAGACACTCTAGCAAGTCTGTAGCAAATCCTCACCGATCACAAGAGAGGAATTAAAGAAGAAAGTCATACGCATAATATTAAAATATGTAGTCTAAGTTCTGGTCATGAATAGTGGTCATAACATCACCCCTGGTGATCAAAACGCCAACGCCTGCTATTCTCCTTAACAAACCACCTCGTAACAAACGCTCCCTCCTCCGCCCACTCCGCAACATCCCTCCCAAACTTCCCCTCCACACTCTTGACAAACTCGGTGAAGTCCAACGCCTGCACTGAATCATGCTCATGCGGATCCTTCCCCAGATCCGATAATCTCCAATCCACGTTCTCTATCACCGGCACCACGAGATGTCTGTCCGGGAACCTCGCGTCGCGAACCGTAAGCATAGCTCGCCCGGGGTTCGTCACGGTAAATTGCCACTGGCCCGTGCTGTTATCGCTGGTTTGTGTGCGTAATGGTCGGAGGAGCGATTGGCCTTCGTAGTTGGTGATGAGGGATGATGCTGCGGCGTGGCTGCTGGGGCTGAGAGAATTGGTTTCGAGAAGGATGTCGAGAATGGTGGGGAGGACTTGTGTCGAGTGGACTGCGTCGTCTACGTTAAATGGCGGTAATTGAGGATGCGATAAAATCAAGGGGACGTGATCGACGCCGATGTTGGGGTTGTAATACGGTGAAGCGTAGTCGTTTTCTGGAAGTGAAGTACCGTGATCGCCCTGGAAAATAACCAATGTCTCGTTCGCAATGCCCTGCTTGTCTAGGACGTCGAGGACTTTACGGATCCAGCGATCGTCGTAGCCTATTGTGTTGACGTAGCGGGACATCATGTCTAGACCCTTTGCCAGAGGCGTGTACTTTTCCGTCTTAGGCATGTGGAATCGATGATGGCTCGTGCTCGTCAAATGAGTCAAAAACACACGACTCTTGGCCTTGGCCGCGTCTTCGAAAATGTCGGTGATATAATCCTCTAACGGATCCTCCTCGAATGCAAACTCGTTGATGTTCGGTAGCGTGACGGGTCCATGCTTCGCACCATCGCTTCGCAGATACTCCCTCCCAATCGTGTTCTTCATCGGAAATCCCATCGCAGACATGAGATTGTACTGATTGTCGTAATCGAGAGTCGCAGCTTGGAAGTAGTAAGAGTTCCACTTGTCCTCCTTGTTCATGTTGTCGTTCCACTTCAATTTCGTGCCTGAGTGTCCATCGCGCTTGGACTTGGTGTTTTCGCTCAGTGCCTCCGCTTGGTTCATGGCCTCGAAAATGTGCGGTAGGCAGGGCTGATAAATGTGGTGACTGTGCTCGAGGTTGAAGTCGCCGACCAGAGGAGCGATACCGCAGACTGTGCCGGTCATGCTCTTGAGTGTATACGTCCCAGCTGTATGCGCATTCGTAAAGTGAATTCCACCACGTTTCGGCTTTTCCGCATGCTCAAATCCATCCTCGTAGTCTCCAGTGATAAAATTCGCTGTCGGTGTCAGACTGGCCAGCTTGTCTTGCACTTCTTGCGGGAGCTTCTTGTCGGGAAATGTGTCGGCGAATCGATTCCAGATCAATCCGTCCTTCTTGATGGGAAAAACGTCATTTCTCGTGCTCTCCAGAAAGAACATCACCACGTGACGAATGTTGATGTCCTTTAACTTGCCACGAAGGGATTCTCGGAGAGGTTCATTCAGGTTGGAAATCTTCAATGGATCGGATTCAGAATTGTAGTGAAGCTTCTCGTCGTACCAGTCCTCAAAGCCTCTTGGCAATGCATCCTTCGGGAGCCAGCTCAAAGACGGAGGCTGAGCAAGAGCAGTGCGCTCGTCCCAGCTTCGTTGCATGCCTTGACCGTAAACAGAGGGAAGATCATCGAGGAAGGGCGACGTTGAAGCGAAATCGACAAAGGGTAAAAGGCCGCTGGTCCACGAGAGGAAGATTAGAGACGGATCCTTGGGTCGTAGAAATGTGAGTGTGAAGAGCGCTGTGAGAAGGATGCTGACGACAGGATACGGTAATATGCGCAGAAATCGGGTGCATCTGGATCCTCGGGCTGGTAAATCGCCTTTGAGCGCTCGGGCCGAATGTCGCGGTGTCTTCGATGACGATCTTGCCCTTTCCTTGTACTCATCCTCAGAGTACTCATCATGACTCGAACCGCTCTCGCTGTCAATCCACTGCGCGTTATCCCTCTGCGATAACTGATCATAAGCGTTCCTCCTCCCAAAACAACAGCAACAAAGTTTCCGCGCAAGAAGGTTGATCGGCCAATTAACAATATCACCTCCCCACCCAAAAAGCGCATAGCACGCCGTTTGAAGAACGCCACTGAAACAAGCACAAAGACACAAAACGCCCATGAATGCAGTAAACCCCGAGAAGATAATCGCCCGCGCCGACGGGTCAGCTATGAAGCCAATGTTGCGCCAGTGGATCTCAGATCCAGCGACGATGTAGAAAGAGACGGAAACAATGCAGAGGGCGACATTATAAAATATTAACAAGAATGCAAGCGCTGTGATGAGTGTTCGTAGCTTGCCGGGGAAGCTGGGGACCCAGTGGCTGAGAAGAAGGCGGATGAGGAGGAGGAGAAGAATGTCTTGGGTGAAGAAGGAGAAGAAGAAGAGGAGCATGCGCTTGGGGGCGACGCTGGATCGGTGGTTGTGGAGATGGACGCCCTTTGCGGCGCATACAGCTAGTGTCGTGAGAGCGAATGCGAACCGTCTGTTGGCGAGCTTGGAGTAGATGAGCGAACCCATCTTCTGAAACCAGACCATCTTGACCCTGTTGATCCAGGAAAGGAAGAGAAGAAGAAGAGAAGGTGGAGGGAGGTTCTTGTTGAGAGGAGCGCGTGGTAGGTGCTACCACGCAGTCGGCCCTTACACTGTTACACCCAGTTTTTGTTTGCAGCTCTTATTCACAGAACATGATCGGTCTCCTTTGGGTCAAAACTGTAACTGTCAGGCAGGGGAATACGACGGACGGCCAACACAAGAGAAAACCTGGGCGTCTCCCCGATAAATAACGCTCCCCAGCCCGTGCCGCAAAAAGCGCCCCCCGTTTCTCTCCCCCCAAGGGTCTAACGGATAGTGGGCATGCGCCTCGACGATCCAGACCCAACGACAGGGCCTTCCTGTTTCGTGTGAATGCCGCTTCGCCCCCCCTACGTTAAAGTTGGCACTTGGTAGCGGCGGGTTTGTGTGTCGTGCTGCGCCCTTGAGTCTGTTGGGTAAGGATCCATTTTCGTTTACCGTATATCGACCCAGCGGGTGGAGTCGCAATCTCGAGGATGATGCCTCGTTACGGATTAGCCAATTGCAACCCCGACACTCACAGTGAAGATCTAGCCAAGACTGGTTAAAGTGGGCGAGACGATGGAGTCTGGACTGAACAAGCCCCTGAGTTTTGGTGGAGAATTAAGGGTCCAGTCAAAGCCAGTGCCTCTGCTGGATTTTGACTCAGGTTAAGCGTCTTGTCGAAAAGCTTAATTGACTTGACGTTTTACGCGTTCAATGTGAGGCTTTGACGTTGCATTTTCATGCGATGCTGATTAAGTTTGCTCGGTAGATGCCGATTGGGAGCAATAGAGTTTTCGGCATGTGTAGACGTTGGGAGCGTTTTTGAGCATCGAGATTGTTGAGGCTTGCTCTCTAATGAAATATGGACCAAGGTGGTGATCAACCCCAGCAGTGAAGCGGAATTGCAGTGACATGTTTTATTGCCGTCGCTCATTTCCCCGCAATTATGCCATGGCCACTGTTCTTTTTCACTCACCGAACAAATCACAGAATTATCGCGTGCAATTATGGCTAATTCAATCATCGCTTGCACTCGCGACGGCGCTTCCCCTCATCGACGCCGAGGAAACTTAATTCTCGCCCGTTCGATACCTCGGGTAAAACATCAATTGGGGCTGTGTGCAGGCCACTTTACCTACCCTGGAACGCCGGCAAATCGAAACAGCTTCGCTTGGAAATTCGGCAACTAAGGCATTTGGCTACCAACACACAGGCCACACTTCAAACTTCCTAATTCGACATTTGTATCGCGTGACTTTTGCTTTCTTTGGTGCGCATGAAATGACTCGCAAGCTTGTGAGGCTTATTTGGCTCGTGTTGCCATTTGGGTTTATGCCAAGATTTGGTGGTTGGCCCCGGTAGGGCTGATCTCCTCGGTAGTGACATAAATTAGATAACGATAAGACCTTATCTTACGGGTATCTACTTGCTGGAGTGAGAGATAAGCCACGTGAAGTCGTCAGCATGAGACGGGATGACCATAAATGTGACTGAGATCTTCCAATAAATCAACTGCCGTGTCACACTACCGCCGAAAGACCGGCATTTAGGATAGACTAATTTTTAACCTTCAATTTTGCTTTAGGTGCGCTGGCGAGACCATGTTCCATGCTTATCGAATCACCGCTGGCCCTTGCAAGATATACGCAATGCTCTCCCGCGGATCAGCACCCCATCTGGCCATTTCAATGCCTTACACTTCATCGCCTCCTGAAGTTCTCGTCTACTTGGCCTCAACACGCAATACCTGACCCCAAAGCTGTCGTAATCTGATCATCGCTGCGGTTCTACTGGTCCAGCATGTCAAAGATGGCCTTGACCTCTGGGACCTTCGCCTCAAGCTCCTCCCTCGTCTCCTCCCAAACGCGCGCCTGAGCAGCTCGGCCACTCTTCCTCACCATAAAAGGAGGATAGCTAAATCTCAATCAGTACTGAACCACGTCATATCGTGCAGATCACTTACTCAGCAGTATCAAAGTCCTGCATAATCTTGCCGTGCGCATCCTCCGTTGCCGAAACACCATTCACCAAAGCCGTCGCACAGATCTGCGGATCTCTCGCACCAAAGTTCATGATCAGTCGTGGGATGAGCTTCGCCTGGTTGGGATTCGTAAGAGGTGTCCATGCAGAACCCGGATCAGCGCTGTTGATAGTGACTTTGCGGGGAAGTTTCTCCGTTGCTTGGATGGCAGAGACTCGTGCGGCGAGTTCCCGGGCCCAGTAGAGGAGAAGACCCTTGGAGCGGCCGTATTGATGAGCTTGTTCCATGCCTTCCTTGTTGTTGCTGAGCTTCTTGAGGTAAGAGCCCTTCTTGGGTACGCCCATTGTGAAGGAGGAGGGGTAGATGCCAAAGGTCGTGACGAAGGTGAGGACGGGAGGAGAGGGGTTGGATGGGGAGGACTTGAGGAGGGGGAGGAAGAGAAGAGAGAGGAGTGCACCCGAGAGGAAGTTGACTTGGATGGCTGTCGACAGGTTAGTATCGTCCCAAGCTTGAGATGATGATCATTGGACTCACAGGTTTCCCAGCCCTCAGGCGATTCACGACGATCGAACGCCAGAATACCCGCAGTCATCAAAACATGATCCAGATGCTCCAAATCCTTCGCCTTGGCCCCAAGTTCCTGACATCCCTTGAACGTCATCAAATCAGCCTGCCAGACCAGAATCTTAGGCACCGCTCTACCCGCCTCGCCCAATTCCTTCTCAATCTCCTCCTTCACACCACTGCAATCCCTCACATCAACGAGCACAAGCGTCTCAACATCTCTCTGCGCAAAAATCTTAGCCGCCCGCGATCCAAACGCTCCATTAGCACCAGTGATGAGCGCAGTGCGTCCCTTGTACGACTTTGTAGTCACGGTAGGTCTGCCGTGGCGCTGCTTGTATAGACTCTGCCAGGGGAAGTACTCCTTCAGAAAGAGGGGTACACCATATGTGAGGACCGCAACGACGAGTGTCGTAACAACCGCGAAAACGCCCAGATTGGCCATTTTGATGATTGTGCTTGGGGGAGTTGTTGTGTCGCGTGTGCAGGAACGGTGTTGATAAATGGTCTGAGGGAACGTACGGTTTGTGGGGTAAGGAGCTGAGCTGAGCGGAGCGGAACAAGGTTTTGCCTGTGTTCACCGACTCTTGCGCGGCTGAGACAATTGGGCTTTTGGAGATGGAGAGATGAGCTGATGAGATTGATAAGATTGGTTGGTCTTTTGGAAGGAATTCGTATTCGTGATGTTTAGGTAATGGAACGTTTGCTCTCGCTTCGTGATGGAGCTGGTGGAGTTGCGACGTCATGGGGCTCTGACGCGTTGTGGACGCGTAGAAGCGCGTTTTTAATGATGGGATGAAGAGGGCGGGACTGAGCCGCGATTGCAAGATCTCTCCCCTGCAGAGATGACGTTGTTACCCATTTGAGATTCATCAGAATTGTTTTTTTCACTTGAGTCAAACTGGCGACGCCTTCAGTCTCGCCGTTATCACTCATTTGTTTGCCACCAACCTAGACAATCTGCATGTGTATAACATTAATTGCCATTTCTACCCTCGAGCATCACTCAATACAAACTACCAACTGATCTTTCTTCTCTCTTCACTACCTGTTAATACTCAATCAATAGTCTTGTTCTCTCACCTCGTCGTCAAACCCTGCAACAGTTCCTTATCAGTTCCCGTGTGGGGGCAAGCCACTCGATTTCTGCATCTCCGGAGCTGACAGACCCTCAACCAATAACACAACCCCATTCTCTTCCTCAAGATAAAACCCCTGGTCTCAAACAGGAACAACCGTTAGCTGAAGCAAGCCACCAACGCATTTATCTTCAATAACTGTTCTTTTTAAAGGGGCTAATGACTCGAGATTCTCGAGATTCCTATTTGGGTGACGTCTGGTACTTGACCTGCCTGCCAGCTTTGGTCAAGAGCAATGTCTTGACAGGTGATAAGAGATACTGAGTAAGCATGGCAGGATGGCTGTTCATTGGCACGTTGCGTTTAGCACGTCTTTTGACCTGTCGTTATGTCTGTGCATCGTGCCATGTCCGGGGATATCTGGACTTAACAGCTGAGTTGGGATGATAACGGAAATGGTACCTGCTGTAACAATGACCCTTAAGATCAGCGTTTCACGCTCCTGTAATTGTAAACTTACTCTGCGTCCATCCTGTCAAGCCAAAAGTCTATCGCTTCCCCAGTCGTAGCGCCTCGCTAGGCGTCTGATCATCAACAATGGAGTCGTCAATGCACATCTATCGTCGTGAGGCCCTAGCCGCTCCGGCTGATCGATCAGAGATGGTCCTGCAAAGCATCGTTATCCTTGTCGTGTCAATTCTTTCCATTCTTGGAGCTGGCTGGATAATCGTTAGCTTCTTCGTAATATCCCACGTCCTTTTTTCGGGAGACAAATAGCTTACAGCTTCGCAGGTCTTCAAAAGTCTCCGATCATTCCGCCATCAACTCATTCTGTTCGTACCTCTGGCAGTTCCGCTTCAATTTGGCATGTACTGATAAGACTCAGTGGGCTCGCAGTTAGTGACTTTCTCATGGCACTCAACTTTCTCTCGTCGACCGCCATGAACGTCAACGGTAACGAGATCGGTGCTCCGGAACAACAAACATTCTGCAGTTTCAACGGCTTCATGACCCAAGTCTTCGTCATACAGACCGATTACTGGGTGTTGACTATTGCAATGTGTACATACGTCATTTTAGCAGGTTACAAATCCTTATCGTCGTGGGTCCAAGATCAACGCATCTTCCTTTCATGTCTCCCTTGGGCACTCAGTTTGCTATGGGCTGGTCTTGGACTGAAACTGGCGGGATATGGTGACATTGGAGCTTGTATGTCATAGAATAGTAAACTGGGGGTTTTATTGACTTCATTTAGGGTGCTGGTTCACTTCTGATGAAGTCCGTCTCCTCGCCAACTTCGTTCCCAGATGGGTCATTATCATCACCATCCTCGCCATGTATGCTCGTCTATACTTTATTCTCCGGAAATCGCACAAGAGCTTCATCTCGCTTGGAAACTCAAACTCGACATCGGAACCGTCTAGAGAACGTACTATTACGCGGTCGAATCATGATGTCTGGCGTTATCACGAGTCAGATGCCGCTGGTCGTCGAAGACTGCAAAGGGTTTGTTGCTTCCACTGCTGACAGCGCATAACAGAGTGCTGACTAAGAGGTAGATTGCACGATTGATGATCATGTATCCCCTTGTGTATATGATGGTCTGGACACTGCCTACAGCCATTCGGGTATATCAGACCATCAAACATACTCCAGCTCCATTTGCATTGCAGACGATTGACAAAGTCAGTAGCCCCACCAATATTCCTAGGTTAAGCTAAAGCTAACTTGAGCAGGCCTGCATCGTGTCACAAGGTCTCGTCGACGCGATAATTTACGGTGTCAACGAATCTTCTCTCAGTCGATGGCGCGAGCTCATATTCTCGTCCAGTGATAAGGACGTTACAGAGACAGTAACAGCCAGAAACACCGATCCTAGAGTATCGACACGGGTACACTCAAATGCAGCTGTCACCTCCTCTGCGTCTAGTAGCAAAGTCATAATCACAACTTCGATTGAGCAGGAGACAAGCAGTATCGATAGAGATGACGGACTGGAGCTTACAGAAATGAGGCCGGTTTTTAGACCAAACTCAGGGTCACGATAGAGATGGTGCTTGTAGAAAGATGGATACTTGGTGGCTTAGATATGCATCATAGATTAATGGCACGCGCGATGACCTGTTCTACCAATTTGATTTATCTTGACGTAGGAGCCCGATCACTACGGTACGTACCTCTGGAAACCAACCAGTTCGCTTCTGTTATCGCCTTTTGTTTTCGCACCAATACCTCCACCTCTACCCAATTTCGAGATTAAGCACCTCTATCGTTACATCATTCGACGTTCAGGTCCATCTCACGAAATACAGATAAAAATCCAAACAAGGAAAGCAGTAGTTTCTTCTCTAGAATAGGTGATAGGCTTACGTTGCCAGATGCTCGCTTACTTGCGGATCTAGCCTATCATAACTACCTTAGTACATGACCCGTCTAACACGAATTCCAGATACACTGAGGGCAGTTGCTGTAACAATATCCACCGCAACCAAACTGTCCGTTAGGGCATGTGCAGCAAGTGCCACGTAACTCGAGACCCCTCACAATGAGCTCATCAGCCTCGGCATTCCTCTTCTCCGACGGCACAGCCAGAACGACTGTAGCGGACATCATAGTGTACGTGATCGCGGTGATGAATCTCATGATGACTCCTTCGGGTTAGTAAGTGGAAATGAATACAATTCTTATGATATCTTACCTCGTCAAGAGACTGGAGTTGAGAATAAAACAGATGCCGATTTGATGGTATGAAAATATAGTTGAGGAGATGAAGGTAAGCAATGGAAATTACCAATGGATGTGTTCAATGGGGGATAAAAGGTGATCTTATATACCTTGATACTACGCAGTATATACCAGCTGGACTTACAACTACCGATTCGCTGCTTGACGATATGGTCCTATCCCCATATTTCGGCCCGCGGACGCGTCATATTATACGAACTGGAACTCGAATGAAGTGCTTTGAACCATAAACCAGACCCTCTTCATCCAAACTTACCTCCTAGCCTGTGATGATCGACGTTCCGAGTTCCGAAAGTCCTGCAGCTTATATCTAAGCACAGCGGTTAGCAAACATGCAGCTACGAAACTTGAGGATCGGTGAGTGATTAATGGTTGAACTCTCGAGCTCTCAATACTTCTCTTCATTGGATGTAACCCGAAACCTCGTATTTCGTCTGTCTGAGCCGCTGTGGAGATCGGCTACGACGGCCCGTGCCGGTATCCGAAACCACTCTGAGCCTGAAGAAACCTGTTTGTATAATACCGTGGTCGACCTTGGTTAAATGGCTGCGTACGCGCCAGCAGCTTGCAAATCTAAGTTGCTGCGATGATCCAGAATCTCGCTCGGCTCAACATTCGTTGATGCACTCGTCAAGGCTCCTTAAGGACATCATCGCCGTTGACTATTTTCTCGAAGCGGTTTATTGCTATGACGATTTTCTGAACCATGAAACAAAACGTGTCATTGCGAGCCATCTTCGGCAGACTACTCGACCAATATTGTACCCTGTCATCGCAGGCTGAGTTACTTAGTATGCCTATACTGAGAGCCTCCCTGAGCCGTATGGGGGCCACGAGTTGTCGCATCCAACTGATGAAGTCGGGATGGAGACATTTTTGCTTACGCCTTGGCTGTCGTGAACGCAATGAAGAATTTATAGCTGTGCGAGTGCTTTGAGTATGGTCACCAGCCGGGTTGCGGCTATACGTTTAGCTGAATGATGTAAGGTAAAACACCATATTGGGTCATATCTTTGCTTATCGCGATCTATCAGAAATGTCAGTATAAATTATAAGTACAAGTATAGAACTCTTGTTAGATATAGGGCAGTCTGAATTACCAAGCGCTAGTTTGTTCAAACCCGGCGGCGAGGTGGATTTCAGTCAAGACTCTATGTTAGGGAGAACTTTAGCTCGACCTTAGAGCTAACTCTTGAGACCGAGGTGGAATTCTGAAATATCTGCTTGGGGATCATTTCTTCAGGGGACAACCGAGGTTGTCCGGCGAATAGCTGTATGTACATTTTCCTCATTCGAGGACGCTCTTTCGTAGCAAGGAGCTCATGCTGCTTGGGCCAGCTGTGAACTCCGTGAGATGAGCATCTCGCAGCCTCTCGAGAATATAAGCAAGCTTCGGACATCCAAAGCTGGCTCATCACAGTTCATCAGCAAGATGGACTCATGCGCCTTCTGAAGTCAAGAGGCAGTAACTAACTAGTCACCAGCGACCTAAGTAAGCAAGCTTCTTACATTCTAGTGGGGTTAGTGGCCCTTGAACTGCGTATTTCAATACTGTACGGTGAACGGTGAGTGTCCGATAGCTCTAAGCTAGCGTCGGATACACACCGATCCTGTCGGACATCCTCCAAATCTATACTATAGCTCAAAAACCATCCTCGCTCCAGCAAAAGGTCATAGACATACGATTATCGACTACACACGCAATCAAAATGCCAGTACCCATTTTACCGCCTGCTGCATGGAATTCCCATGTGCACTGCTTCGACCCGGAGCACTACCCTTTCAAAACAACGCGCGCTTATACCCCGCAGCCAGCAGCATTGCAAGACCTCATTCAGAACTCAAGATCGGATAATGTGATGCTTGTACAAGCGACCATTGAAGATGGATATGAAGGCTTGTTGGAACACCTGCAGCAATGCCGGGACCTGTATCCCGATAAGCTTGTCCGTGGGACTATCTTTTGGGATCCTGGAAGTACGGGTTTGAAGAGCCTCACTGAATTTGAGTTTGAGAAGCTGCATAACGCAGGGGTTCAATCTGTGAGGATTCATGGCTCATATGGCGGTTCTGGCGATGATGTATCTTGGGTGGTACAGCAATTCCTGGACGTTGCTTCTCATTGCCCTCTGCGTAAATATAACTGGAGTATCTCAGCACAATTACCGCTCAAGACATGGTCTTCAATTGCAGAAACGCTCTCTTCTCATCGAGACCTCAAAGAAATCCCCATAATCATTGATCACAACGCTTCCGCAACATCAGCCGACATCAACACCCCCGCCTTCACCTCCCTTCTACACCTTCTCATCTCCTCAAACACCTACATCAAACTCGGTGCCCTCCACCGAAGAAGCACCCAAATCTCCCAAATGGAGCACATAATAAAAACCATCGCAAACGCCGCGCCTGACTCAATCCTCTGGGGAAACGACTGGCCGCACTGCAATGCTGCGATCCGAGGACTTACCCCGACGCCTCCGCTTGAAGTAGACACAGACCAGGAGCTTGGACTGTTGAGGGATTGGCTTACGGAGGAGCAATGGGAGCGTATGCTTGTTTTGAACCCCAAACGGGTATTCGGCACGCGGGGGTAGAGGCTAGTGAGTGTGGGGAGAATCTGGGGTCGGGATGGGTCCGAAGGTCTTGAGTCCGGGACGATAAGTTGGGGAACTTTGGTGTATAAAGAGAGACATCCTTATGAAGTTCATCGACGCATTGCAATTCAATCTCTTATCAATTTTGCTTGACCATTTCCAACATGGATAGTTCTAAATCTCAAGTAGACGATGTCACCGTCCTCAAATCCACAGGTGAAGAAGTCGAAAATGTCGCTACCAAACAACTCACCCTCCTGGATACCTACCGCTCCTACACCCCAGAATTCTCCAAAGAAACAGAAGCTCAGCTCGTGCGCAAGATTGATCTTCGGCTTCTTCCCCTAACTGTTACTATTTATCTCTTCAACTACCTCGATCGCAACTCCATCACCCAAGCTCGTCTCAACCCACGTCAAGGGCGCGACGTACCAGACGGCCAGTTCTATCTTTTCTGCTGGATACATCATGATGCAGCTTCCATCAACGATGATTATGACAAAAATACAGCCTCATATTTTCTTGGTATGTCTTCAATTATGGGGTTTGGGACTTGACTAATTTGTATAGCCTGGCTGTATTATTCTCTGGGCTTGTGTTAGTGCCTGTACATCTGCAACTTCTAGTCCAGCAGGCCTTCTCGTCGTTCGCTTCATCCTCGGTGTCGTCGAAGCCCCATTCTTCCCTGGAGCTATATACTACCTTAGCACATGGTACACCAAAAAGGAACTCGGTATTCGAATGGCGTTGCTCGTCTGTGGCATTCTCTTGTCCAATTGCTTCGCCGGTTTGATCTCCGCGGGTATTCTCTCAGGAATGGCTGGTGTCGGACATCTCGCCGCATGGCGATGGCTCTTCATCCTTGAAGGTCTCGCTACTATCGTCATCGGAGTGGTCGCGTTCTTCCTTCTTCCTGATTACTCTGGTACTACGACCTGGTTAACTGAAGAAGAAAGAGTTGTCGCGTAGGGCCGATTGGCTGTTGATGCTGGAAGCGAAGAGATCCTTGGCGAAGAGGAGATCACTATGAAACAAGCCATACTCTCAGCTGTTCGTGACTACAGAGTATGGTTGTTTGCATGCCTTCAAATGTCAACAACCGCATCTATTTCATTCTCGCATTTCTTTCCTACCCTGATCAAACAACTCGGCTTCAAAAAGAACACCATAGTGCTTCTCCTTACTGCACCGCCATACCTCTTCTCCTTCGTCTGGGCCCTCAGCTTCGCATGGGATGCTGATCGATGACAGAAGCGATCTCCCCACGCTGCCATCTCTGGCCTCACAGCCATCGCCGCTACCATCGCACTCGTCGCCATTACAGACCAGAAATGGCCCCGGTACGCATTGACCTTCCTCGTCAGTGCTGGAACATTTGGGATTTACTCTACGACTTATCCTTGGCTGTCTTCGACGATCGTTCAACCACGAGTCAAGCGTGCGGCTTCAATTGGTATCGCGAACACACTTGCAAACAGCGCTTCACTTTTCGCAAACTACTTCTGGCTTGACCAGTATGGGCCCGACTTTCGTGTCTCTTGGGCTTGTATCTTGGCTTTCCAAGGATTGGGTTTTGCTTGTATCATGGGGCTGAGGTATTCTCTTAAGCGGGCTAACAAAGCTTTCGATGAGTTGAGTGCAACCGTTGATGAGACTAGTGAGGAGAACGTGAACAGGCTGGATAAGGATTCTCAGAGAGCGGTTCTGAAAGGATTCAGGTTCATTACTTAGAGCTGTGAAGATAAAGACGCGTATACCAACCTCAGAGAATATTCGGATAGCGTGTCTCATAAGATGTCATGAACTTCGATTAGCAGCAAGCACTGTAATGCGCAAGGCTGGTGTATAAGTGATTGAAAAATGCAGATAAATCCATCGTATGCTGATGAGAAGATATGCCCCCGACCTCTCAAGTCATGTTGATCACATCACTCTTCATCTCCATTCAAGAACTCAAACCCACAAGACCGCACTCCCGTCTCAATTCAGATTATTTATACCCGCCAAAAGGTTTGTTGAGAAAGAGGTGGCTTATACAGTTGATTCCAACCATCCCAGTCTCAAACTCACCAGCAACACGCAGAGCTCTATTGATGTCGCGTGTGAAAACACCAGCAGCTAGTCCATAGTCGCTGTTATTAGCTCGAGAAATGACTCGATCACCTTCCTTGAACTCTCTGATGATATACACCGGGCCAAAGATCTCTTTAGTTGTGATCTCGGACTCTTCGGCGACTTCGATAAAGGCTGTAGGAAGGAACCAGAAACCCTAAGTGTTGTTAGTATTTACAAGGGAATAATTGGGTATCTGATTGTTCCTTGTCACCAACGGACTGCTCCTCGTCAAAAGCTTTCCATCGCCTTGCTTCAAAGCTCGATCGGACTGCAACTCGTCCAGAAGCGGGTCAAACCTTGTCTTCAGATCATTCACATCACCAAACTCCTTCGCCCTCACCTCCATCGCATCCCGATAAGCCTCAACAAACTTATCATAAGCACCCTCCTGCACAGAAATATGCCTACAAACTATACGGTCCTGTCCCGTGTCCCGAAGAATACTCTCCACCGTCTCCGTGACAGCCTTTTCCAAATCGCAATCATCAAAAACAACAACTGGATTTTTCCCACCTAGCTCTAAGCTAACCTGCTTAAGGTTGGCAGCCGTAGCGGCTGCTAGGATTTTCTTCCAGACGGGCACTGAACTTGTGAAGGAGACTTTCTTGACGCGTATGCGGTGTGAGAGGAGCGAGCCGGTGGAGCACTTGGCAGTTAGGATTTGGAAACCGCCGGGCGGGAAGCCGGCTGCTTTGTGAGCTTACCGAGGGCGAGGGTGACGAAGCGTGTTTTATCGGAGGGCCTGTAGATGTAGCAATTGCTTGCTGCGAGAGAGGCTGGGGTTCTGTAGATTGTCATTGGAAATGATGCGTCCCATCAGACCATTCCGAAAGTGACGCCTAATGGTTCATGGCGAGCAATCTGCATCTACAAACGTCATCAGGATTTTCTAATGAGTGTTTTGAGAGTTCGACGTACATAATAATAATCAGTTGGCCTAGACTCTCCATGGATCTTATCAATCCACCCAGCGAAATAGCGGAAGCGCGCCGAGGACATCTGCATAGCCCAGGTAATCGACTTGGGCCCTTCAACGGTCAAGTCGTGAGAGCCAAGATTGCTTCTGCGTTCTCGTCGATGAAGTCCGCGAGCTTAGGCACCAGCGCCTTTCGAACTTCTGGGTGAGTCTTCTTCCAGGCTGGGAAGGCCTTTTTGGCGGCGTCGACTGCGGCGTCAACGTCTTCAGGGCCGCGATCTGGATGTCGTCTTCGACGAGGGAGTCATCGGCTGGATTGTAGGCAGAACATCTAGGGGTTTAGTTTAATATCTCATTCCTTAAAATTCTTGCCAGGCTTTGAACTCGTTCATGCAGGTCCAGGTTTGCCTGTAGGGCTTAGACAAACGTCGTGAGACTCGTGACTGGTGAAGTAGCTCCACGTATAAGTGTATCTAGCACGGATCACAGCTTGCTGACTTTGGTGAATACGAGATTAAGGCATTGGATTCCCGACGTGATGTTGAATTCATCGCTGTTTATTGTATTTTGGTCATTCGGGATCGCGCTCTGGAAAATGCTCTTCGAAAGTTCAATTATACGGAGGTGTTCCAGCTACTGACTAAGAACCTCACACTGATCTAAACAAGCTTATCATAATCATTCATTCCAATCCAAACGCTAGAAATCCCATAAACTTTTCCCTACACATAAAAACTCATCCATCACTCCTCCCCCCCCTTCCCCGTATTCAAATTCTCATCGCTCCCTCCCTCCTCCGTATACCAAGTACTCGGCTGTTTCTTTGTCGTCTGCACCAGCGAGATCTCACTATCCTGATCCCTCGATTGGAGATAACTCTGCCCTGATCGAAAGCCACTCGAGTTCGGAACTCTAGGATTTCTCGACGCCGATGTTGATCGTGGCATACCCGCGTATGAAGATCCCTTTGTCGTTCCGCCCTCGCGAAAGAAGTATGCGAATATTGACCGGCTGAGGGCAAGGTTGGCGCCGACGATGCCGAGGTAGAGTTCGAGGTTTGACCAGATTGCTGTTATGGCGTAGACCCCTAGATTTGTTAGAACATGGTTGCGGATTGGGGATTGGGGATGACTTACAGCTTAGATCTGATGTCACGACGCCGAGGGATGCTGCACGAGCGATTCCGAAGCCAGTAGCTCTGTTGAGCGTTAGTGACTGAATCATAAGAAGGGAGACAATGGTTGGGCCAACGTACACTAGCCCCAAGCTCATCAAAGCCCAGACTGAAATCTTTGTCTTCAATGGAAGGCTGGTGTTCCATATCACAAAGACTGGTAGTAGTGAACATATCAAATCGGTGAGTATGGAAAATGCTGCCGGGTTTTGTTAGCCCATGTCAACCCAAGCCACTCGAAATCCAGAAATACATACCAATCGTAGCATAAATGTAGTAGATTCGAATCCTTGGGTTCCAACACTTCCCAACACCAGTCCAATACGCACTGACAGGTCTGCACTCCGAAAGCAAAATAACAATGCATCCAAAATTCGTCACAACCAATCCCACCATGATCCCCCACGCCGCATACCTCACCCTCCTCGAATCCTTAATCCTCAATAACAGCAACAATATCGAAATCTTGAGCAGACAAATACTCGCAAAAAGCAAAATCTGCGCTACCCAACCGAGCTTGTTATTCTGCACGTAATCCTCCGGCTCGATAAACCATCTATGTCGCCCATTCCCAATACTGACCTGCCCAACCTGCACGCCGAACCGCGCGACGCCGAGCAATGTGACGATGACGATGGTGTAGTCGTCCCAGCCTGACGATCGTAGGGCTGTGCGTACCCAGATCCGAACGCTAGTGGTGATGATCACCAGGGCGAGACAGGTGCCTGATATGCCTAGGAGGATTGGACCGACGTTTTGATCGGGCGGTAATGGGTTTGGTGGTTGCACGGATGCCATGATCAGCGTATATGACGAAAGGGATTGTTAGTGAAAAGAGGGGGAAAGGAAGGGGGGAGTGCATGAAGTGGTAGTAATTGGTAGCGTGAGTTTTTGTTTATGTACGGTCTGCGCGGCATTTGTTGACGGGACAGGGGAGGATGCGGGATCTGATGTCTCACACGGCGCAGCTGCTACCGAAACTTTAATTCTATTAAAGGTAGCATCAGGTTCTGTCACCTACTGCATTCATCACCAAGTTTCCACTGTTCGAGTCAGTGACCGTTGGGTTTATACGCGGTTTCTAGTACCCGCGCATCAGACCATGGCATTATTCAGGTCTCTAACCCCCCATTCTTTCTAATTCTATTCGACGCTGTAAGCGAAGGACCCTGAGTCCCTGGTCTAAGCAAAACCTTATAGTGCATTGGCGGGGTTTCATCGTCCGCCAAGGACGTATTGGTCGCCCTAAACAGGCCTCGCTCCGCTCCCTGCCACGGATGAGTCTTCCGCTTGTCAGTTAAATTTACAGTTAAATACTACCTTGTTATGCAGGGGCCAGATGCACGAGCGGGCGACGCAATAAAGGCTTTTCTCCTCCTCCCGTTGCTCTCTTTCTTCTTTTGTCTGTGTTCTGCAGCTTTGTGGCGATTACCGTGCATTGCAATATCTGTTACTTTTTGGAAACCATGCTTGTCAAGTTGTATTTGTGGTTTAGCCTTGCTGCAGCTGCAGTAGCGGCTCCGTCAAAGGACACCTACGATTATGTGAGTCAATTTGTCTCCCCCAATCCAAACGGCATTTGTCTCATACTACCAATTGACACGTTTTAACTCTAATGACATGTCGCATTCCTCATCTTAAATCGAGCAACTCCTCGGATCTCTCGGCTAATCCTGAACTCTTTTATAGATCGTCGTCGGAGGTGGCACAGCTGGTGTCGCAGTCGCAGCTCGTCTCAGCGAAGGCCTCCCATACGCCAACATTCTCCTCATCGAAGCCGGCCCCGCTGTAGACGATGAACCAAAGATCAATATTCCCGGTATGAAGGGTTCGACCCTCGGTACCAAGTACGATTGGAACTTTACGACTGTTCCTCAGGCGGGCGCGAATAACAGAGTTTGGCCGATCAATCGGGGCAAGGTCTTGGGAGGGAGCTCGGCTCTGAATCTCATGACCTACGATCGTGCTGCGGCTGCTGAATACGATGCCTGGGAAGCGCTTGGTAACCCTGGGTGGAATTGGAAGACGATGATCAAGGCGATGATGAAGTCTGAGACATTTACTGGTAAGAACACTGCCACGTACGGTTCAAAGGGCGTTGGCGACAGCGGCCCCGTCAAGGCTGTCGTCAATCGCATCATCCCCAAGCATCAAGAGTCTTGGATCCCCACTCTCAACAAGCTCGGAGTTCGCAAAAATCTGGAGTCGCTGGGTGGCGATCCTCTTGGTGTCATGTACCAGCCCAGCAGCATTGATCCCTCCAATTACAACCGCTCTTACAGCGCCAACGCCTACACGGAAATCTCGGGTTCCAACCTTGAGATTCTTGCTGACACCATCGTCGCCAAGATCAACGTCTCTAGCCCTGCTGCGAAAAAGAAAGCCGTCGCTACTGGAGTGACTCTCCAGGACGGAACCTACGTCAAAGCCCGTCGCGAAGTCATCCTCTCTGCTGGTTCAATCCAAAGCCCCGGTCTTCTTGAGCAGTCTGGCATCGGAAGTAAATCCGTTCTTTCCGCCGCCGGAATCAAGCAGATCATCGATCTTCCCGGCGTCGGTGAGAATCTTCAGGATCATCTCCGCGTCATGACTTCATACCAGCTCAAGCCTCAGTTCCTGTCCTTCGATGCCCTTCGAAGTAATGCCACCTTTGCCGCTGAGCAGCTTGCTCTCTGGAACGCTGGCAAGCGCTCTCTGTACGATTACACCGGCAGCGCATACACTTTCTCAACATGGAAGCAAGCACTCGGTAACGATGCCAAATTGGTGTCGCTTGCTAAAGATGCTGCTGGTAAGGATGCCAGCAAGGTTGACAAGAAGAAGTTGGACTTTCTCAAGGATTCTTCCATTCCTCAAGTCGAGGTCATTTTCTCAGATGGTTACACCGGAGTAAAGGGCTATCCCGCCGCTACGTCTCCGCTCTTCGGCAAAGGCTTCGTCACGCTCATCGGTGTAGTCATGCATCCTCTTAGCCGCGGCAGCGTTCACATCAATCCCTCCGATCCAGCCGGTAAACCCACCATCAACCCCAACTACCTCAGCAACTCTCACGACGTCGAAGCTGTTTTACAAACAGTCAAGTACAACCGAAAGATTGCAAACACGGAGCCCATGCGCTCAATCTGGGAGGATGAGTACGAGCCTGGTCTTGATGTCAAGACTGATGAGCAGATCAAGGATTATGTTTTGAGAACGACGCTGAGCATTTTCCATCCTAGCGGTACTTGTGCTATGCTCCCCAAGGCGGATGGTGGTGTCGTTGATGCTAAGCTCAAGGTTTATGGGACGGAGAATCTTCGTGTTGTTGATGCTAGTGTTATTCCTTTGTTGATCTCGGCCCATATTCAGACGGCTGTTTATGGCATTGCTGAGATTGCTGCCGAACTTATTATCAAGGATGCGAAGTAAATATTTCTTTCAATTATGTTGCATATTAAGAAAACCCCATTGACGTAGATTCTTGTGATTTCAAACCAATTTTCGCAATTCCCAGGTGCTTCGAGGACGGGCAGGCTGATCTAGCACAAGTAACGCTCGATTCCCATCCCCCAACCAACGGTTTTCATGGGCTTCAGTCTCCGCATATCCACATACCATGAGTACTGGCCCATATCGAGTTCATGGCGAGCCAGTGAGTCAAGAACTTGGTCAGCGGTTTCGTAGCGAGCACCACAGCCCATGGTTCCCCGATAAGGAAGTCGGCACAACTGGCTTTCGCTGTATCACCATTCAAGTACGCCTGGTAAAACGGCATGCTCTGGTGGTGCATCTCCGTTAACCACACAGCCTCACCATCCTTCTCAATTGGCTTGAGCTCCCCTTTTCGTGTCAACGCCTTTCCCGGCCCCGGTCGTTCAGGCACAACATCGCGCCACATCTCTATTAGCCAGGTATATTGTTTATAGTTAAGACTTGTGGCTAAGAGCTTAAATTAGCAGACGGAACTTAGCTCTGTATTACAAATGAGAAGTGCTGGCGGGACGTTATGTGCTATACGTAACCTTTTGTCCGCGCAAAGTTTGGCCTTTGTTTCGCAACTTACCCGTTACACTTTGAACATAAGCTTTCCGGCCTGTGACTCAGAACTAACCTTGCCAACCATTCTGTTTCCCTTTCCTCACCCGCGCTAATTCTTCCCAACACCGTCTTCACTAGGTATTTTGCGTCGCCTCCTACCCACCACCAACTAGCCGCATTTCAATCAATCAGCACTCGCTAGTCCCAACTCTTTGACATACGGCACTTACCTACGGCAGCGAAAACAAAGTAACGAAATAAAGGCTCCGTTCTGGCCCTTGAACCGAGAAACTGACCCTGCAAGGCCGCGATAGCTCTTGTCTGCGTCAATTAAACCGAGCGTGTAGTCTCATTGCGATGGCTCTGCCAATCATTCACATCAACGGCTTCCCAGGACAAGGCAAGCTCACCATCGCCCGGAAGCTTGTCGTACTTCTGAAGTCGTATAACGGCAAGCTTGTTCACAACCACCTTCTCATCGATCCTGTCGGCGCTATCCTACCACGTTCCAGCCCTGACTATCAGCCGACACGAAGCGCAGTTCGGTCTGTCATTTTCGATGCGCTGGCAGTCTCACGGGACACAATGGGGTCCGTCTACGTCTTCACTGACTTTCAGTCCAACAATGATATCGGGCGTACGGTCATGGCTGAGTACTGCAACATGGCAGCTCGCCGGGGCTGCACATTTTTGCCAATTACAGTCACCTGCAGCAAGGAGGAGAATCTGCGACGGCTGTCGTCATCAGAGCGGGTGCTGCACGAAAAGTTGACAGACACAGCGCTCGTGGCGTATCTGCGCGATAACGCCGTTACTTACCAGTGGTCAGATGATCCTTTACACATGGAGATTGATGTTACGGAGTTGGAAGCTGATGCGGTCGCACGGATCATATATGAGCATACTCTGAAGGTTTGCAAAGAGCTGCATAGTTAGTTTCTTGTGAGGTTTGTTGATAAACCGTCTTTCATGGATTGACGAAAAATCATGGATGGATTATCCTAGTACAAGCTACAAATTCTGAAGTTTTCTCTTGTGAACGATTAGATTCGTCCGGGTCGGATCGCCCAGTTGTGAGACTCCAACGCTCATTTCGCCTCTCAACTGGAAATGCGAGAGATTTGACTCTATTTTTTCTGTTACATGAATCGGAAGCGCGTTGCCCTAACCAGCTTTCAGTGATCGATTGACGCGCAAAGAAATAGTGAATCACTGATGCTGAACGTCGGGCAATCACCTTGTCTGGGCACCTTCGCTCTGTGGTTGAAGTCCATAGTCCATCTCTTCAGCCACAGTTTCACCGCAAAAAGGTATCTCTATGGAAGCAACTTCGTCTGTGAATCTGCATAGTAGTCTGAGTGTCACTGTCCTCGTGCCTTGATGAATGCAACAGCGTCTCGAGCGCGCTACATCATTGCCCAAGTGGCTGGAGAAAACATGCTCTCAACCACCGTCCCTTGCCATCCACGACCATCGCAAAGCTGAGAGCACGCTCCTCGTTCAACTCATCGCAAACATCACATAACAACCGTCCCAAGACCAGTCAATCCCACATTTCACGATGGCGATTCAGTACGTACACAACTTCTTCCGCCGAGACCCAAGCCGTCCATCCAAAGACAAAAAGATCAACCGCTTTGTCGAAAAGTCACAAGGGCAGTACCAAGCCAAGTTTCTGGATGAAGAGAAGCAGTTCCTTCGCATCACTCGGGCTTTTGTGGAGAGCAACAGCGTGGAGGACACGATTGAAGACGTCTTCAAGGCGATGAAGAGAAGGGGACTCAAGAAATACTGGCAGCGGAAGCTCACTGTGACTGGTTGCAATGCCGATTATGTTGCGGTTGACGTTGCGGACCTGGAGGTTTGAAGAGATCTGAGGAGGTTTGACGGCGACAAGCAAAGTTGGAAAGAAGAATTGAATATTCACCAGTTGCGACAGAGTCTGGATGACAGACCGGTGGCTTTCTTGGGCTATGTAGAATCATCAAGTGCTGGGCTGGTGGCAAAGAACGTTAGAGGAGGAACTCTGGGCAGTGAGAATCCGACCGAAGATCAGGTCTTGACTGTCCCCGCAATACAAACAATCACTAGTCTGTGGCATGTATTGTTCAGTCTCCATCTTATACTTGTGCTAACTTGTCGTTGAAAGAGATCAATGGTAAAATGCAAAGGAGACTGAAGGTGAATCAGCGCATTCGTCGCTAAGCTGGATCTCAGCCAAGCTGAGCAGTACTGAAGAACCGCCATCGTTCTTTGATGTATAAACAAGGACGATTTACTCGTGACTGTTCATCGACCGCGTCGAGAGCATCCGCATCACAGATGATGCCAGCGAACTTTTCCTATAAAGCTGAGGCTCCCGCCATTTCATCCGCTCCAACTTTTCTGTGCTAATTTAAGCTCTCAAACACAAGTGTCCTGTAAGAAAGGCATCTAGGTCACTCACCAAACCATCCCGATACAATTCTCAGAAACCATGTCACAACTAGACTCCCCCACTAAACCCATGTATCTCCACACAATATGGGGCCGAAGGCCTATGAACACAATGCAAAGACTGCTCGCTCTGTTAATCCCCTGGGCAGAAACCAAGCTTCTCAACTTTATCAAGAAGTATGAGGTCCGCTATAGGGACTTTTGGGATGATGGGCTGCGATTGACGGTGCCATTGGGTAACAAGACCCCGCTAAGGGCACTTGCAGATCTGGCTACGCTGATGGAAATTGAAGGACTGGATAAGGACTGGGAATTTGTGTCGTATGTGCTTACTGACACTCCGGATGAGTTCGATCCTGTGACCTGTGTCAGAGACTAGTTTGTTTGGTCTGGCGTGAGAGGTCTTGGAAACGGTTTCTCAATTGCTCCGCTAGGAACCAATGATGGTTGAAGAGGTAGTTCTAGCAGCAGTTTTCAATCAAAATCTCATCATCTGCATTTCCTTCTGGGGGTGAACTGTAGTAAAAACTGAGAAGAAGGCCTTTTGGCAAACAGTTGAAAGAGCACTCACGTATATCAGAGCGTCTGCGCTAAACTACATCCATCACTGTGAACAGCGCTTGAACACTCGTGGTTGTCCCTTGATGTGTGAACAAGATACGGTTTCCCTAGGCAACATCACTGTTCAGCAGCTGAGAAGAGAGTACCATTGTCACAGTCAATGTCTGGGATCTTGGTATATATAATTGGCCGTCATCGCCCTCTGAACCTACCCATCAAACCGTCCCCACACAACTCCAAGAAACCATGTCTGAACCAACTCCCATCACCGAGCCTACGCATACACACACAATATGGCGTAAAAGAGAATTAAGCAGAACTCAGAAACTCATCGGCAAAGTCAAAGGCACACCAGAGAAGAATACTAACAACTTCATTATAAAGCATGGGATCTGCTGGGCCAGGCAATGGGAGGATAGGCTTCGATTAACGATGCCGTTGGGCGACAAGAGTCCAGAGGAGACACTTGCAGACCTTGGAGCGCTGATGCAAGATGACGGAATTAATCAGTACTGGAAGTATGTGACGCAGGTTCTTACTGACGATCCGCGCAAAGTCGAAAAGGTGGAACAGATCAAGTAATCAAGATGCGAAAAATGGAGCTCTCAGAAACAAGTTCTGATTTTATTTGCTACACTGCCCGCTTGGTTCATTGTTTTATCTTGATATTGGCTGTGGCGACATGGAGAGGATCACTTTACCTGGATGAGTGGTACCAATTTTGATCATATAGATCGCTCTTCTCGCCATCTTAAAAATGAACATAATTGAGTTCTCATTGATTGGATTCCTCTTAAGTGAAGTATAATTCATAATTGTCCCTTTGCCGTCTTGTTAACTATTCAGCATCAGGTCCAGATATCTCTGCTAAAGGTTGTCACAAACTTCCAAGAGATGCCGTCAATGGCGTGGCTTCACACAATCAACCACTTGGGTCAAAGCAACAAGTCAGCAGAAATTTCTATTGCTACCAGTTATTCACAGGAAGTCTGGATATTTGCAGCAGTGATGAACGCTCTTGTATGTATGTGATGGCACGCAAACCTTCCGGTTTTGGCATCACTGTCTGAGAGTCGACTGTGTCACAGAGAACCTTCTGGCACTCTTTGGATGGTATAATACAATTACCTGGATGTTGGACTTCCGGTCATTCAACAACTACGTTATACGAACACATCAACAACAAAACTACGGTCAATATCATGGGTGCAATGACTGCCACAAAGTTCCGAGAATGGTGTGACAAATGGAAGGAAAACTTCAGACACTACCACTTTGTTAAGAATGCAGACGGCTATTCCTCATCATTATTTGACTTTACTTGCAAGTACAAGGGCAAATATAAGGTCATTTTCGATAAAGTGACCGATACTCTGCATATTGTATTGCCCAAAGATGATTACTATCACAGAGGCCTGAACGCTCAGAAAGCCATCAGAAAGGAGCTTGAAAGAGCCATGGCTAAAGGAATGCCCCGCTATTGGGTGAAGGATGAGGCGAGACACCGAGACATAGAAGCACGTTTTACACGCGAGGTGGAAGCGCATTATGAAGAGGAAGAGGCCAAGGAACAAAATGGGGGAAATTATGAAAGGCGCAAGGGTGGTCTAAACAAAGAAGACAAAGATTTAATTCTCAGCTTGAATAGCTGACCAACATGAATTCCCTCCATCGCCATGGTTTCTGACTTTGTGAAATATCTCTTGGGTAGCTAGACGCTGTCAAACTTTATCAAGATAATGCTCGACTCAGTGAGAGCCAGGTGGCCAGTGTAATAGCAGCAACTAGGTATTGCTCGGAGTCACAACGTTTCTAAGATTATCCCTTGAACAAGTAAAAATAGATAGACAGCGCTTGGGGGTCAAGGAAGCTACCGCGAAGCAGAGAGGAATCTGCCACGGTCACAAAGGCTGCGTCTTAGTGACCCGCCATACGATGATTGGCACCGAGGTATTTCTGTAGGAAGCCCCTTCACTCGTTGAGTTCAGCTGGGTGAAGCGATGCAAGCTCGCACTGACTAGTATTATTCAGTATGACACCCTTGCCACGCTGGGCTTTCTAGCTCTGCAACGTCACTGATGGTTCTGAGCGTGAACAAAGCCCTCATAATTTGTAGAAGCATCACCCTCGATGCCCTCTGGAATGCTGTCCTCTTCACCGCCTGTCTTTTCATGGACATTGTTTTATATACGGTGGGTTCGGCGTGATCTTTCAGCCGACTCATCAGACCATCCTCCTGACAACATTCCAACAATATACATAACGACAAACACAATGGAACGTTCCCACTTTGACCGGCGGCCGCCAATGTATTCTAGAGAGCTAGATCCATCCGAAGCAGCTCCGCCATATAGGGAAATCCCATCCCCCCCTCCATATCCTACGGTCTCATCCCCAGAATATCTCAACGAGAAGTTCAGATATTTTTACCTGTACAAAAAGAAGGATGCCTGGATGCCCGCCCTTGCTGATTTCCTTGTCAAGAATAAAGATTACACATTTGAGCTCTTTGGGAATGATACAGAGCTTCGCATCATCCTACCCGAAGATTGTTACATGTCAATGGAGTTTGAAGAGCTTCGAAATAAACGCAAAAAAGTGGAAGCTGCATTAGAGAAAGGAAAGGTTTTACGGTATTGGCAAATTGACCGCCCAAAGAATTACAGCACACAGGTGGGGCTCATAAAATCGAAGTTGAGGACCGAGTACCAAAAGAGGCTGGAGCAGGACGAGTTGTTCAGAAGGATGGAGGCGACGAAGACAGCCTCAGCCATATCGAAGGAGCTTAGTCGAAGTGTGCGGGACTTTTTTTCGCCGTTCTAAAGCTACAGTGGCTACTTGGGTGACTGAATACTCTAAGAAGCAGGCCACAGAACCGCAATTACCATGTGACAGCCAAACACCACGGGCCTGGAGAAACAGATAGCACCCCTGAGCCTACTTTGAAGAATTTCAAGAAATACATCGTCTTGAGTGTTTCGTGTATAGTGAGCATCTAATGTATCCACTGCTTTAATCCTTTTAATGCGGTCTACTGCCAATGATGAAATGCGTTGTAAGCAATCTGGCGAAGGATGCTTGCAAAGAGTTGAGTTACTCACAGTCAAGAGATTGAAAAAACAAAGGTAGCAGAAAGTCGGAGATTGATTGGTTGGGTTTAGTATTGATGCTCTTCGACTTTGACATCCGGAAACAGACACAGCATCACCAAAGGCCTGAAGTGTGATACAGATCCCGATGGACATTTCAGGAATCACCGTTCAGTGAGCCAGGAGCGGTTTCCTTGTCAAAGACCTTTTACGTTGGCGTTGACCTATATGATCATGACCCATCACACTCCCTGTCCAGCTCACTAATCACCTTTACGCCGAAACACAAAGACACCACAAACTCAGAATGGAAACTAAAACCTCGGAAAGAACTTCTCAACTTTCCATGCAGGAGAATCGAGTGAACGAAGTAATTTGGAACTTCTACTACGAAAGGAAGAGATATACCCCAATGCCTAGCTTCTTGAAGTCGGTGCTTCTTACGTCCATTGAGAAGAATATGGCAGATTATAACGTTGAACTCCTAGACAATGGCCAATGGTTTTCATGCTATACTGCCTCCTGTCAACTACCTCTACCTAGACGCGCGTTGTGCTGCTCGGAGGGAATTGGAAGAGGAGATGTAGAAAATGGAGCTTCAACACCATAGAGGCCACATGAATTTCCTTGCGTTTTCTTGAAGCTCTGTACATGATTCTGCACACAGATCTCATAGAATGCCGTGGAAACTTAACACAGCTGATGGATTGCAACACGGAACATGCTAGCTTTACTCCTCAGTATTAGGGAGATGGCGAATGAAGGCACACGTCACTCCATTGTAAGAGTGCAGGAGACAGGTTGTTTGAATCCCCGAGAATTGGCAAATGTATCAATTGGGAACAGAACCAGCGATACATTGTCTTCAGTCACTGTTGTCTAAGAATCGTCTCAGAGATGTGCAGAGACAGATCGACAGAAGTCAGCACTCGTCTTCTGTTCAACGTCAGTTTCCTTTCCCGCAGACAACAGCACCATTTCACCGATCGCGCTTATTCTGATACTGACAGAGGTTCCTATGCGAGTCACAGTCTGTAGGATCTGCCAAGTTTCCTTCATCACAGACCATGCTTACATCTACTCGCCATATATAATCATTGCCAACTACCTTCTCTGTCCTGCCCACTCTACACCTTTGAACAGACCAATTTACAAACTATCAACCTATCTGATTAGTAACCCATCCACTATGAATTCCCCAGCCTCTAAAGAGGAGAGAAAGAACCGCAAGGAACTGACCAAGGAAGTCAATGGAGCATTCAGAAATTACTTCTACGTCAGAAACAGAAACGTTCCTCTCACTCCGGAAGCCATGGACGCCCTAGAGTTCTCCATTTACCAGCACATGGCGAAGTTCAAAGTGGAATTCGAGAGCAACGATGAGAAGATCCACATTACGCTGCCCAAGTGCGAAGATGAGATAGGTTGTGTAGCGCACATGCGCAACGCTCGCGAACTTCAAACGGCTCTGGATGTAACAAAGATATCTACGTTCTTCGTCATGGATACAGTCAGGTGCTATGAGAGTCACATCCAAGACCTGCAAAGGATTGTATTACAGACTCAGAATATACACCAGAAATGTGGAGGCTTGGAAAGCGACATAAAAGATAAACAAGAAATGTTGTCTATATTCGAGGTGGCATTGGCGGAGCTCCTTGAGACTCCCCAGGCATAAAGTTTATGATTCTGCGATTGGGATATGGATTAAGAGATTCGAATTCAGTCGCTACCTCCGTATAGAAGCTCAGTCCTTTTAATAAAGTTCTATGCTATTACCTTCATTGTAATAACTACGTGGAACTATCTCCCCTTACATCCTAATGTTAACACGTCTCATTGGCTATGAACGTATGATGCTGGGGTGCAATGTTCACAATCTCTTTCTTCGGAGGATTATCTTGATCGTATTTAGAAACAGACAGTTTTGAACATCAAGATTCGTCACTGTTCATTTCTCTTCAGCGTCGATGTACTTCGACACAAAGAATAAGCGCGTGTTCGCCAATGACCTTTGGCGTGTGACTGCCAAGCGATAATGAACAAAGGCCGTCCTTACATCCGCCTAGTGCTATATGACCTTGGCCAACGCGCATTGTATAACTCACTCAACAACCTTTTCCATTTCACCTTTCAGAATTCAGCTACGCACTCTACCAACAAACTCATCATGCAAGCCTCGAGTCCCCAAGAACAAGAGCAATTGGAAGAACTATGCAGACATTTCTATTACGCCAGAAATCCAGAGACTCGTATGTCTTCATGCAAAAAGGCCTCGCTTGAAAAGTCACTTCAGAAATGCCTTGCCAAGTACGAAGTGGCTTTCCTAGATGACGACCAAACACTTCGTATCTCGGTGCCTTTGGATGTGATTAAGAAGGACGTCATGGAGGTATTTCACAGCATGAAGGATATTGCAAAGGCTTTCAAGAATACGGAGCTTTTGACCTACTTCCACGATGGCGCAATCAGAAATACGGAAAAGCTGATTCAGATATCGCAAATCCGTATTGCAGGCCTTGAAAAGAGAAATGCCGACACAACTCTGCAGAGACAAAATGTCGAGCTTGGGGAAGAAATGCTGAGAATACACGAGGATGCGTTGGCAAGACAGAAACTAATTCTTGAAGAATGGAAGCGCTGAGACTCAGGATCTAGGGACAAGGGCATAGACTAAAGATCATTTGCAGAGTTGTAACATAGAATTGCCCTCACCAATAAGACTCTAGATGTTAGCCTTCTTTGAAATAATCCACAAGAACTTATCATCTGCATCTTCTTCCAAAACCGCATGTTGAACTTCCAATCCAGCTTCCTGAGTCAACGCCTTGATAACCCCTTCTTTACCAAGCGCGCTCCAAAACATCCAGCCCTTTTCGTCTATCCACTTCTCATCGATAATAACTGACGCCTCATCAGTACCAAACGTAGACAGAAAGACACCGCCTGGTGCAAGCCATCTACCAATTCGCCGTATCATCTCCCTTTGTTCTTCTTGTGGCAAGTGAATAATGCTGTACAGAGCCACGACTGCTGTGAGGGAACCAGGCGCAAAGTCTAGTTTCATCATGTCGCCGGGATGGAATTCGACACGATCTTGATATGCAGCTAGATTGTGTCGAGCAAGTCCTAGTTGAACGTTTGAAAGGTCGTTGACGTGCACGTAGACAGAGGGTGCTCGAGCGAGCAGAGTTGAGATAAAAGGACTTCCAGAACCGCATCCAAGCTCAAGCACTTGTTTCTTCGCCGTATTGCCGGCTGATTCCAGTTCTGGGCAGGATTTGAGAAGTTTACCGAGGTATTTCATGCGAAGTTCGTTGTGACGCGCTGTCCAGGCGTTGTATGCTGGTGTAATCGCATTGTATGAAGCCCGAAGGCGATCTTTCACGTCAACAGGTGGTTCCATGGCTCCACTTGGGAGACTTTCGGCTTTCCTAGATGTACTCTGTGGATTCGAGATTAAAGAATGAACTCAAGACTAAAGAGAAGTAGTCAGTCTGATGAGTCATGCCGACTAGCAAGATTAAGACTATCAGCTAGCGTACTCGGTCGTTGCTGTGTTTCGGTTCAACGTCGGTTACACCAACACTAAACCACAACTTAGATGCTCCTAACATTCTTGGGTCCAACTTGCAAGGGGATTTGCGGTTAGGCTGTCGGCTATAGCGATTCATAATGAACTGCACATGCTGTTCGGAAGACTTTTTGAACTGCCTGAATAGGATTATCGACGCAGATCTTAGCCTGTCGCGGTCAAAGAATCGTCATTTCTGCCCCTGTCTTCCCCGCGTCGTCTGCGGCTCAGTGGTGGGACTCAGGCGGCTAAATTATCCCATCCATACAAGCGATGAGATCTTCTCCCCGGTGCATTTACTGCCGAAGTCTTCGGTACAATTGAGCCGAGTGATGATATTTGCATTTAAACCCTGAGAAGTCTCTTTTACAGTGGGTATCAGCGATCAGAAACAAACTCATCATGGTGTTCTTCTCGTTGAAGTTGTTGGCTTTAGTCGCTGGGCTGATCAGCCATGCTTTAGCCGAATTGACTACTGCTGAGAACTCTACCCACATCTCCCTCTCCAACAAACGTTTCGCAGTCGTGCTCGCCAAGTCTAGTGGACACATCATCGATGCTACTCTCGATGGTCAAGATCTTCTCGGACCGCTGAGCGGGAATAGCGGCAAGGGTCCTTATGTTGACTGCTCCTGTATCCCAACTGGTTTCTGGACACCCGGGAGCACCGCAGATCTGCGCCTTGTCAAAGGTACCGATTCTACTGGAACCAAATATGGCGGCATTATCATGAGCGACACCTACAAGCCGACCAATCAGACTTTGTCGCAGTACTTCTTCCTTAGGGGTGAAGAAACAGGTCTGCACGCGTTTACTCGTCTTACGTACTTCAATGCGTCCAAGCCATTCTTGCGAGATCTCGGTGAGTTGCGTACGCTCTTTAGGCCGAACACAAAGCTTTGGACCCATTTCTCTACCAGCGAGGGGAACTATGGTCCTTTGCCAGATGCCTCGGGTGCTCTGACAGTCCAAGATGCTACTTGGTATGTCGGCAACAAAACCGATGACCCGTACGTTGAGCAGTACTCTGACTACTGGACCAAATACACTCTTTCAGAGAGCTGGCGCAACCACGACGTCCATGGCCAGTTCAGCGATGGCTCTACCAGTGCTGATGGAAGTACGTTCGGTGCCTGGCTTGTTCACAATACGCGAGAGACGTATTACGGCGGACCCTTGCACTCTGACCTCGTCGTTGATGGCATCGTGTATAATTACATCGTATCTGGCCATCACGGCGCACCGATGCCAAACATCACTCATGGGTTTGACCGAACCTGGGGCCCGCAGTTCTACTACTTCAACAAAGGTGATAATGACGCGACAATTGCTGATCTTCGAGCTGATGCCGCCAAGTACGCGGATCCAGAGTGGAATGTAAAGTTCTATGACAGCATCGCAGAGCACGTCCCGAACTTTACACCATCTGCAAAACGGACTACCTACAGTGGTAAGGTGAAGCTTCCCAAGGGTGCAAAGAAGCCGATTATCGTTCTCTCCGAGAACAAGCAGGACTTCCAGCTCAACGTGTTCAACACAAAGTCGCTTCAGTATTGGGCTGAGATTGATGCGTCTGGTGACTTCAGCATTCCTCAAGTTGTGGACGGAGTGTACAGAGTTACCGTCTACGCTGATGAAATCTTTGGATGGTTCATCAAAGACGACATTAGCATTTCCAAATCTCACAACACGGGCACTTTCACGTGGAAAGAAGAGAACGCCGGGAAAGAGCTTTGGCGTATCGGTACACCTGATAAGTCATCTGGCGAATACCTTCATGGATACGCGCCTGATACTTCAAAGCCACTTCAGCCAGATCAGTACCGCATTTACTGGGCCAAGTACGATTTTGTCGAAGATTTCCCAAAGGGCGTTAGCTTCCACGTCGGCAAGGACAAAGAAGCTGAAGATCTAAACTACGTACACTGGTCATTCATCGCTGCAAAGGGGAACCATCTCCGCTCAGAGAATTACTACGATAACGTCAACAACTGGACCATAACATTCGACCTAACAAAACCTCAACTCAACAATGTCAAAACAGCTACTTTCACAGTCCAACTCGCTGGCGTACGCACCGGCAACGGCAACGCGAAGTGGACACCCGTCAACGACCGTTTCAACAGTAACCTACCCTGGACCGTTAATGTTAATGGTGGGTATGAAGATACATGGGTGATTCCATACTGGCGCAGCGGCTCGTGTGCTGTTCGTAGTGCGGTGGCATGTCAGAACATTGAGCACAAGTTTGAGTTTCCTGCTGAAAGGCTGAGAGTGGGGAGGAACGAGTTTGTGTTGAGTTTGCCGTTTAATGCTTCTAGTGTTGAGACGGCGCTTTTGCCTGATACGCTCTATGTGCAGTATGATGCTTTGAGGTTGGAGGTCAAGTAGTAGACGCAGCTTGGTGCGACTTGCTTCAGCGATTCATTGGATCATGCGAGGTAGTGTGATAGGTACAGCGGTGCGAGAAGAAAAGCATAGCAGGTTTCGAGTCCAAGTGACGAATACCTGTTCAGGTTCAATTCTTTATCGGCCTAAAGAACCTATCGGGCCTTTCCAATACAAAGCTAATTGTCGTTGAATTCCCAGTGCTCGATCCCAGTAGCTTCAACCTTCTTCAACTCTCCAATCTTTTTGCCGTCTTCATTATTGGCGACCGCCCCAACATCTCTCTTCAAGCCACATTTTTCACAAAGCATTTGTGCTGGCTCAGTTGCCCCACGGCAGGTTGTCCCGTCGGCCTTTGTTCGCATACACTTCCAGACCTCGGTGTCCTCTCGAATTTTGGTGATCATAGGCATTGTCGATAAGTTTTCGTTGATGGAAGGAATTGATTTTTGCTGTAGTAGATATTCGAGAGCTCCTGTCCACGGTATAAATAGTCGCTGCGCCAATGGCTTTTGTGCATCTTGGCTGAAGCTCACTGCCGTGTTGAGATTGTGTCATTCACATGGAGTTGGGCGCCCTACAGTGAAACGGTACTGTCTCCCTTAGGCCAGTGATTGTAGAAAACACCAATCACTGCAAAATTACGCGATTCACAAGGTAAAGTGCACCCATCATCAACAAGAGATGCTTCTAATCAGTTTTCTCTGTTGTTGATGGTGGTCACCGACTACCCTGTAGCCAACCACTACCCCATTCCGCCCAACCAACCTCAGACATCCACGTCAATATACTCCCAATACTCCACTAGCCCTCCCACCTTCTTCAGCTTGCCAATAACTCGCATCTGTTCATTGTAGGCTTGGTCTCCCTTATCCCGTCTCATCTTGCAACCCTCATATTGCTTATTCTTTATAGAATTGAGAACATCACATTTCTCTCCCCTACCCTTGTCCTGGCTACAAACCCAGAAAGAAGTACTTTTAGGAGGTTCGCTATGTGTCTCCGCCATGGTTGTTTTGTTTTGGATATTGGTTTGAAGTTGTAGGGTAATTGTTGATGCGTTGGGTGGGTGTTCGTGGGAAAAACTGTCACCTTTAGAGCCGTGCTCCCTGCAAGTGATAGACTCCAACATGTGTCACTGAATGGCTCCTTTTAATTACAAGCAGCTACGTTGATAAGGCAGGATGATTAAGGAAGCGACAAGATTTGAGGGCTTTGTTCTAAGACTGATGTAGAGCCTCTCCAATTTTACCTATGACTGAGATGCCACGCCAGCTTTATATACCTTTGGAGTTAGTCGGCAGGATCTCTAGCTTTTCTGTTAAAAGAAAGACATTTGTTAGCAGAGGGCGATGAGTGTATTCCCTATGTGCGTTCATTAGTGTTCTTTTGTTTGTGCGCTATGGTCAAAGCCTCTTTTGACCTCTTAACCTTATCACAGTACACTTTCTCACAAAGAACATTCCAAAGGAGTCAAAAGTGTTAGGTATTGCTTGATGTCAGAATTATATGTCTCTCGAAGAGTCCTCGTGTTCAGGCTACATTGCCTACGTCTTTTTGATAAAAGTCCTCTTCTTGCCTCCCCATGACACAGTCTTCCTAGTTCCTCAGAACCACCCTGCTGCCTCCTCCCTCCATTCATACTCCAGTCCCTCCCTTTTGAACCGGCTCATCCATCTGAACATGCTCCCAATGCTCCACGGACCCTTCCACCATTCTCAAAACCCCAATTTCGCGATCCCATTTATCGAGGGCGATATCTCCCTCTTCCCGTTTTGATTTGCAGCCGTGACAAGTCTTGATTGACTTGAGGTTGAGATAGTTCGCATTTTATTTTGCCCATTTGCTCCTTGCACTGCCAGTAAGGGGCTGTTTCAGGAGGGGCGTCGTAGTATGTCTTAGTCATGACGCAAATTTTGAAGTTCAGTATGGATTTGGTGTTGTCGATTGAAGCGCGCGTGCGGTCTGATTGCTTGCTTGCTTGCCCCCTCTGTTTGGAGGCGATACCACTACTTTTGTAGCCGTGGTCTATATTGTCGGAGCATCAAGTCACTGCCGGGGAGTTTTGCTTCATTGAGCTGATTCACCCAAGTGTTACCCTATACAACTGGTAGTGAACTACTCCAGCATGCCTCACATACACATTGAACTCTCAACAGTCAGAGCGACAAGGCGAGATATGCCAATCACAGGGCAAAAACGATACTGAATGGCAATCCCTCTTGGCACATTCACTTTACTCAGGATATGTTCTCTTCAGTTCTTGAACTCCCAAAACTCTTTTCCCTGTTCCACCTTCTTCAGGACCCCAATCTCAAGGCCATCTTTATCGAGAGCCTTATCTCCCTTATCCCGCCTCGCCTTACACGCCATGCATACCTTATCCTCCTTTTCGTTGATCTTGAAACACGTCTTGCCGTCACCTTTTGTCTGGCGGCATTCCCAGAATTCAGTTTCTTCCGTGAGTTCGTGTAGTATTCTCGTCATTTCTGCTTCTTCGCCTCTATTTTTGGGGTCTTCGTTTTATTTCGTTATTTTTATGGCTGGCGGAATGATTTGTTGTTTCAATCTGGAAAGAAGGCTTGCTTGTTTTTATAGCCATGATGCGTGGTGATTAGTTACTAGGATATGTCGACTCTTCACAGTCCGTTGACGCATTGTGTTTCTTATCCTGTCACTCCCATCACTTTGGCTCGGCATGATGCAGTTGGTCGTGATGGCGTGAGCTGCAAACTTGTCTTGTTCAATCGCAGATGTTCAAGGTGATAAGTGAAATATATGAATCAGTGTTCATTAATCTTATTATTTCTGAACCTCAGTCGCTCCCATTACCTTTTTTTCCCAACCGAGACAAAGAAAAATAATTACATAAATTATCATGACCAAAACTTGAGCTTTCCTGCCCAACCCGACGCCTGTCCACGGCCATCGTCACCCCCTTCAGCATTCCCAAACGACACCTCCCTCGGCTTAACATAATACAAATCCGTTTCCCTGAACGAATAATCCACATTTGTATTCGACGGCAATATCGCCGACCATGCAGAAGGTTGTTCTCCAATATCTCCACTATCCGTGCTCAAACTCGAACCAACGGAATTCCTCTCCGCAGGATTCTCGTAAACTGTTGGTGGGCGCGTGGTATCAAAGGACGGAAATTGCTGATGGCGTGGGGAAGAGCGTGATGCACAGCGCTCGGGGCGCGGTGAGTCGAATTGACTTCTACCGGAGAGGCTTGATACGGATCTCTCGGGGCGGGGAGAGCGGAAGTATGTGCGGAGGAGTTCGGGGGATACAGGCTCTGATCCGCGAGAGAATCTGTTGGAGGATTCGGAGGATGAATTGGCTGAGCTGGAGAGGCTGCTACTTCTGTCGTGATCCATGAAGCTTTGGTTCGTTAGGTCTGTTCTTGTCGTGGGACGTCTTGAGAGTTGACGAAGGCCGTAAACTTGGGGTCGCTCGAGTGAAGAGTCGCCAGCAGGTTGTTGAGGGGCCTGCCATTCATTGTACCAAGTAACTCCAAGACGGGTGGACTCGTAAGCTGAGGGAACAAGAAACATGCCAAGTAAGAACAGCGCATGGAATGCGAGCAAAACGTAGCCAAGCGCACTCGCAGCAATGTGAGTCCACAAATCAGGAATCATTCCCAGGCAGAGAAGAAGCGCTGAGAGTCGCGCCCCGGCGATCAAGACCGGTTTTGAAAGCAACTCAGATGTCGCGCCGACCCAAGCGAGAAAGCCCAGCTGAACAACTTCGCAAGCCATGAGCGAAAACAACTGAACGGTTCCAAAACGCTGTAATCCACCGATAATAACTCCCCGGGCGAAAAGAAGGATGAATGTGACATAGGTGTAATAGTCTTGTGTCCGGGAAGGCTCCTCCGGCGTCTGCTTGTGAAGATTGTCGACCAGTAAATAACCCATGTCTTGAGGACTCCGCGACATTCCCCACCAGCACCCGATGATCAACAAAGCAACCACCAGGATGACGAGAATCGTGTAGTAAACCGGGCGTGCGCTGACGCTGTCAAGTTGATACGTCGTCCAAGCCGTGAGCGGTAGAAGGAGATAACTTAGGTAGACTCGTAAAGCGACCCAGATCGTAGCTTTGTGCGGTTTCGAAGACCTGTCGATCATCCATCTCCCCGACTGCTGGAACCAATCGCGCGTCCATCTCAAATGAAGCCCTGCCTGAATTACCGCGTATAAAAGCACGAGAATGACAACCGCCAGCGTCGCGATGTTGGTCCAGGTTTCCACTGTCACTGGAGCCCCCATCACCTGCGTCATGTGCTCCAGCCCCGAAGTCCCACCAAACGTCCCGTTGATCTCATGGATTCCATCGCGAATACCGTAATAAAGCGAATGTCGCCAAACGATACCCCGTCGAGTCATGAGCGTGGACCAACTCGTCGAACTAACCACTGGTTGAAGAAAGCCAGGTTGTCGGAGGCTGAGCGCGCTAGAAAAGAAGATGAATTGGATGTATGCGAGACAATCGGCTATGCGCGTGAGATGAGAACGGCTTATACTCCTCTCCTGCCCAGACTCATCGTCTTCTCGCAAAGGATGCACGAGATTAAACCATTCTCTCCCCACAGCTGCCAAAACGACCAGAATAAACGTAAGCGCTGGTATCCAGAATGAAATCTCCTGGACCGTGTATCCAATATCCGGCGTCAAAAACCCATTGAGACACGCCACAGAGAAATGATCCGGAGCATCGATGTTAATGTCAAACTCATACGCCGCCAGCGGTTTCGGATCATTTATCCTGAAAAGAACCTCGAGATACTGCATGTAGAAAACCATGTTGATCTGCTTAAACTCCCTAGTCCGACACGTCGCATTCCGAACCTCGCCATTGTAGCGCGTCGTCCCGCCCAGCGCTTCCAGGCTCAATTCGACAGAGGCGTTGTCGAGCAGCGATCTCCGACACGACGCTATCGTGGGATAATTCCCTGTGATCCCAAGACTAAGCGTCGTTGTTCCATTGCTGTGCTGGTCAAGATACACGTCCAGACTGTTTGGGTCGTAGGAATATGCTGATGAGGATGGGACACTGCAGTCCTTGAACTGAACGTATGAGGCGTGCGCGGAAGAGAAAAGAATGAATAAAGACAGTGGTGATAACGAGTGCATTTGTGATTAATTAAAAATGATTAAGATGGTGAAGGAATGCATGGAGGGGTCGGATTGGGTTAGATGAGGTCTCGGCTGAGGATGAGATCTCGGCTGTTTTGGGAAGAAATTGAAGAAAGGGAAAATTGTTATTGATGCCTGAGGTTGAGGGAGGCGCAAGCAATGACAGTGCGTACGTGGGTCGAACCATTTACTTGCCTGGTCTGGTTTGGTTTTGTTAGTGTTGCAACTGAAACGCTATGGTCCCGGCGTAAGTGCCGAGGCAGACTCGAGGCTATTGGGTCGAATCAAGCCACGTACAGAGTACATTCAGATGTAAAATTAGACACAATTACTACTGAACAGTCAGAAATACAAACATCTCTGCTGTTTTCAATCAGATACCCCCCTTCAAAGTCATTCAATGCTTCTGCTTGATGATAGCAATTGTGAACCGCCACTCGGCGTCTCCGAAGTTTTGACTTCTAAAACGCCCAACGGACCATGAATTAACCGGCCGTCTCAGCTAAGGTCCCCCCTTTTATTTTCGCCCCCTTACTAACAGCGCACAAACGTCGCACTGCTCAAAGCTCAAAACCAATAAAGTCGCATTGATCATCTCTCATCAATCGCTCATTAAAGCGGGCGTTGTCATCTCAGTGCATGACTGACCAATTGAGGGATATTATTGGTCTTTCGGTAATAAACACTCAGTGTACCTGAGGCTAGTCTGCATTCGGCTAACTTGACACTTGATGGATGCTTCACTTCCCAGCCAATCTCGAAACTGCAAAGGATTGGTAACTCTGTTGCGTTGTCTGCAGTGAGACAGCATGTGATGGGCTATAGAATGATTCAGAATATATATACAAAACATATTAAGTGATGCCAGTTCCATTAGCTATCGGTCGATGCTTTAGTCGAGCCCCATTTCTGCAAGCCGCTATTGTTCCTGATGAATCTTCAGCTCTCACCATGAAATGTCAATCAGCTGATATTATTCCAATCATCTGACAGCTGCCGACAAAGAAACCCGAAAGCTAGCGACAAACACTTCACCCATTTTTCCCAAGTGGCGCCCATCAACCGCTAAAAAACTAGCCCTACCCTGAAAAGCGCCCCAGGACTAAAAATACCCACTTCCCTCCTCCGATCCTCTTCCACCGCCTGCCTCATCACTTCCCCCAAACAAAAGCCCATCATGTCCCCCTCGTGCTTCTCATCCCTCCCCGCGCAACCAACCGACGAGATCTTCGATCTCCTCGCCCTCTACCGCGCCGACGCCTCCCCCGACCGCGTCAATCTCGGCGTCGGCGTCTACTGCACCGACGAGGGCAAATCATGGCCCTTGGATGTAGTCACCCGCGTTGAGAAGCAGCTCTTTGATGAGGCTAGTCTCACGAGACATGATTATCTGCCTATTGAGGGTGATCAGCAGTTTCTGAAAGTTGCGAGGGATTTGATCTTTGCGGAGCAGGATGATCTGAGTATCGCGAGTGTGCAGACTGTCTCCGGCACCGGAGCGAATCATATCGGTGCGAGGTTCGTCGCGGATTATTTGAGACCGCAGAATATCTGGGTGTCGGATCCGACGTGGGCTAACCACCATATGATCTGGGAGTCTGTCGGTATGAAGCCGAGATTGTACCCGTACTACAAGAAGTCGGACTGTTCGTTGGATTTCGAGGGTATGATCAAGACGCTGGAGGAGCAAGCTCAGCCGCGCGATGCTGTGTTGCTGCATGCTTGTGCGCATAACCCAACTGGTCTCGATCCCACAAAGGAGCAGTGGAAGGCCATCGCAGAAGTCTGCCAGCGAAAGCAACTCTTCCCCTTCTTCGACGCAGCCTACCAAGGTTTCGCATCCGGATCTCCCGCCGAGGACGCATGGGCGATTCGCTATTTCTACCACCAGCAGCCCCGCCCCGACATGATCGTCGCTCAATCATTCTCCAAGAACTTTGGTCTGTACGGCCACCGAACAGGCGCCGTTCATCTTGTTCTCGCGGAGCCGTCCAAGGAGATTCGCGATAACGCATACTCGACGCTTTCGTACCTGCTCCGATCTGAGATTTCGATGGCGCCCAAGTATGGATCTACTATTGTAAAGACGGTTTTGGATAGTGAGGAGTTGACTGCGGCGTGGATGGCGGACCTGCAGGTTATGAGTAGTCGGATCAAGAGTATGCGACAGGCTCTTTATGATGAGTTGGTGAGGTTGGAGACGCCTGGTACATGGAATCATATTGTTGATCAGGTAAGTCAGAAGATCTAAAAAGTGATGGCGAGGAAGTGCTGACATTATAGATTGGTATGTTCTCATACACTGGTCTTTCTCCCTTCGAGGTCAAGGTTCTTCGTGAGCGATTCCACATCTACCTGCTCAACTCAGGCCGTATTTCCATTTCTGGATGTAAGTTTGCCCAGGTCGTTCTGAGAGTGAAGTTTCTAACGATTTGTAGTAAACAAGAGGAATGTGCAGTATGTCGCCAAGGCAATTCACGACGTCCGAACTCAGGGCCATACACTTAACGGGACCAACGGTACAAATGGCACAAACGGTATCAACGGGCACTAGAGTTTATTTTTTATCTATAGATCATAAGAGCTAAAATGCCCTCCCGGGTCAAAAATGAGATATACTTTACGACACTATTATGCTATATTCAATTCGGAATGATAACTTGCCGTATCACTCGCCTGGCTGAAGAACTCCCCTGATTTTTTCTTTTACTAATTTTATAAATCTTTATCTTATCCTGTTTTTTGTTCTTTTCTGGTCTCTGACACTGAAGACTAAATGCGGTGTGATCCTCTCACTCTGGGTTCAAATGGATGCTCTCCGATGCCGGGCCGAGCTCGGCCATAAAATTCACATCGCGACGTAAAAAGCGCAATAGGCTCGGCAACAATTTGCAACTGAACAACCGACTATAACATCGAGGCCCACCACTAAGACATGGCATATCTATTTCACGTTGGCCATGTCATCATCTTGTTGACTGGCTGAGTCAGCGCATTGAACGAAATTGCGAAAATTTGATCTTGTCACGCTGTGGACTCATTCGCAACATGGTCCTTTACATGTAAGGTCACAATAGCCCTTCGTCAATTGCATGAGACACAGTGCTGTACCTATCACAATCAGGGACCTTTAATTTAAGACTATCTTTTGTACCCGTGTGACCGAGCGCTTCTCTGCTCTATGGGTAGTCTATAGCTTGAGCCTTCCACGAGCCCTTGAAACATCTCCTGGCTGTCTGCAGTGGGCGGCCTCAAATCTCGGTGGAGATACCATGCGTGCCTTTGCTGCCAATACTATGAGCAGCTACTTTACCAGGCGACTATTATCGATCCTAGGACAGTCTAAGCCAAACATTTACTGTGTCTCCAGCCCGCCCAGTCCAATGCCATGAGCATCCAAGTAGGACGTGTAGTAACCAGTCCTGCGCTGTTTTGGGAACTTTTGTCTGGGCGAACAGGATATTGCGTAATCGAGCCAAGGAAGCGTATAATACGTATAAACCTCCTGATGCCTGATCATATGTGACTGGTGGAGAATGGGGAATTTTAGAAATGCACAACAAATGTCATAAACATGGACTATGGAAAGATCCCTTTATATGATTACTAGCTATTAGTCTAACGGCACTAAGAGAGAGTAAGGTACTAGTTAAGGTATAGCTCGCCATGGTTGTTATAGCTTTGAGAACAACTCTGGTACACTATGGGATAGATGAGATCTGTTCTTGATTCGTTATTGTTGCTATATTGATGAATGCCAATTACCCGTCTTCATCCTTTGGCAGCGGCCTAACCTTACACATGTAAGTGCTAAATGCCATCTGTGCCGTCCTTTACTTGAACCCCGCGTTGAGGACCGTAGCACCATTGGATATCTGCTTCTCAGTCTGAAACCCAACAATTTGCCGAGGCCCCCATTAACGGATCCAGCCACTATTCATCAAGGCCTCAGATGCAAAACTCGCAACAAATCAATTTTCTTCCATATCACAAGGTGAAGAAGGACCCTGAATCCGAGGTTGGCTGACAAGCTGCATGCATACCCCACACTTTGATCCTGCATCTGAGCATCGAAATGCGGTTCTTGATCCTCGGCTTCCCCACTTCTTGGTTGGTCATGCCTTGAGGGATATATCTCAAAACCCGGGGTAAGCATCCTTTCTGGGGTTGACTGAACTCTGTTTAAATACCGTCAACCAATGTGAATGAGTTTGGGGTACAATCTGCGGAGAAGGCCCGATGCGTACATGAAATAGGGTCGGGTGACTTGTTTGAACGTCACATTGTGAACTGCAAAGATCCGGAGACATTTACTTGAAGTGTGATTGAAATAACTACTGAAAACTACCTCAGGGGGAGAATCAAGACCACCCCAATCATTGCCATAGTATACACTAACCAATTCGTTTGGCTTCTTAGTGAATTGGTGCAGTTGGGCTTAGTTCTACGTAGATTAATTATGTCCAGCTGCCAAAAGTCTGACTCTTAACACGTGATAATAAGCAAGGAACCACACTATAGTGTCCTTCTAACAAGTGAGACTATACAGCCATGTGAATTCCGTATAGCCGATCAAGCGTAGGAATCTATACCATATGTACTAGGCAAGAAATGGAAGGAGAACTATACACTGAACATCACTATGGAATTTGTAAAGATGACTGAAGGAGAGCAGTCGTCTATATAAAGAAGACAGCTATCTGGACATAAACCTGTCAACTCACACTCAATCTTCCTGTTCATTAGGCGAAGAGACTGCTTCTGAGGAATATCATACTATATTCAGCCTTCAAATCTCTCTCCAACATGCGTGCTGCATTTGTCCTTTCCTTCCTCCTGGCTAGCGGTACGGCCTTGCCAACAGCGCTTTCAGACGAAAAGAGAGCCGTCGCTGCCCAAGATGTCAATCTACTGGAGGCCCGGGATCTCCTCAATCGCAATGATCTTGAGAATGGTGATTCTTCTAACTGTCCCTCAGCAATTCTGATCTATGCGCGTGGTAGTACGGAACCTGGCAACCTTGTTCGTTGCATCAGCTCCATACTGCACATCGTCAAACGCTAATCTCGTTAGGGAATCACCGTTGGTCCAATCCTCGTTGAGGCCATGCAGCTCGCTATCCCTGATATCTGGATACAAGGTGTTGGTGGGCCGTATACGGCTGATCTTGCACCAAACTTCCTTCCTGAGGGGACCACAGATGCCTCCATCGATGAGGCTAAGAGACTGTTCCAAATGGCCTACGACAAGTGTCCAGAAACGGCCGTCGTGACAGCTGGATATAGGTACTTCTTACAGTCGCCCACGTACTGGCCCTTTGCTAATCTCTTGAATTAAATAGTCAAGGGACGGTTGTTGTCGGATATGCACTAAGCGAGCTCGATGGCGCGGTCCAGAATCAGGTTGTTGGAGCGGCCTTGTTTGGATATACCAAGAACGAGCAGCTCGGTGGCCGTATCCCGAATTATCCTACTGACAGAACCAAGATCTTCTGCCTGCCCACGGATCTAGTTTGCGACGGGACCTTGTTTATTCTTCCTGCTCACTTTCTATACGGCGCTGATGCGGCGGGCCCAGGTGCAGACTTTCTCATTGGACAGGTTGAGGAGGGGCTGTAATGCGATACAGGTGTTTGTGTCTGGTGCAGAAACGAGACGGTGGGCATGGAGGAAGAAACAGGAAATGGCGACGTCCGTCATGGCAATTAAAAAGATAAGGACATAAGCATAGCAATGCACGTGGAACCAGTTTATGCAGAGCACGAATGTGTATATGTGTGGACACATATTTACTTTGAGACTTGCCAACCCCATGTTAAAACAGCCTGTCCGAGATACCTAGCTGTAACGTAGTGACCCTGGAACTAGTCTCCTTCTCAATGGCTTCCGTAGCGGGTGCTAATTCCAACCGCCGTGGCGAGACCCGCTGATCGTCGTGCATACACCAGATCAATTTCTTTGGTTCTCCCAGAAGCTTCGACAATTTCACTGCAAATTGCGCCGCCGACCCATCAAACGGTCTCCCGTTCAGGTTATTCCGCCCAGCAATTGCCTGAATGAGGATGTCTGGCTGTGGCTGCACTGTCTTTAGTATTCCGTCATACATACCCAGATGTGCATTCCAAAGCACAGTTTTATACTCCCCAAATAGAAAGTTGAACTTGAGCTGCCCTCTGTCAAAAAGAGATGTACATTTGCTCGCAGGGCTGTCGATCCAGTCGACGAAAGAGCGCATACCTGCATCTATAGCATTACGAGGCATATGGTCACCAATCTTGAGGAGGCCGTGTCTCAACATGAACGTGACATATGGTCAACCGATGTACTCCTTTCCTGTATCAATAACTTGTGGTAGCTCGGCAGGAGAGCTATCAGGTAACAGGCAATGCAGTGAAGGCCAGACTGTCGAGCTCGACTGTGATCAGGCTGTGGGTAGTTAAAAGAGGCTTTAGCCCCCCCACGCACAAAGGTAAAGTACACCGATAAACACATACGGGCAAGATACTCATTGCCTTCACTATTGCCTAGGAGGTATGGGTTTCTTTCCCTGGTTTGTGTGTATCAAGTCTTGTAGGCGAGTTAGCTAATCATAACAACTCACATAGCTGAGATTGACATTATTATCATGTAAAAACGACCGAGGTAGACCTTAAACTACAGAACTATAGATGTGAGAGAGTGGTCCTCAATATAGGTTGTTTGTGCGGGGAATGAATGGGAACATACGTCGTAGCATATGACAGTACTGTCACTATGCACTGGGTATAGGTGAAGCTATCCAGGGATAGGTAGCTTTGGCATTAGGTTGCCAGTAGTAGGATGCTACCCGCAAGGTTAAATTTTATGCTCGCCTTGCGTTGTTATAGTCTTTCTGCTGGATGCTGTTTACATTGGTCTAGGATCCCATCCGCCATGGTTGGTGTGTGATGCCAGAATGTGAGACTGTGTGTGACTTTCAATCCAAGTGATATAGCCGGATGATATTCAGCACGGATAACGTGTTGAAGTTTGTTTTTGTAGGAATTGCCATAGATATCTGCTTATAATGCTCCCATTCCGTTCTTAAGACTAACCAGGTCGCACCCCGTGTGGCTGAACTTATAATACCATATATAATTAGTGACTTGGCTCAGGCTCGGAGTACTGCTTCAGCCATAGAACGCTGACTACCATGAATCAAGGTTAAATCATCGACATAAAAAGCACTTAACGTTCCTTTCTGGCATGCTCCTATTTCAATCACGTATCAAAGCCCCAGCCGATCTGGTCACTCGACACCCCAGCAATTCGCATCAGACTCCTGGCACCGCTCACAGAATTGAACCGTCCGCCCTGGAAGGCAGCAGCAGCGACACCCAGAGCAGCTCTCGTATCAACACCCTCATTTCTCATGTTCGTATCTCCCCTCTCTAGAACCTGGTTCAAGAACGCATCACCTGCCAAGCCCTCATATCGGTCTAGACAAAGCTGCTTGATGGCGGGTCCATACAAGTCCACCCACTGCTGCTCGCTAACAGTGGTATAGCGCTTCTGGCCGTTTGCATCAGTCAGAGAGAATGGCCATTCAGCGCTGACGACTTGATACCGCTTTGTGATGAAGAAGAGGATTGGCCATGAGAAGATCCAGAGGAATGTGAGGTAGAAGATCCAGCAGATCCAGGTCGTCAGGCGCCACGTGTTTAGGCGGTTGGACGAGTAGATGTCGACTGCTCGGTCGGCGACCGGGAACTCAATTGTGAGGTTTCCTTTGTAGTTGGAGCTTCGGACATAATGTGTCAGACTACTGCGGAAGAAGGTCTCATCCATGCCGGTGACTGTTCTAGTCAGACGGAATCTGGAACTTGTTAGAAAGGAACTCAAGCCAAGCGGTGAAACTTACACTTTGGTGCCAGCTGCTTTCGCACAGTAGCGGTGACACCATTCCTTGAGCGTTGGCTTCGCATGACCAACTTCGATATCACCTTTGACACCGCTCTGACGCTTCTTCAACACCGTGCCGCGATATGTCTTCTCGCCACTCTCAGCAGTCTTGAGCGTCGAGTTGCCAAGCGTGTTTATGATGAAATTGGGATACAGATAATTCTGCAGATTCACCATGATCCGAAAATCGGTGACCTCCTCGCGCTTGCTCTTGCCGTCACTATCGCGCTTGGTTTCCTTGTGAGTTCCCGTTATGTTGATGTACGGCGAAGGAGGAAACGCTGCCATGGTTCTGACCCATTTCTCGAGAAATACTGGATCCGCGTCGGAGCGGGGATCGCGCACGGCATTCACTTCGTTACCGATACGAGTGCGCTTTTGACCGATGCGGTTAGAGGCGAAGGCAATGTGAGACTCGGGCTGTGTGACGCCTGTTTGAAGGAGTTCTTCTTCACCATCAGCTCTGTCGATACCAGCCATCGTTGGAGTGCTTGACTCTGGAATCGGCGTATCATGGTATGCAGGCGGTGGCGCTTCATCGCCGTTGAGAACGTCGTCCTCTACGTGAGCGTATGAGGGTTCCCCCGCAGTCGTGTGTAGAGACACGGCATCAGGGTCATCCCGATAAGGCTTGGGCGAAGGAGGAATGCCCATTGTCGCGGGGGTGAGGCAGATAACCAGACCAGAATTTTGTAAGAATGCCGGCCGATTTGAGTATTTTAGATTCACGTTTGGCTTAGGCAGCAGCCCTTTTGTGTTGAAAGAGGAATTATCTTGATCTCACGCGTTCACGGCGCGGTTTTTGTCAGATTTCATGCCCCAAGACGGATCGAGTAACCGCCGATCCGGCGATTTCCAATCTGGGCATAGCGGCCATCCTAAGGCAGCTAACAAACAAGTTGCCCAAAAATAGCATTTGCATTGACCAATCGATTACAATTGAAGGTGGAATTCATATCACAATTGAGCCATGCGGTAGGTTTATGAGGGATCATCTATCGACTCATCTGGATTCTTTATCTGTGACCGGGTCTCATTTAAAACCGTAGCTTCCATTGAAAGAGCGGAAGCTGCTAGAAATGAACATCGCAGTATCCATTTCTCTCATCCACGTGTCAGCGGCACTATTGCCTATTGTTCACTTGTGCTGAATATGCCATTCCGGTAGACAAAGATTAGCACTGCAGAAGTCTCAGGGCATTTACTTGTTCAATAGTCATGTTCTAGTAGAACTGATGACACGCAATATGGTTTGGGTGACCAACCAATTAGTATTTCTACTCAAGCAGAACATATTAGCTATAAAATCATACGAAATCCTGGAATGATGTAAATTTCTCTCATTATCATTTAGTACCCAGGGTTCAAAGGTAAGTCCCTATCACTTCTCATACTAACTCCGACACGTCTTCTTTCTAAAGCTCTCGGATTCAACAGAAGCAATTACTCTCATAAAACAATGTCTTCAGGTGTTCACTTCAGTTCCCTCCCCGAGCCTTCAGAGGTCGGCAAAATATGGCAAGATCTTCAGGATCTCATCGACAATCTGAAGATTGAACTTATGGAGCAAGAAGAAGAGTATGCTGAACTCGCCACTGAATTTGATAGCGAGACTAAAGCTGGCATCTCGGATAAAGAATTCCAGGCCCTGCGTTGCCGAGTTAGTGAGTGTTGGGAGCGTCTCCAGATTACCAGACAGGATCAGTTCTTTTACTTGAAGCAGCAGAGAAGGCTGGCTGAGGGTTGTTTGTCCCGAATTGCTGAGAAGCTTGGGACTCTAAATGTCGCTTCCATGCTAAGCGCTATCCAAGCGAGTCAGACGACCAAGGGCTACTATGAGAATCCCATCCAGCCGCTGTTTGAGACTATTACTGAGTCGCCTCATGAGTATAAGTCAGACTCGTGTCAATGAACTTCAGGGATGAGGGTGATTGGGGACAAAAAGGCCACTTGAGTCTAATGTTGTTATTATTACTGAGGAATAGGCTGGTACACTTTGTGTAGGAAAAGAATTTCAAGACCAATTTCAACCGCCACAGGTAACAATAGGTGAGATGAAGGTTCGGGCGAATAATTATCAGTTGTGATGATGTAGATCAATGGTTTGGACACAAGCTAGCCTAATACTCTATAAACAGGATATTCATCACCGACATTAACTGGAAGAATATTAAACGTGGCATACGAATCGATATTCTCAGGCTCAAGAACAGTAAACGCGTACCCCGCAGCAGCCTGCTTCGTCGGAACCCAGAAGCTTCCCGCCGGCATAGTAATCTCCTTCTTCTTAATCTCAGTAGTAACCTTGTTCAACACAGTTCCCTGATAGACGGTACTAGCCAACTCAATGCTCGTGACATTATAAGCCTCAACCTCACCTCGGAACTCAGAGCGAATATTCTCGACAGTGACGCCGTTGAGGCGAAGACGATCGGCGGCTTCTTTCCATGCTTGCGGGAAGATATACGCTTCGGGGCGGGAGCGGGTAAGGTTGGATTTCACGGGTGTTGAGCTGAGAAATTGCACGGGAATTTCGACGAGTTTGCCGGTTGGGAGGTCAATGAAATCCCAGGTGCGGTTGGTGGGCTGGAAGGAATCTGTAACGACAACTTCATCTACACCATCGATGAATTTCTGACGGGCGCCTTCGACAACTTCGTACACCTCTTTAGCTTTGTCGGCGGCTGTTTGCACGATGGCTTCAATCATGGTTAATCCTGAAGCAACGCGTCGCTGGAAGTGCTGGCTTCCAAGGCCAATACCCCGAGTCTCAGTGAGGAACACCATGACTTGCGTCAGCGCCAATGAGACATCGCCAGCTCGTGCTTGAGTATCAAGCTGAGTAAACACCAAAGGTTCTTCTCTGGCATTTCCGGTGATATAAGGACTCCAGCGCAGATTCAGCTTATCCATCGCCCCGGCAATTCTGGGCACGAAAACCTCCTCGGAGTATTCCCGAATGTCCTTGTGAATGTTCAGGTTCTTCATAGGATCAAATTGACCATCCACGGCTTGCGCCCACTGATCTTTGAGGCCATAAGCGCGATTGGCGCTGTATTCATGAGCGTCCACCATGATATGAGGAGCAAAATCAACAATTAGCGCCTTGACCTCACGAGTTTGTTGGCTTGCGAAACGGATGTGATCTCTGTTGGGGTCGTACCCCGTCGCCAGAAAGCGCTGGAAGTACGCGACACCATCGGGATTGTAGCGGGGCAGGATCATGATGTCCATTTTCTCAAGGATTGACGCTGCCCAGGTTGAGTTCGCGTCAAATTTGCCGAGCAGCGCGAGTAGAGCTTGGTCGCCCCCAGGTTCGTTTCCATGGACGCCACCTTGAAGGTAGACGCGAAGCTTCTCGGATGAAGAGGAATTGGCCTTGATCTCAGGCTGCGATGACGTAGACAAGTAAACATAGGGAATTGAGCGTCCTTCGTCGGATTTGAAGGGTGGGTTGTTGTATGTCAACCAGTCATTGCGAGATGCAAGACTCTCGAGGAAGTAGTCTAGGAATGTTAGGGCATCGATCTTGAAGATGCGTTGACAACATACTCAATGTAGCGTCGCTTGTTGGTCCGCTCGTGCCATTTCCAAAGCCAGCGGGGATACTCTTGGGGTCAAGGAAAGCAGGCGACTGAAGGTCGATCTGCTTGACTTCGGGGAAGTTCTTGGCAGCTTCTTCACCGTCTTTCGTAAGAGCAACTTGATTATCGTTATACCGAACTGCAGTGGCCAAGCCAGCGCACAAAGCGCCAACGAAAACAGTGCGAAGCGTCATTTTTCCAGTGAACATACCAACAGCAAAGAAGAGGCATTGGAACCCGACCATGCGGGCATTTCACCTTTTAAACAACCTTCCTAGTCCGTGATGATCATCATACATCGGGAAACATAATGACCGAACTTCCCCGCCGATCCGCATAGCTTATCAGTAGTAAAGTTAGCCGTGGATAAGCTTAAACCGTTTATAGTAGGTAGCTATGAGAATTGGCTCATTTAGCTCCGACTATGTTGCAATCAACAGCGGGGAACGGGTCTGCCAAGGCTTGGTGGATGAAGAATTGTTTACCGGTCTGTGGAAAGCAGGTTTATGTTTCGGCCTCGGCGCCTTGATTTTGTTTGCTGGGAGTGATAAGATAAGATATGGATAAGAGAAAGATGCGGAGGTTGTAGGGTAACTCCAGCAGCTGATTAATTACCAAGAGATGTGAATTCGGATAATAGACTTCCGATACTTGTTGGCCAGAGATTTTCATTTTCTCTCGACCTGAAGATGGATGCAATCAAGGGCTTTATTGTCGGCAAACCAAGGTGCGTTTAAATGAGAATGGATATTATAGGTGAGATAAGAAAATCGTAGAATGGGAATGAAGAGGAGAAACCTACATATCTGATCCACCAATACAAAAACACTCACACACTGCATCTACAAGTTTTACGTCATCTTGGTCCAATTGTAAATTAGGTTGCAAGATTTGTTTTGTCATGATTGCTTTCAAATTTGGGCATATCGTGTTTGCAGAGAGCTGAAGGATTGGACCGTCGAAGCTGAGAACCAATGTATCGCGCTGATCACATATATTTGTCTTGAACAGGCAGCTTCCGTTGGGGGCCAAAGTGTAAAGCTTTCCAGGTGATTGTTGATCTTCAATAGGAATTTCCTGGTAAAGTAAATAAGTCAAATGAAGGATGAAGATCCACCCGTGGGACTGATCCGAGCTGAGCTGGGAGGGAATAACTATACTGTCCAGACTGTGTAAGCAATTGACCCGTTGTAAGGAAGCCTGCGGAGATAACGCTCAGACTGGAACGGATTATTGACTGTGTGAAATTACAATGTGAGTATCTAATTGCTGGATGTCCTCCACTTCTACGTCAAAGGCCTGTCAAATGAAGCTCGTTATAATGAACGAAATACAGAAGAACATGCTCGAGGTAACAAGATCCATGGATCTGCCATAATTGGCGAATGAATAGACAAACAGCTGTCTGCTGAAGATAATATAGGTTGGTCATCTCGGGACCTGAGTCATGGTGTGTTTGACAAGGTAATTATGTGAAAAAGAGAAGACTGCCAGATTCAATCGAAATTGGCCTGAGCAGAACCGGGGAACATAATGCAAAGATCGAAGCTGTCTGACATAATCAGAAAACTCAGACAACGTGGCCGAGTGGTTAAGGCGATGCCCTATCTCTTCCGAGACATCATAGGCATTGTTGTTCGCACGCGTAGGTTCGAATCCTGCCGTTGTCGATGTTCTTTTTGTTCTTTTTATCATTTCCGCATTCAATTAATATGTTTTCTTTTGCCAGAATAACGATTTGTTGTTGTCGCGAAACTTGCTGACATTTTGTTTTAGCAGCGTGATTCAGTGCTGTGAGCGACAGCGCTGGACCCACTGAAAGCTCGCGCCTGAGGCTAGAAGAGCTGGTCTGTGTCTCACGTACTCTGCGATTGACTACAGTAAATAAGATTGCCTGGACACCTGATATTTCTCCTTTGGCATATGACAGGCATGCTGTGTAACGGCGGACAGTAATTGACACGAGCTCAGAGTTTAGTTTCCGCCACGCTTGAAGTTCGTTCTGATAGCGCCTTATACCACCAAGTTCACAGTGCAAACCCACTACAAGCTGCTTAATCGTCATTCATTCACCTGAGCGGCTGCGACCGTTCCGCGACAATCTGATTGGCTTTGCATAATTGTCCGATGAAAGAAACATTTTAAAGTGTGCCCCAGCTTTGAGCAGAAAATAGACAGTCTGGTTAACAATCATGCAGGTCTACTGAGGCGCACCTGTGCCGTAATCCCAGCTCCTTGCTTTAACAAATCCCATTCCGGGCGAATGGTTTAGTGGTATAATACTCCCTTAGCATGATTCAGTCTTCTGAAGAAATCTGGGAGTGGTCCAGGGTTCGATTCCCTGTTCGTCCAACTTAGGCGGTTAAATCCCGCTATTATCCTCTCTTTTTGCAGTTTCACCATCTAACTGCTTATCAGGTAGAACCCGTTCTTCTTATCAATCAGAATCAAGACATTTTATTTATTTCAAGACCAAGGAACTGTAAAACCTTTTTGGTGCGATTCCCTTGCAAGCTCAATAACCCTCAAACCATCTCGTGATTGCGTTGGTTTCACTTCCAGCTCCGCCTTACCATTGATCGCATCCGCCACATTTTCATATAACCCCATCCATCGACCTGCAAAACTTGGATATCGACCAGTATACTTCTTAATCGCAGGGTCATACTTCTGAACCTTGCCGTCGAACTCTTCGTAAGTCGTGAGAATACCCCGCAGTTCATCAGCCTCAACACCAAAGCCTTCATCAAGAGGTTTGAGATCAGCAGCGATACCGTCCTCTGTTGCGCAAAAGCTATGCTTCTGGAACTGGAAGAACTATTAATAAAACACCTGAACGAAGCGAATTGATTTCTCACCTTCATGAAAGAACCCTTTGTTCCGCGAACGAGCTGCTTTAATTGCTGCGCCATCGGCGTCGTCACAGCTGTTTTGACTGTGACGAGCAGATCTTTCTGCGCACCATCATACTGTAGAATAATTGTGAAAGAGTCTTCGACTTCACTTTCGGCATCACGTTGGACGCGGAAGAACCCCGTCACAGATTTAGGGCGACCGAAGAGCACAAGCGCCTGGTCGATGCTATGCGTACCTAGAGACTGTAAGCTAAAAGACCGGGGGTAAATAGTCACAGGAGGCTTACCGAGACCAAAGGCCATGCCAGAGCCTGGGGTGTACTTGGCTCCCATTTTGGACAGCCACGGTGGTGACTCAAAGTCATAGTGTAGCTCAGCTTCTTTGATGTCACCTAGTGCACCCTTCTTAATGAGGTGGCGGAGGGTCTGAAAGTCTGCATCCTATCACAGGATTAGAATTAATTTAGAAGAAACAAGAGGCAAAAAACTTACCCATCGTCGGTTCTGAAAGCAAGTAAGAATGAGACCCTTTTCTTCACCCAGTTTGATCACCCTATCCGCCTCTTCAGCCGAAACAGCAAAAGGCTTGTCCACAATCACTACTCTCATTAGTTTCACGCCGACCCTGGATAAAGGCTACTCACCATGCTTGCCCGCATTTAGCGCTTGCTCTGCAAAAGATGCGTGAGTATCATGGTGCGTAGCGACAACCACGAACTGGATATCTTTGTCGGCAAAGAACCCCTCGGCTGTGCGATAGTGTCTGACGTGAGGGAAGTCAACGGTGCAGTGCGAGCCCTTCTCAGCGGAAGATGGATTGGCTGGAGCTTCTTTTCTCTGGAGAATAGCGATGACTTCGTAGTCTGGAATAGAAGTGATGAATGGTAGGTGAAAGCTCTTGGCTGAGTTGCCGTAGCCTACGACACCAACTTTGATGGGTGCCATGATCTGGGAGCTGTTTACACTAACTTCACTTTGAGAGCCAGGAGACTTCTTTATCTGATCGATCGCTGAGAGCTTTTATCTAACGTTGACTTACAAATCAATTTCACCTTTTACCGCATCTTCTTATTCACCCGGTTATAGCGTCATTGATCGATTGTCCCCGCATTGCTTTTATCCTTGGTGGATCGGAGATGGTATCATGACACAACCCCGCTCTTCGGGGAGTATCGGTGATAGGTCCGCTACTCCGCGACTGACTAGAGAGTAGTATAGAAATGCCTGCGCCTTGAAATATTCGGTCTTAAATGGTCAGCAAGCTATCAAACTCCGAGATCGGGTGACTAGATGGATAAGATCGTCTGAAATGTTGGGCGTCCCAAGGCTTTGAACTCTCAACTGCCGCACTTCGGCGACCACTATCCCGAATAAAAGAGTATTTGCGGGTCCCGCAAATCTACCTTATATCGACCACTCACTTCACATCACGCAATTCTCAGACTCTGAAAAGCTCAAGCTATTGAAAATCAGGCTTCCACAATGGCTAGCTCAGCAGACTCTCTACCTAACCTGCGATGGGGCATCCTAGGTACTGCAAATATCTCCCACTGTTGCACACCCAGAGCTAACTGTACCGCTAAGGCACGGGATGGGTCTCCTCAATGTTTCTCCGCGACCTCCTCACCACGCGTCCCGACGCCAAAGCAACCCATACCATCACAGCCATCGGCTCCTCTTCCACCGAGAAAGGTGCTTCATTCGTGGAGAAGCTCTGGGAGAAAGCACCTGATAAACCCAAGCCCCAAGTCTACGCGGATTATCAGGGTGTTTACGATGATCCAAACGTGGATATTGTATACATCGGAACGCCGCACTCACTGCATAGAAAGAACTGTCTTGATGCTATCGCAGCGGGTAAACATATTCTATGCGAGAAACCTTTCACGATTAATGCGAAGGAAGCAAAGGATATTGTTGATGCGGCGAGGACGAAGGGTGTTTTTGTCATGGAAGGTTTGTTCAGTCCCGCATTTGTCTGACTGCATGCTGATGTTTGTTAGCTGCTTGGGTGAGATTCTGTTCCTTGTTTGAGGCGTTGCATGAAGAGATCATCGTCAAGAAGTCAATCGGTGAAGTGCAGCGACTTTCCATTGACTTTGGAAACAAGTTTGATCTGAGCAGCTTGCCTGACAATCATCGTCTCAAAGACCCCGCACTTGGCGGCGGTGCTCTGCTCGATATCGGCTTTTATACGCTGACTTTTGCTTCGATCATTCTTGGTGACTGGAAGGTTGGGAAAGATCATCCGAAACAGACAAAGGTTCTGTCGTCTCTTGACATTGTGGACGGCATCGACGCGGCAAATACGGTTATTCTCGAGTACCCCTCCACCAATGGAGGTTCCAAAACAGGAGTTTGCACCTCAAGCTTCCGCTATCGAGGCCCCGACGAATTTGGCTACATTCAAGGTACCAACGGAAGTATCACGCTATTTGGTCCCGCAGTCAGTGTCCCCGGTGGATTCCGCGTCACTGAAGGAGAGCGCCCAGGACCTCCTGCAGCCGATACTAGAACCACGCGCGTGTTCAACGTGGAGCGCCACGAGGGAACGTTGGGCTTCTACTGGGAAGCTGATGCTGTGGCGCAGGATATTGCGGCGGGAAAGACGGAGAGTGATGTTGTTCCGTTGGATGAGACGCTTCGTTTGATGGAGCTGATGGATGAGATTAGAGCTGCGAATGGGTTGAAGTATCCGCAGGATGAGAATTAGATGCATCGTGACCTGAAGTTTGGGGCGGTCGATAAAAGCGGCATTTAGTCACTAGCCGTCGAGACAAATAAAGTTGCACCCAATTAAATTCAACGAGGCCTAATCTCCTCCATCAAGTGACCTCACGCGACAACAAACGAGAGCAAACAACCTCAGTACATGAGACGTTTCGCTTCGGCCGTGACAAACTGACAGTGATTGAAACTGTTTGCTGAAACAGAGGCACACACCTCAGACGCGATCACTGTCGCAAACATGCAGTCGAGTTTGTCTGAGTCACCCGCCGAAAGCCACTGCCCATCGCAAATGCCTTATCTCGTCAATGATTCCTTCCATTCCTCATTTTTCTCTCCTCCATCACCGTCTCGTTTTTGAACGCGCCAGCGAAACTTGATCTTGCACTCTTTCTTCTTTATTCTGCCTCTTGCGCGCGACGATGCCGGCCTCAGGATCCGGATCCTCACTCCTTGCCGACGTTTATTTGCAAAACTGCAATCTTGGCTTCACCCCGCGATGGGAGTTCCAGCCTGATCTTGACAAGATGAGAATGACGATCCAAGCGCTTTTCCATACTCAAAACGTCCGCATCAAACATTTTGCCGAAGGTTGCTTCAATAAACTCTACGAAGTTCAGGTCAACGATCAGGACCCGCGGCTGCTACGAGTGGCGCTGCCCGTTGATCCGCAAAACAAGACCATGAGCGAAGTTGCTACGATTCAATGGGTCTCCACGATTACAGACCTTCCGATCCCGAAAGTCATTCATTACGACGCGTCGCGCGATTCTCCCGTTGGGTACGAATGGATCTTGATGAGCAAGATTGCAGGTGCGCGAATGCAAGATACATGGCGACATCTTACCCTCCCTCAGAAAACAGAAACAGTCCGTCAGGTCGCGTCTTTCATAGCCTCCCTCTTTCGCGAAAGGTTCACCACGATTGGAAACTTGTACCCTCCTGTATATGCAAGCGAAACACCCAGGCCCGGCCCGATTGTGTCGACTTGCTTTTTCTACGGCCTCATCAACAAATCCGACATTAGCCGAGGGCCGTTTCGGAACAGCAGCGAGTGGTTTTCAGCACGGCTTGAGGCGACTAAAAGGGATGCGACAGCGACCATGGCAAAGTGGTGCGGCAATGAAGACCTCGATTGCGCTGCGGTCAAGGAGATTGACGATGCTGCACGAACATTTGGCATCGCTGAGAGATTGCTGCATCTGATACGGCGCATCTTTCCATGTCACACGGAAACAGAGGCCACAGTTCTCTACCACGACGATCTACATGGGAACAACATTCTTGTCGACGATGCAGGCAAAATCACAGGCATTGTAGACTGGGAGTGTGTTTCCATCGTGCCCCTTTGGAAAGCCTGCGGCATCCCCCAATTCCTCTTTGAACAACCCAGATGGACCGAACCTGACCGCAGGCGATACCGCTATGACGTGAACGGCGAGATGTCCGAGCTATACTACAAGCATTTACACCAGTACGAAACCACGCGTTTGAGAGAGGTCTTCTTGGAAGAAATGGAGCGACTTGACCAGCGATGGATGGACATTCATAAAAAGACGCAACTGCTGAGGGACTTTGACTTTGCAGTGCAGTTTTGTGACGATGTCGCCGTTTTCAAGCATATCGTCAAGTGGGCTGAGGCTGTGGAGGCTGGAGGGGATGTGCCGAGGATGTGGGACCTGGTATGGGCGAATGCACTCAAGTGGTATTGAATATCCGTTTTGAAGGTGCTAGCGCCAGTCAGCGATATGGCGATGCAGACACTTCAGACAGATCTTGCTTGTGTATATTAATTGAAATGATATCCATCTTGATCAAGATTGCGACGTCCGTTGAATGCCGCGTGGCATGTCCCTCCCACTACCAGCTCATGCGACTATTTGAAAAATAGCCTCTGCACGCACTGATCTTAGCCACTGATGACTGGGCCGAAACCGCGATACAGACGCGAGACCGCCATTCTCACGTAAGAGCCTCGGACGCCGGGTCGCAGCGTCTCACCAACCTGAGTAAGCCAACTCCGATACCGACCCAGAACCATAAATTCCCCACGCTCACCGCTCAGAGATTGTGTTATCAAGCCTATACCGCGCGCCGGTATTGACGGGAACGCAACGGGGACGGCTTCCCTCAATAGCCTATCTCAACCCGTGACACCCCGTATTGGTCATGCTCAGCCTCAGTTTCTCAGCCGTAAGCAAGGGAGTGATTGGACCAACATCCGCTCTGATCCAATTGGTCTACCGCAAGCCTGACTGTGCCCAAGAAACGCCTCCGAGAGGTTGATTGGGCTCACCTAATTCATTACCAACCTGTACGACCGTTGGCGTAGTCACGGGGTGAAGTTCTGCAAGGATGGCGTTGTGATTGTGAGCTGCGGTGAGACATGACGAAGTCTATTCGTGTTAGTCATCTGTAGAGGGACTTGGATTGGGTCGTTGGGTGAGATTATAAGTCCTAGGGCTGAAACATTTTGAGTGCCAAGACCGTGATCCTTGACCGGCTGGACTCGTATCGCAGAGTTGCTTGAAAATGGGAACATGATTGGATTTAATGACTACAGCGGGAACTTATGTATGTGATTGCCGTCATAAGCTTGCATATTCCGCGATAACAAGATTGAGATGACCCCGTGATGAACGCCAGCCAGCGTTCTTATTTAAATCCCGTCTCACAAAGCACAAAACCATCGACCCCAAACCACTAAAAACCAAAATGGCTCTCATCGAGCGAGTATGGCACGCCTGCGTCAGTATAGTCGCATGGCTAACAATGTGGCCCACCTCCCCCTCCACCTCCTACCAACATCCTCTCCGCCCTAATCGTCCTCACACTCACATCGAAGAGCCCAGCCCTGACTTCCCCATCTTCCATCCCCCACCAGGTGATCATGAATTCCTCTGCGAGTACCCAGAAATGCCAGGCTTCGTGCAATGCTCAATTCCAGAGAATCGAGAATGCTGGCTGAGACATCCTGATGGGCGAGAGTTCAACATTCATACTAACTATGAGAACTTTGCGCCCAAGGGGATTATGAGGCATTATACGCTTAATATCACGGAGAGTTGGTATAATGCTGATGGGCAGAACTTTACGGAGGCCAAGTTGTTCAATGGGGAGTATCCTGGCCCTTGGCTTGAGGCTTGTTGGGGTGATGTGAGTATACACCTTGTCTGTGGCGGTGCCCACGTTGACTAATGATGATGCAGACGTTCAATATTACTGTCATCAACAGTATGAAGAGGAATGGTACGAGCATTCACTGGCATGGTATTCGTCAGAACCAGACCATGGACATGGACGGTGTCAACGGCATTACTCAGTGTCCTATTGCACCAGGGGATAGCTTCAACTACATCTTCAACACGACGCAGTACGGAACGTCTTGGTATCATAGCCACTACTCTGTACAATATGCAGATGGTCTTCAGGGTCCGATTGTAAGGGTCCCACGTCCTGACAATTGGAGATTGCGCTAATGACCCAGACAATTCATGGCCCTCAATCTGCCCCTTATGATGCCACCAAGAGACCGCTAATTATGACAGATTGGTGTACGTCCCTCTCAACCCTTGTCCGATGACCTATACTAACCAAGCAAACAGCTCACGAGAGTGCATTCAGACTGCTCTTCCCTGGCTCCCAATTCTCCAACAAGACCATCCTTCTCAACGGCGCAGGCAACGTCTCCCACTACGGCTACACCCCAACTCTACCTATTCCCGATAACTACGAGTTATACTTCAACAAAACTCCAACAGATAAGCCAAGTCGTCCCAAGAGATACTTGCTCCGCCTGATCAATACTTCATTTGACTCGACTCTCGTCTTCTCCATTGATAACCACTGGCTCCAAATCGTCACGTCAGATTTCGTCCCCATTGAGCCGTACTTCAACACCTCGGTATTGATAGGTATTGGTCAAAGGTACAACGTCATCGTCGAAGCTAATCCTCTGGCCGGTGATGTCAATGAGATCCCGGAAGATGGAAACTTCTGGATCAGGACTTGGGTCGCCGATGCATGCGGCATAGCCCCAGGAGGCGACGGCTATGAAAAGACTGGTATCCTACGCTACAACCACTCTGATAAAGCTCTCCCTTCATCTCAGCCTTGGGTCAACATCAGTAAGGCGTGTTCAGATGAGACGTATACTTCGCTTCGACCCAAGATTCCGTGGTATATCGGTCCGGCGGCCAATGCTCAAGCAGCGGATGGGAATGGCGAGAGGTTCAATGTTACTTTTGATCCAAACGCCAAGAACACACCCGAGTTCCAGGAAGAGTACCCAGTCGCTACGTTTGGCCTTCAAAGGCCTGGTCAGAACTTTAGACCACTGCAGATTAACTACTCTGACCCTGTCATGTTTCACTTGGATGAGCCGAGGGATACTTATCCTCCGAAGTGGGTGGTGATTCCTGAGGATTATACTGAGAAAGAATGGGTATGTGTCACCCGCCTTTGGATCCTGTGAGGTAATATGACTAACCATCGTAGGTCTACTTTGTTCTCACGATAGAAGGTATCAGTGCTCGTACCGGCGCTCATCCCGTAAGCACCCAACCCCTACCACATGATCCCCACCTAACCATATCAGATCCACCTTCACGGCCATGACTTCGCCCTTCTACAACAAGAAGAGAACCAAACCTACGACCCCAGCAGACTCAACTTGAAGCTTGACAATCCACCAAGGCGTGATGTCGTGCTACTGCCCCGCAATGGCTTCGTAGTGATTGCCTTCAAGGCAGATAACCCAGGTATCTGGCTGGTGCACTGTCACATTGCACGCCATGCTTCCGAAGGTTTGGCTATGCAGGTACTGGAGAGACAGGGAGATGCGAATAAGTTATTCCCTGCTGGCTCGCCAAATATGATTGCGGCGGAGAGGGTTTGCAGGGTTTGGGAGACGTGGATGGATGGGGAGAAGGATTTCTTTGAGGGTGACTCTGGTATTTAGTGGTTGATACATATCAGTACACTTAGAAGTTCTGTACATCTAACAATTTGACTACTTTACAAGAGTTCATTCAACTACATTCGTGAACGGGTCACAAACCCCAAACAGACAACAAATAGCATGCCCAGAAACACGGGCAGAACACCGTTCTCAATCCACGTCATCCACGGCAGATAGACTTCTCCTCTAATGCGCCCTCGTATTCCTTGATTCGCTCGCCAAATACGTCCCAAGACGCTGGTGCTTTTCCGCCACGGCGCCATACCGTTTTTTGGTAATTCCACCGGCAGATCTCCTACTCTATCTGCTTTTCCGCACAAGCTCATACCACTCTAGTCCCAAGAGCACCAATCACAAGCGTTCCATCAAGTGTTACCATCGTCATTTGCCAACCTTGTTTTTAAACTACGCTGATCCCCCGCATCTTGTTACCCCGTGGGGGGGTCTTGGCGTGGCAGCCCGTTTGCATAAAAACTGGCATCTGCTCCAGCGGAAACTCATTATTATTATTATTATCATCATCATCGATTATAGTTTGAAAGAATAATGGCGACATCAATGCCCCAGAGTCCAGGTGGTCATGACCACAAACCCGACGACGCAGCGCGCAACGAGCATATTGAACGTGCGCTTGACAACGTTGAGTCGAGACCAAACGATGACGCCATATTCTCCAAGTTCCCCAAGATGGATAAGGTAGATGAGTTTGGCGCCCATGCGAAAACGGATCCGAGAGAAATTGCGCTTGTTAAGAAATTGGACAAGTACATTCTGGTAACAAGTCCAATGTGTTGTTGGAATATTTCTTGTTTCTGACGTGATGTAGCCTATGCTATGGTTCATGTATCTTTTCAATTACCTCGATCGCAATGCCCTCGTCAATGCGCGACTTAATAGCCTGGAAGAAGATCTTGGTCTTGTTGGGACGCAGTACAATACTTGTGTTTCAATTCTGTTCGTCGGGTACATGTAAGTTCAATTACCATTAACTCCAGAGATACCAGCAGCTAACCTATCCAGTGCCGGCCAAGTCCCGAGCAACATGCTCATCAACAGAGTCAAGCCATCTTGGTACATGGCTGGCTTCTGTCTCGCTTGGTCTATCGTCAGTCTAGTGACGTTCTTGGCGAATAGCTACGGAAGCATGGTTGCGCTTCGTTTTATCCTCGGCGTAACTGAAGCACCGGTGAGTATTGCCATGCAGATTTAAGAATTACACCTGACCTTGACCAGTTTTATCCTGGAGCCTTGTTCATTCTCAGCATGTTCTATACTCGTAAAGAACTCGCTGTCAGACTGGCTATCTTCTATACAGGCAACATGATAGCCAGTTCCTTTGCAGGACTCATCGCCGCTGGAGTCTTTGCTGGTCTTGACCAAAAGCATGGCTTGGCTGGCTGGCAATGGTACGTAGCACATTCAACATCACTCAACCACGCTCACCATAATACAACAGGCTCTTCATCATCCAAGGCGCCTTATCAATCCTTACCGCCATTCTAGCATTCATCTTCCTCCCAGACCATCCCCTCACCACCCGCTGGCTCTCAGAAGAGCAGCGACAGCTTGCATACAACCGCATCTACACCGACACAACAGACGTCCGTGAAAAGACGAGCGTATGGATCGGTCTCAAAGAATCTGCTTCTGATTGGCGGACATGGGCATTATGTCTTATGTACAATCTTCACCTCTCATCAGTCGGCTTCCAGAATTTCCTCCCAACCGTCATGAGGACTCTCACCGACAGTAACACCATCGCTTTAGTCCTGACATGCCCACCGTATCTCCTCGCCGCTGGAATTGGAATCGCCATGGCGTGGACGTCAGGACGCTGGAATGAGCGCACGCTACATATTACCATCTGCAAATGCATCGTCATGGTTGGTTTCATCATCGCTGTTTCAACCTTGAACATAGCAGCGCGGATGTTCAGCATCTACCTCTTTGTCGGTTTCAGCTTCGGCATTAATAACATCATCCTTGCGTGGATCAGTGCAACAGTCGGCCAGACGAGCGAGAAGAAAGCCGTGTCTCTTGCGATTTGCAATACGTTTGGCAATTTGGCTCATGTGTACACGGCTTATTTGTGGCCTTCCTCGGATGAGCCGCGGTACACTACTGCTTGGGTTTCAAGTATTGCATTTTCGCTTGGGGTTGTTGTTATTGCGTGGGGGTTGAGGTTCCATCTGAAGCATTTGAACAAAAAGACAAGGAGGGATCATCCCGAGGTTACGAACTTTTATGTTTATTGAAGAGTTGGCGTTGTGTATGTTATGCATCTTGTGCAACCCTGTTTATGCATCGTGCACAAACGATGTCGGGATTTATCCGTCCACTTAAAATTGAGGCAATAAAGCCGTGGATAAAATCTATCTCGGTATATATCACTAAGTATGTAGTCAGTCTTGATGAAAGTACTACTTAGGCTCTTTAGATATGTTGGTTGATCCGGTCGTTTTGTTTTATTGTTTCAGTGTGTCTAAGTCTGGAAGAGGTCATACTCACTATGTATGGTTCAAGTTCTCAGCAAGCTATTTCGCAAAGTTCAACAACTGACGGTTCTGCATTGAGAAGGGATTCCGGGCTAGAGACTCCCAGCAGGCAAGCGATACTCTCATATTTTTATGCGCAAGGAATTTGAGGGAGACGAGACTATCAAGTGCAGGAATCGACTTGAAGTTGAATACCCTACATCCCCACCGTCAAGGATCAATGCTTATCTTATCTCATCATCTCATTGACGTCAGGCTTGGCACGACTCGCACGAAGAACCGATTACCCAGAGCATGACTCAAGTGAAACACCAGATGAGGATGCATCGCGGTAACGACAGGTAAAACACCAACTCCATGCTCAATTCTAAAATGCAACGCTATACACAAATCTATGATGCTATGCTAAATCTATACCATGTATTGAATCGTCCTCCTCTGTCGTCTCTTCTCCTGCTCCTCCCTCTCCCTCTCATCATCCTCGGACGAATGATCCCCCGAAAACACAGCAAACTCATTACTCGCCAGAACGGCAGGTGGGATCTCACCAGGAAGTATTCCGTTCTCATCGACAGGCCTGCTGAAGCGGTTGAACGCGATAAAGTTGTCTTCATCAGCGGCGATCGCGTTGACGGGCGTCGCTGAGGTGAATGACTTGCGGCGGATGGAGATGGCGTCGTCTTGGATGGGCTCAACGCCTCTCTTGCGGTAGACAAAGTCCAGAAGAGGGATTGAAAGCCCGTGCACGACGATGGAGAAGAAGACGAGGAAGTAGATGACTGGACCAAGAGCAGCGAGAAGATCGCGCTCCTCTTGGTCTGCGTCTTCGGGATGAGGAAACAAGTGCTTCATGTGCTCAAGGTAGAAAACGGCACCGACACCGATAGGTCCGAAATAACCCATGAAAAGCGCCTCCTTATAATCCTTGACGACAGCAGGCATGACCTTGTACAAAAGCAGAATTGCCGGGATGCGTCGAAACGCAAGGACCATAAAGCCAAGAGCGATAAGTCTGGGCAACGTGACGCCAGTGCCGTCGGGGTCGTGGAATGACTGCCAGGGAAGAACAATGCCGATAAACATGAAACCGCCAAAGTTGAGGAGCACGTCGATGCAGTGGTTGACTTCATCGTGGCGACGGTGCGTCTCGGCCAGGAATTCGCCGTCCCAATTAAGCATGTTGCCTGCGACAGTGCAGGCGACGAGATCGTTTGTGCCGATGGCGCCGGTTGTGCCGATGATGAAGAGACCGAGGGCAGCAGGGAAGAGTAGGTAAGATTCTTCATCGACCCATCCTCTGTGAGGTGTTAGCATGGTTCATTAATTATTCGATGGAGTTATTGAGACTTACCGACGCATCGCGTACTTGATCGCCTTGCATGAGGTAAACCCGACAACAGCACCGTAGGCAATACCCATGGCCACGTAGTAGAGCCAAGTCTCGACGACCCAGTTCTTCATGGCTTCGCCAATACCACCACCAAGACGACCAACTTCCTCACTGGCACGTACAGCAAGGTGCGCGGCTTCAGCACCACTTTGCTCGGGATGCTCGTATGCATGTCGCATCAAGTAAACAGCAAGCATGAGGAACGGGAATCCTACAGTTGTTAGTAACCCAATTAGCCACCACGACGAAATACACATACCGAATCCATCGTTGGCACCAGCCTCAGACGAGATAATTTCTCGAAGGTGTCGAGGAACATACTTGTCCGCAAAAGGCCCCTTCGCAACAGCTTGCGAAAGCACCGGGTCTGTGCATGTAACGCATGATGCGAGGGCCAGTGCAGCAAGAAGACTAAGTTTGGGGACAGTAGCGAGAATGCAGCCAGTTGTCAAAAGCCACATGAGAGTCATAATTGGCAGGAGGCACATGAGTAACTCTTTCCATCGAGTCACATTGTACTTTGCTGGCAGCGAGTAACCAGCAATGACGAGCTGAACGCCAATGACAACTCGCATCAGGCCCTATAGAGGTCAGTCACAGGGCATTATAGCAGTGTCGGTATCACTTACCAGAGCAATGTCCTCGGTTTGACCAGGCTCTGCCGAACCCCATCTCTCACTATCGAGAAACTTGGAGGATACGGGTCCAAGAATGATGCCAAACACCATCGCAGGCACTGTGCACCAACGCCATCAGTGACAATCAACACAGAATTATCAGTATAACTTACAAGCTTCTCCGAGGTACCATGACTGCTTGATCTTGACAGAAATGATACCGTACAATGCCATGAAGCCACCTGTGAAAACTCTGTCAGAGCCAAGATTTGCCAAGATCTGGGCAAATCACCACCAAGAAATGCCCAGCAGGGAATCGTACTGACCCAAGACTCCCAACACGATGTTGAGCTCACTGAGGTTGAGGACTGGCATTTTGGCGTCAAGGATGTATGCAGAATCACGTAACTAAATGTTTGGGATTCAGAAGTATATAGTCTTCAGGTCTTCCGGTTTGTTGATTCAATTCTCTGAGGGAACATGAATTGATGAGATGTTGGTGATGGTGCTGTAGGCTTGATGACAGACAGGATTTGGGGAGGATGTGTGCCAGACACTATCCAGAGAAAAGTCAACAAGCCCTTCGAGTACGAGAACTGCAACAGCGAGTATGTTTCTTCACCAACAGAGCATAAGAAGCAAACAAAAAGAAAAGGTAGCGCAGAGTTAGGTCAAGATCAGAAGGAAGAGTTTCTACAATAGTGGCGTTTGGGACACAGTATGCAGGGCGCAGAAAGCCTTTTGTACAAAGCAGAATGTGTGAGAGAGAAAAGCGAGATATCAAGTTTAAAGCGTAAAGCTGGGGAAGGGAAAATGCCTCAGACTCTTTTCTAAACAGAAGCCAAGAATTATTGACGGCAGAAGACAAGGGGAGATGATGAGAGACAGTACTAAAACATGAGATCTGCGTGGGTGATTCAAGTAGGTCAAAGCTACCCAGGGCGGAAGCTAAAAACAGGATATCGAAGGAGGTTGTAAGCCAAGACAGAGAACAGGTGCTGTAGTGCTCCACTACCGCCGCGGAAGAAGGTAAGGGAAAGACTGCGAGGGAAGGAATACACGCCACCTGCCATTATGTCAGGCGCTTTTTCCGCTCCGAGAGTGGAAGCTGCGGGATTCGTGATCCCGATGACGATGTCCGGCTGAGTCGTCCGCGTTTACGACGATTGGCGCTAATCTTGAGGCTGAACGCTTACGACGATTCGATCATCCCTTCTAACGCGTAATGTTTTTAATCAGCCTCAGCATTTCATATTAAAAAAAGAAACAACTACCGCTCAGATAAATAAGATCGGCAGGGCAAAAGAAAAATAACAGCAGAGCGAGGGATGGGGAGACACAGGCCGCTTCAAAGTCGTAAGCCCCAAACGGTGGCCAAGTACACCAAGACCTTGGCTGGATGAATGAAGGCCATCACCATGTGAGGGAATGGACAAGTCACCTGGCCAAGATATTACAAAAGGGGGCGGCTTTCTTGGCTTGAGGTTGGCGGAGTATTGAGATTGGCGCTTGGCGCTTGGCGGCTACTTGGCGTTTAAGGTTATTTGTTAAGCATGCTCGCGTTATGCTTATTTAAAGTGGGCTTGTGGTGCCGCCAAGCAGAGTCAGCCAAGCGACCAGGTGATGGGAGACGGGGAGACCGGTTGGTGATTATGTGTCGTGTTTTATCGGATGTTGGGGAGCGGTCGGCTTTGTTGCACGAGTTGTTGGACCAAGGTATGGTGATACCAGCCAAGTTGAAGCTTACGAGGATTGAAGACGGTGATATAGATTGCCGACTATGCTGTAGACTAACTTGGAATGCTATTGATAGAATTCCAGATACGTCCTAGAGACTGGCAAGATAACGGAATTCCTTTGTTGATGGAATTAGGTAATCTCTTTTTGTCTTCCTGATGATCAGTGACTCAGAATTTTCAAGACAAAGATTTAGGGTACATGACATCAAAGCTCCATCAAAGAATGGATTAATCCACCTCTGCCATTCCTAAACTCGCTGACCACGAGAAGATCATGTTGACATAATTCGAGAGGCAAGACAGGTTTTTTTAAAATGTCCACCAAGACGACTGTAGCAGACTCGGAGGCAATCATCAGTCCTGACCGTGAAACCGCCGATGTGATCACCAAATATGACAGCACTGGTTTGAGTCGTGGCGGACTGAGAGGCGGGATGTCGCTGATCGGCACTTCCGCTCCGCCCAGCGTGAGATGATCATTGTGTTAACGTATCCGCGAGACACGGGATGATAAACGTGACTAAATTCGCGAGAGGGAAAGATAAGCAACTGATAAGAGGAATGGCCATTCCGCTGTTATTCCGCTGGGACACTTTGACCGATAAACTTGCCAAGAAGTGGTTGTTTTATCTAATCGATATTGCCTTGAGATAGCCTTATCTGGTGAGAGATCGTCTTGGCGGACTTATTCCATTATGGGGCATGGGATTATGGTAAGAATATGATTCCGTGACCCTACGAGTTCAAGCTGTATTGACTACTACTCAATCATGTAATAGAGATGGGTAAAATATTATTGACCAAATGCTCTTCTGGGCCGATAAACATATATAACACGTCTTTCTTCAGTTTCTGCAACTATCATGGCATCAATCCTTCAGGACTGTTAACATTTGAGAATGATGTGAAACATGACAATAGTGAAAAGAAAGCAAGCGACTATATTGCCTGACGGGATGAATATGATTAGTAGCAGATATGAAATGGCGGTACTTCTTGCTTTAGTCGCCACTGACGAGTAGCCATCATTCACTGGTGCAAGCCAACACCGAAGTCATCTACCCAGTCGTAATTCCTTCCGTTTCAAAGTATCAATGCAGAACAGAAGTGCGCCCAGCTCCATCAGACGACTAGCGGGGTGCCAGTCTTTCACTCAGCATTTACAAGCGTGAAGCTGTTAAAATGGGAGGGGCTTCCTGTCGAAAAAGCTATCGAGTTGCACGTGACTACAATAAACCTCAAAGGAGCAGGGTGAGGAGGGCTAGAAGTGAAAAATCGCGTGTACCTATTCTTCTATTGCATTCCGCCAACGAAAGTGGGAGGTAATAAGCGGATGCAGTTGATTGGCTACCACTTTCCTTCAAAGATTCAACACTGACCTGCGTGTATGGAACTTTGAGGGATGGTTTGAAGATCTGTCATATCAGCTTGGACTGGGCCTTTGCAACCCGATGGCATCACGCGTGCGGTACTTGGCCAATGAAGTCTTCGTGTGCGGGAGACGCTAGGGTAGCATGTGGACTTTATGCCGCGACTACAGGTCATACCTCTATTTCACGAGGTTAAATAAAGTTATCAGATCTTGACGCCTGTTTCATTGGAAGATCTAGGTTGAACGCCAATGAAGAAACGCCACATCTTTTCTTCGTATCCTGCTCTTGAGCAAGGCCATCAAGCCACGTTTCCAACTCTCTACGACCTGATCTCGCTACTGGCTGGATAGGTCGAAGGCCTGCGCTTATTGTGGTCACAAAGGATTGAGAATATAAGTAGACAGTGACGGCAAAAGTTCAGGCCGGCGGATAGGGCATCAGCCCCAAACTTAATATTGCCTAACCGAGATCCTCATAATGGCGATTCGGCCAACGAGGTAGCCTACTGAGGCGCTTGTGATTTTTCCTGTAGTAAAGTATTTCATCTCGTAGGTTCCACGGCCCACGATATAAAGTCTCAAGAGTGTATCATGAAGTCATGTATACAACGCTCTTCCCACAGGCCAGCAGATCTGGTGATTGCACGATGCTTAGAGACAATACATTTCTACTCGCCAATTGTACGTGATGTCTTGATCAACAATGTAGACACGAGTGAAACGCGTAATTCAGCTGCTAGGTCCATCAACTCATAATATCACTCATAAACACAATTCAGGTAGTATACCAACTACCTACACGATTGGTAGACATGAAGGCTCCCGTCGTCTCTGCGCTTGTACAACAACCAGATCACACATCTTGGGGTCCCATTCATCTGACTTTGGCGACTCAAGCTTTTTGAATTCTATTGGACTCATAGCCCTACTGACTTGATAGCACCATCCTGCTCCCCTTGTATTCAAGGACGCGTAACACATTGAATTTGCCACGACACATTCCCCTCTGCAATCGATACGTATCTAATAGCAATGGGATAATCACAACTACTTAAGACCCTTCTCCCTCCCCTGTAAACGCGAAAGAACCTCACACTCTCGTCTTCCTCACTTCCCATCTCCAAATTCTTACCTGCCTAAACATCCCAATTAAAGTTCACATTACTTGAATATGTACTCCAACCTAGTCTCTCAGGCTATGCTCGGCCTCGGGTTCATAGGGTACGTCGCTGCGACAAACCCTGGCTGCGCACACCCCTGTATCCAGCTTCACCCAAACCATCAAGAACCCTGGTTCTGCCCCGTCGGAATCCCCAGGCCTCATTACCACAGCGGTAAATGGCCTACGCCGGAGGAAGAAAACCTCGCCAAGGCTCTCATCGGCCCTGTTACCAAGCAACAGCCTTGCGGCTGGCAGGCTGATGGCAAACTCTGCAGAGCCTCTCAGAACGCTCATGTCTCTCTAAGCCTTGTCTCCTCAAAGCCTCTCACCGTCAAGGTCAAGGTCAACAACCATGATTCGTACCCAATCACATTTTGGACGAAGTACTCTCCTCTCAGCCAGTATGCTTTTGATTATGGGTACTTCAAGATCACCGCCCAAGGTGATCATTCCGTTACCCTCGCACCCCCGCCAGAGGGGTACAGGCCAGAAGCTGCATCTGAACTTTCTGTGATCCTCCCTGGTGAGGCGTTGGAGGCAGACATTGTCCTGACCGACCCGAACCATGTCTTCCATCAAATGGTGAAGAGTGGTGGTGATATCGAAATCAGCATGTCTGGACAGTGGAATGGACTTTGGGCTACAACTGCGCCTGAGGTTATGAGGAGTGATTTGGTTCATTGCTGCAACAACATCTGGAACACCCTAAACATCACTTGGTCGTCATTGAATAAGCTCCTGCTGCGCTTTCCTAAGGAGCATCACGTCTCTGCGGTGCCACAACATTCTGAACCGAGATATGGAGCTAAGCCTAGAGCTAGTGCCGCTAATGAGCCTACTTATGGCGATGATTCGTCAGGCGTCAGTTCCGATGTTGGACATGAGACGGAAGAAACCTCGAGCGCAGATCAGTCTGATTCTACTCCAAAGGATGAGGCCGAATCTGGAGAGAGCTATGCTAGTGAGCAGCCAACCAAAGAGTCGCCAGAGTATACCAGTCCAGAAAACGAGGCTGATTATTCTTCTACTGAGTCACCAGCTGCTGAATCCCCAGCCTATGGGTCAGTTCCAACTTAGTCATCAGAGGATGCAGCTAGTGAGGATCCTAGCTCAGCCAGTGCGTCGCAGTCTGGTGCGAACAAAGTCGCGGCTACACCTGCACCATTTTTCGCTAAATCTGGACGCGCTGAGGAGGAACCCAAAGCTACAGCTGCTACGCGAAGCTGGACAACCATGCCCTCTACAACCACTCAGCCAGTATATAAGCTGGGTGCCCGTTCATTGGTTGCATGTGACAAGGATTGCAAATGCAAGGATCATTAGAAGCCCTCTGACCGTCTCTTGTACAGGGCTAGTGGTGGATCGTATTCGGCTATTCGCAAATACCGCACGAAGCGACGAAGAACTGCAATCGGGATCTCGTTGACGGCACAGGGATGGAAGATGGCAAGGTTAGGAGCCAGAAACTTAAATGGCTAGACAAGGCCACCAACAGAAGAGTTAGCCTCTGAATGCAAAAATGCGTAGTTTAGAATGCGACTACAGGTGGCAGATAATAAGATTTTCCTTTTCCTCGTGTGATTTCCCATTCCTACATAAGCCTATGCGGCAATAAGGTTAGCTTCCATAATAAAAACTAGAGGCTCTACGAAGTGAAGATGTTGATGTAAAAGTGCCACAGATTTAAAGTACCGTAGATGAAAGTCTAGCAAGAATGGCCCACTCAGATTATTTATTGACACCAATCGAACAAAAGCTTGTCTATCCCCCTCATGTACCTTCTTTCGCTAACGCGACTTTAGCAAGATTGCACAATCAGGACAACAAGGCATAAACGATAAATTTATGTCAAGTGCAAACGATTGGCCGCTACAGATTTACAAACCTACGGACCAAAGCCAATAGAAAGTTTTTGTACATATCCACGCATAGACAATCACGGTAATGTTATCCCTCGTGCCTATAACTGGAGTATGTTGCCCACGCAACAGAAATGCGAAAGTAATTGTCAACTGCAGAAACTCAAGAAGGCTCCTAAGAAAGGCAATAAGGGGAAAAATCCTACAAATACCGCCCAGGTCTGAGTAAAAAAGAACTTGACTCTTCATTCAACAAAACATCCAGCTCATCTCACACCTGCGCATCAACCTTCACGATTGCTTCCACCTTCTTCTCTTTTACAAGAACGTTTTCAACAACTCAAGCATAACTTGACACGCAAGACCATCATATTCAAGATGCATTTCCTCAGCAACGCTATCTTGGCGCTTGCCCTCGTTGGCTCTCTTGCTTCCGCCTCTTCCATCCTCCCTACACCATCTCTCACCACCTCTGTCGTCTCTGGCACATCTATTGCCCCTGTTGCCACTGGCCAGGCTGCCCTCAACGCAAACCAGTTGGTCAGTCGTCATGGTATCGATGCTCTCAGGACTCCTCGCCGGGGTAAGGGCTACGTCGGTCACTCAAAGAACAAGGTAGAGCTCGCCAAGCAGGGCGAGCTAGCCAAGAAACTCGTACCCATCAGCCTCCACTGCCCCGATCGCAGGGCGTGCAAGAAAATAGGCATGAACTACCTCGACCCCAAAGTCAACGATGCCGTGCAGAAAGTCACCGTGGAGATGGAGCAAGTCAAGTCTTTCCCCCTCACCATCCAAGTCACCATCTTCAACAACGGTACAGGGCTCATCACCTTCTGGACGGACTTGTCTCCCATCAGCAGCTTTGCCCTTGAGCTCGGCCACTTCCACTTTGATACAGGGGCCGACGCTGTTCAGTTTGGCAAGCGTCTTGTTGGTCCTGATCACGGGTATCGACCAGAATCTTACAGCGACCTCACCGAGGTCCCTGCTGGTAAGTCGGTGAGCGCGTATCTCGAGCTGCCTAGGAACTCGGACAACCCTAGGCTCAAGTCATGGTTCAAGATGCTCGAATTGGCCGGAGACGCCTCGGTGACGATGTCTGGAAGCTGGTATGGTATCTGGGCGGGTACCAAGAAGGACGTCATGCTAACCGACATGGACGACGACTTGGATGGCCGCGACTTCTGGAATAACCTCTATATTCCGTGGAAGGCGGGATTCCCCAACGCGAAGTGGGTGGATGGGAAAGGCCCGGCCATGCGCCTTGACCTTCACAAGTTACATGGCCCCAAGCCCGGCCAATGAGTCATAATCTAGGGTTTCTTCTTATTAGCGTTTAGCTTTAGCAATCAGTTAGTCATTTAGTATAATATCTAAGTTATAACTAGATATATTTTTTGCAGTTAGGACTTGTGGCTAAAGTCTGAAATCAGCGGACAGAACTTGAAACTCAGAGCTTTCTTCCAACATCGAATGCCTTTATCGGCCCAGGACGGTAATCGATTTAATATATCTACTAAGACACTGCGTGAGTTTGAGGAGAGACTACTGCAGGTCAATCTATGGATTGCGATTTAATTTTCCTTGGCAAGAGATGTGCCCAAGGCAATCTAAATTTGGGTATTCAGTATTATCGCATAAGCTAGGCTTGTATTTTCTGTTTCTTTACCTTAGAAAATGGCTAAATTTAGACAGCTAATATAATTGCTATTATTTCCCGAGATAATATTAATTTTTTCACTAACAAAGTCTTGAATACGAAGTAAATAAAGTGAGATTATTGGTGATGCTGAAGTGAGCTCAGTTATAAATGCAGTGCTAAAATCCATAGCCAGGCACCCCTCAATGAACTTGACAATTGTTCTGGACAGTCGTTGGCATCACATCAAGGAAGGTTAGAGTGAAAGTTGATAATGCTTTCATGTTTCATTACGCGAGTGCATGTTGTGTATTTGACTTTTGCTTCTGCCCTTGAAATCGAAATTGTGGTCCATTTTCTCGCGCGACCCGCAGTTTTGCCGATTCTAGACCGCTCCCTGAGCCGCCCCCTTTTTACCTTAATTTAAAACCCCTTGCGTGAATGATATTAATCTCCGGAGCCCCCATCGAGTGTATTAAACTTTATTTAGACTTCATCTATGTCAATAACATCTATAGCATTACTTAGTGGCCATTTTTTGAAGTGAACCGCCGACGGCTCCTTGCCGTAGCGTGGATATGGGCATGCTCTGAAGCCCTGTTTGAGATTTTCAAGGGTCGTCCATTCACTAATCGAGTTGCCTACCCTAGGGCACCACCGCTGGGCGTAATTCGAATGGTGATCTCCTGACGCTCCAGGCTTGGATGAAAAATTGGATCAAATTAGCGCAGTGGGACGCAATATGACATGACAGATGTTGTTGCAATTTGTTAAATGGCTGATGATCCCTTTGTCGACGAGGCAGCTTGTCATTCATCACTTGTATTCAGCGTCAGTGACACCTGTACCCTTTCTCCCAAGCAGGCGGTAGCGCATGCCGTCGTACTTGATTTCGCATTAGGTGCGACACTTCTTGGTTCGACACGGGTCCTTGGCCATAATGAGTGGTATGAGGTAACGGACAAAATCGCCATAATGTCTTTTGTAACAAAGGTGTCCGGGAAATGGCGATACGTATCTGTGAATAAAGGGGCCAATGAACGGAGGCTCGTTCTCTTATACGCGGGGCCGATATATATTTTGTTCTGAACAGTGTTAATTTAACAGTAATCTAGCAGGCATCAACTACTTAAGGGCTGCCGTAGGGGCCAAGAGACACCGAACCCTCGATATACATTCTCCTTCATAGCTCGGAAAGAATCACTTACCCTAAACAATGTTCCGATCCCGATATCAACTTCCGCCGAGGGAAGTCTTGTCCGTGAAACCGCCTTATAGTATCGTCTCATAGAAGCAATGAAGCCTTGACCAGGTTCCCGAGTGATAAAGCATGACTCAAGCGAAAATATCCAACACGCGGGGTGAAGATCAATGTCATTGTCAAGTAGGGCATTAGTAAACCTACCTTCTAGCGAAAGGTGAAAGGTGGCGCGACTTACAAGACAAGTTATAATTGACAGTAAATTCTAGCAGGCTGATTTAGATAAAGGTTTTCAAAAGCCGAACGGCCGAGCTATGAATAAATATTAGGCATATGGATCATCGAGCTTCCAACACCTAGACACAAGAAGCAATTCACCTATGCAATTTTCACTTGTCCTTAATGGTTTTCTAACTCTAGAGTGAATATCCTCAACACATTCGAGGAAAGCTTCAAGATCAAGATAAACCATACCCCTCATTCTTCAGACTCTCAACTCCACGATCACTTCGCTTGCTGCAACAACAAAAGCCTCTGTCTTTCACGCTCTGCCTCAAGCTCCGCCTCATACTTGGCCCAGCACTTCTTACAATCTCTCCAATTTCCAAAAGCCAGGGCTCCGACCTCATAGCACTGCGACGGGTCGCACTTTGCAACTCCGTTATCTACGGCTTTCTGGCAGCGACTAACGGATGTCTCGTCATGGAAGTCCTGGTTACATTTCTGGCATTTCTTCCTAATGATTCTGATCTGGCACATGATTCCGCTTTTAAGTCAGGTCGTCTAATAGGAAACTGTTGTTAGTTTATAATAGCAACGAGGGAGGAGAATTCGGGGGCAACCTTGAGGAAATGGAAAGAGAGAGACTGCGAAGATGGATAGTATTATATACTTGAGATTTGAAGTGAATCACTCATTATTATCATACATTTACAGTGACAGAAACTTTGATACTTGGACAGCCGGTCTGAAACGGACTTCAAATAAACAGAATCATGTCATCAAGAACTTAAGGTCTTGTTTGTGGCAGTACAGCATATTCCGATCATAAGCTTGTTTCTGAATCACTTCCACTGGTGCTAGGGCTATCAGTGCTGAATGGCGTCTGTTTAAGGTTGTGGATTAAAATGAGTTCATTGAAATCTTCTGCGGCGTATATCCGTTAGATTGAGTGATCCATCTTAGACATGGCTGTGTAACAAAATCAGGTGTCAGAACATTCATAATTCACGGCCACATGAACAATTGCCCCGCTATCCCATACGGCTGAATTAATGCAAAAGGTAGGATTTTGCGGTTGGGGGTTTTATATGACAGAGGCCCGTATCGCGGTGAATGGAATATTGTAGATCAAGAAATTGCTGTCGCTTAATTGCCAGTCACGGAATTGCATTGATCTGGTGACATATATTTATTTGCAGACTTTGGCGAACGTAGACCGACAATTGAAAGGCTAGAAAGGCTATTGGAATTGAATAGGGGAGCCCTGATGCCGACAAAACGGGAACCGGGTTTGTTTATTAGTGCCATGCCTAATCATTCTAGCCAAGTCGACTATTGACTCAAGATCCACATTCAATCAATATTACGCTGGCACTATTGATGACTCAGTGCCAACGCTCCAGACACCCAGCGCTCTGTCCGCAAAGCATCACAGCCTCCAATTAAACGACCATAGTATTACGAACATCAAATTAGAAAATGAAAATATCTATTAAATCGCTCTCAATACTATCAACCAAAGACTATTACTCAAGCAATCCATCGGAAGTTGGGGTTCTTCCAATCAAGGTCCTGAATCTCTTGCTGCGACAAACCAGCCAATTCAGCTTCAGCGGATCGACTAGCCCGCTTCCGGTTATCGCGCTTGATCCACCAAAGAGTCGCGGCACCAAGAACAAGGATCGTGCTCGAAGTAGCCAAGTTTAACCCGTTTCCGATGGGGTAGTTGGGCGCGTCACTCTTGACGAAGGACCAGGTGGAGATGAGTCCGCCGATGTTACCGAACATGACTGTGGATAGTTAGTATCTTATCAAGTGTGACAGTGATGTTTTGATGGACGTACCGTTTGTACCGATGGCTGCACTGCGCGCTGTGTCGCTGAGAACATTGGCGCTGATATGAGAATTCGTCAAGGGCCCCAGTGCAAACGCCGAACTGGCCACGAGGAACGTCGCACCATATCTCGCATGCCCATTAGTCGTCCCCAAAAAGATCGCATAGCCCACCATAACCATCGGCGCACAAAGAATAATAAAGATCTGCCTGCGATCAAACTTGTAGCTGATACCAGGAATAAGCACCGTGAAAAAGGCACCGACGATGTATGGCGGCACAGTGAATAGCTGTTGGGAGATAGTGGTTCGTTCGGGATAAATCGTTCGTACAATGGTGGGCAAGAAGAAGGCGAGGCCTTGGACGGTGATATTGTCGAGGAGGAAGATGATGGACGTCGAGAGTGTGAGGGGACTGCGGATGCCGGCGATGATCTTAGCAGTGTCGATCTTGTCGAGGACTTCGGTTGTGCCAAGACGTTCGGCCTTGATGCGGTTGAGGGCGAGGGCTTTTTCTTCTTCGGTGAGCCAGGCGGCTGATTGGGGACGGTCGGTGAGAGTGGCTGAGACATGTTAGCGATAGCAGATCATGAGAAACGGAAAGCTTACCGAATGAGATGATGGACAGGCCGACGGTGATGATACCTTCAATGGCTAGAGGAAAGTCAGTATTTGATCATGCGCCGAGACGTGAGAAGGCTTACCAAAGATCATTTCCCAGCTAGTGAAGCGTCCAAAGTTAGGAAGCTTCAAGATCGCCGACGCCAAAAGACCTCCAAAGGCACCGGCCAACGGCGCCATAACGATATACAACGACAGCCGAAAGGTAAGTTCCGATCGCCTATACCATCGCGACATATAATACGCAATACCAGGCAACATACCGGCCTCAAAAATCCCCAATACAAATCTCACACCACAAATCTGATGGACATTTGATACAAACCCAGTAAAAATAGAGCAGAGCCCAAAACCCAACGATGTCAAGGGGATGAACCATCCGGGACCCATGTATTTGCAGAGAAGATTTGCGGGGATCTCAAAGACAATATAGCTGACGTAGAAGACTGATAGGACGAGATTGTAGTCGGTGCCTGTGAGACCCAGATCTTTTTCTAGGCCTGCGAGGCGGGCGTTTCCTGGCTCGTGTTAATTTCGGAGCATTCTGTGAGTAGCGAAGGGGGGCGCGTACCGATGTTGGCGCGGTCGATAAAGCAGAAGAGATAGAGAAGACAGACGGTGGGAACGATCATCCAGTCGATCTTTCGACGAAGCCGAGCCTCTGCTTTGGGGTCAATGTAGAACTGCGCATTCTCAATGCTGCAATTGGTGAGTCAGCACGTGGTGGTCTAATTGAAACAGAGAGTGCACGGGAAACGCGTACCTCTCGACAGTCGCGCCGGGAGCCTCGGTCATGTTGGACGCGGTATCAGCGCCATTCTGCAATTTCTCGTTCTGCGCGCTGGTATCCATCTTGAGAAGCGGTGATGGTGATGGATGATGCAGAAAAGAAAGTGACCAAGATCGACATTGGTCTCACCCCCTTTATACCCAATCTCTCGATCAGCCTTTCCCCCAGCGCGCGCTCACCTCACTAGCGTCGAGCGGGGTTTGTGTGTCTTATCGGATCCGGGGTACTGGACTAGAGTTGGCCGTTTTGCTTTTCCCTAGGGTACAGAAAATCTGGGGGAGACGGAAACTCTCACAGCTGCCGGCATATGATGTCGGCTTTGCGAGGGACGTGATTGGGTGGAGGGCGGATTAGGGTTCCCCGCGGAGATTGCGACTATGCTAAGGTGAGACTTGGGGCCGTGGGGGGGAGATGCTGATAGGTTGGTGTTCCGAGGAAGATGGGCTGGATTGCTCTGCCTTCCGAGGGATGATGTTGTGCCTAGACTGGTCTATTTTACTGGTGATGCATACTGTTAATCTGAGTGTTTATTTTGATGCGTGTTTGGTGGACCACGTGGTTGGGAGGGAGGTCTGGAGTGATCTCGGTTGAGGGATCGATCGGACCAGTCAGATTGGCTTCCGGCAGCGGACTGGGGTTGTTGATCGGCATCGCAGCTCTGGAACAAAGGGGTTTGGTTTGCTATCCGAGGAAGGCAATGATTCTGTTAACAGATAGGAGATTTTTCGCGAGAGATAGCATTTCAGCGGGAAAGAGTTCTGTTAATTGTGAACATGTCTTGTATCGGGAATTGCAAATTGGCATGTCTTAATTTGCTCATCATGTTGAGAACAAATATTGGTGCCTATCGAAAGGAAATGTATCTCAGAATAAAAGCAAAGACAGCGGAATAAATTATAGTCAGTATCAGATAAGAAAAAAATATTGACTCATTCAGCATCGAAATTATTTAGATGCATAAACAAGAAGAGGAAGGATGTCGCTGCCAGACACTGACGTGCAGGGTATGTTGCCGACCGTCAGCATGAAATGTTGGCCGATGAAAACAAAGGCGGATAAGATAAGGACAAGGATAAGCTTATCTCAGTCCCTGCATTTTATCCCACTAACCTCACTGGACATCTCACCTCAACAGTCGGGTAATTATTTCACCGTTCACTAAGCCAAGATGAGACGCATCCAAGTAAGCCTCCTCAAATCATCTCAACATTCTCATCCCCAGAATTGATAACCTACCAATATTAAAAAATGGAGATAAGATTCAAAGTTCCAAAGACCGCTTCAATTCCGAAACATCCCCCGAAAAACAACACACAGCCCTCAACTCTCGCATTCGTCCAAGTCAACCCCGCCAAAAAAGACAAAGCAGCCCAACGAAAAATCCGCCAACATGTAATGAAAGACATAGGTCTCTCCCGCAGAATGAGTACAGTCCGCACACCTCATCCAACAAGCGAGTCAATATTTATCCCGACATACTGGGGCGACGCGCAAGTCTGCTACAACTTCCGACGATTATTTCGGGCGATGGACATGGTGTCGGAAGGACTGCTATCAATAGCTATTGTCGATCCTGTCTTGAGATTGAGGCAGAAATTAACGGCGACCTTTGAGAGTCCGCCGACGTTGGAGGAGATACAGCAGTATACTGAGTCGTTGAGCTTGGTGAGGGAGGGGATCGAGGTGGAGAGTAAGGCTAGTGAGAATGCTGTTATCGGGACAGTTATTTGTCTGGCGACTTTTGATGTAAGTCACTGAAATTGTGTTGAAGTTTGATGTTAGCTAATGAGGTAGATGCGCGCTGGGAATTCGCAATCGTGGATGGTTCACATGGCAGGGCTGGAAAGAATAGTTGAAATGGCTGGGGGAGTTAAAGAACTGGACTCACGCCCCGCTATCCGACAATCTCTGTTCATGTAAGTCTCTCCAACTTTCTATGTACTATGCTTACTAACCCCTATAGTTGCGACCTCCTGGGCTCAATGGTAGAAGACGCGGAACCGAGATTTTGTCTACCACTAGATTTACCTACATTACCCGAAGCTACCAGGTCCCGATATGTCCAAAAGCTTCTAGCGTCATTGAGAAGTGACGAGCAACGGATACAAGAACAAATTGCCGTCATCGATGGCGCTCTCACATCCACGAACCAAGTCGCCGTCTTACTAAATGAAGTATGGCTTGTTAGTCCATTCGCGCTTGATCTCCTCATTCCAGTATGCGCCTTGGCCCATCAAGTCTTATCACTACCAAGAATGAATTCTGTCTTGAAACGGAATGGATCATCATATGCGACATCTACTGAAATTCTCGCAGAGATAGTGCGCGTCTCGGCTGTTTCTTTATTTGCATTGGTAATGACACAGTCATCTGGTGATGCACTATACGTTGCATCAAGAAGGAATAATTCAGTAAGACAACTTATGGCGCAGTTAGATGAAAAGTTCTGGAAAGGAAAGGAGGAGCTGAAACTTTGGGTGTTGGCTATTCAGGTCTGTATGGGTGTTGGTTCTTCAAAGCCCTGGTATTTGGATCAGATCACTCAGACCATGACGTGCATTCACCTACGATCATGGGAGGGCTTGATGGACTGTTTGCGAAAAGTGGTATGGGTTGAAAAGGTTTCTCCACTAGAAATGACGCATCTTCGGTCTGATATTGGAGAATGGCTCTCCTAGTATCATCACTTTAGGTGGCGGTCCCAAGAGCCTAGTAAGTGACGCCGCCATTAACACCAATGTACTGCCCCGTAATCCATCTAGATTTCTCTTGAACCAACAAAAGAACAGCATCACCGATATCCTCAGGTGTTCCAGGTCGATCAGCAGCCCTAGTAATATCAACCTCCTCCTTCATCAACTCATCCTCCTGTCCCTTGGGATAGAACTCCGTCCTCACAGGACCCGGAGCCACAGAATTGACAGTGATACCCTTACTGCGACCAAGCTATTCATGTTCGTTAGTGTCCATCGTAAATAGTGTATGGGCGGTACTCGCCTCTCCGGCCCACGTCCATGTCAAGCTATCAAGAGCGGCTTTGGAAGCTGCATACGCAGAGACGGCGACGTTTCCTCGCTTGGCGTTGGTGGAACTGATGTTGATTATGCGGCCACCGGGAGGCATGTGAGCAATGACGTAGTGGACCATGTAAAACGCTCCAAGAACATTGAGCTGGAAGACTTTGGTCAATTGCTCCACGTTTGGTTCCTCAGTAATAGGACAGAAAAATGCAGTCGCAGCATTGTTAACTACACCAGTCAGCTCCGAAGCAGAGTTTGCACGAGCAACCCACCGAGAATGTCAATCTGATCCGTCCCAAACCCCTCAAGGGCCTTGTCAACGAGATACTTTGCTCCTTCAGTAGTATCGACTGAAGCTTGGATAGCTATAGCCTTTCCTCCTGCCTCGCGAAGCATGGTGCAAACGTTCTCGGCGCGGTCCTTGGAGGAGTCGGAGACGTAGTTTACTGCGACTGAAGCTCCGTTTCGAGCGAGGGCGAGGGCAATACCAGCGCCAATGCCGTTTTCACGGCCTGAGCCGGTGACGATGGCGACTTTGCCTTGGAGAGTGAGGGTATCAGGCATGATGGAATTATTTAAGAAGAAAGAGTCTGAAATTCTTTTGAAGCTTGTAAAGAAGATGCTGTCGATGTAGATATGGAAAGACTGGGAGCTCGCTGGGTATTTATACCTCTCAAAGCCATATCAGCAACTTTCATCCGAATGGTGAAGTCGGACTCCGACGGGGTGTCGTCTAAGACAAGACATCACGGCAGCCTATCATTGACTCTGAAAAAGTTCGTCACTGAGTTCCCGAGTTATCCGCTGGCAAGGCTAGTCTAGGTTGTTGAGTTGAGAATTTCCTAATTAGGGAAATGGTGTTTATTGCCCCACCGTTCCTCTGCGGGACACGAATACTCAACTGACCACTAATGATACAAACTCTGAGCTTGAGAAGAAGAAGGATTGCTTTGGTCTCGTTGCGCCTGATGTATCGGGAACCTGAGCTTTGGCCAGGGCTTTAACTCGCTACTGGAAACGACCCGGGTAACTAATTCATCCCTCAACGACAATGGCAAGCAAATCATAGTCTCCCTGATATTATCTAATTACCTTAAAAGATAATTTATCTTTATAATTATCTTAAAGCTTTAAATTTTAGTTATTTTAAAATTAAAATATATATTAATATATATTAACATATATTTTATATATTATATAAGATATTATACTTAAACTACCTTTATTATTATTATTATAACTTATACTAAGTAATAAATACTAGAATGTATTTTTAGATATATATATACCCGTAGTCAGTCTTTCTCATAAGTACGGAAGCTTGTCGGACATGAAAGGTTGTACCCTCTAACGGCCTTTTAAGATTTCACACGCCACGTAACATCGTCATCTCTTGGATGAAGGGAAAGTCTGATATATCGTCGGCCGCAAGCGAGTTCAACTGGCGCTACCGCACAGCATACTGTACTGCTATCTGCTATCTGCCATCTGATTCCAATTACCTCTGTACTTCTTAGTCTGGACACTGAGATCGGGTGAGAAGCGTGTGGTGGAAGTTGGTGTGGTTGATAGAGCTGTCCCTTTAAGGCTATACTGAGACCGTCTACCTATTGGGTAGCGCTGGGCAGGTATTTGTCGTGCCAGGATCTAGTACATGCAGTATAATGCAAAGCTTAAGTTGACGATGGGTTAGGCGTATATATTTGCCTACGATGATGAGTCGGTCTGTGAATGGACAAGCGAGTTGGAGCGATCACCTACCTCCAGTTCTCTGCAGTTTGCTTATCACATCGGAGAACGCTCTTGGGAACCTGAAGGGAGTAAGGGGCTACTCTGACAGGCCAGTGAAGTTACTTATGTTTAAGTTCCATTTGTGCATCGCAAGTGCCGATGTTCATATCAACAGTCGCTTCTCGCCCTCTTTTGTACCGGCACTGGCAGCATCTGTTAGCCATATCGGGATAGCAGTCACTGTCTCCTCTAACAGTGTCAACCACTATCCTCATCTCAGAATGACAGTGGAAGATTAGAGTTACGGCTATTTATTGATTTCGAATTCCCAGGACTTTCATTCCTACTTTCTTTCTTCTCAACGAACACTTTACTTTCCCTTCTATGAACAACTTGCCACCTCTCAATACATCACACTCTCCAACCAACACTTGATCTACCTTCAACCGGTCCTGCTTACTGTACAAACCGCAATCATGTGTACCGTCGTCCATGTCACACTCTACTGCCGACGATGCGGTGCGCGAACTGGAGGTCATGACGAGCTGGTGAAGTGCATGCAGCGTCGTGTCGGGGGCATGGGGCCTCATCGGCGCACTGCTGAGGAAAACCGCACTTACAACACTAACTGGACCAACTGCACCGCATGCATGGAGGAATACGAAATGTATCAGTATTGTGTCAGCCGGGGTATGCCGTACATGACTCCTAATCCCCCCTTCAACTAATGGACTTACCGTCTAATGGAGATGGAAAACGTGGAGCTGGTATGTTGTGGTACAGAAAGGTGACGGTGTATCAAGAACGAATATAGCCCGACTCGGATGAAGATACCAACAGCGGCTTGACAGCATGAAAAGAAAAACACACCAAAAAAAGACGAAAATTTAAAACCCGGAAAAAAAAAGGACAACCCAAAACTGATGCGAAATCAGCAAAGACATAACTGACAGGCACACAACAGAGGCGAGGATTTCTGATACTAAAGACGAAAACACAAAAAAAGGCAAAAAATATAAAACCTGACCAAAAAAAAAGCAACTAACAAAAAAAAAGGTACTGGAAGTGGAGGGAACATCTTTTAGACCAGAAAATAATAAAATACAAAAAAAAGATTAAAATAAAAGTAAAGGTCTCTTGATCAAAGTGCTAAGGGTGCTCGATGTTTGTGAATGCTGCTGGTAGATGATCTCGAATGTTGCTCCTGTTCTTGTGTTCAGCTAGACCTCTGACCTCATTCTAGTCCCTTGGCCTCTTAATATCAAGTAGAGTTCTGTCACACCGCTAAAGAAGCCTATAGATCACGAAAAGGGAATCGACTTGATATAGAATAACCAAACGATGCCGCAGCGAGTATCAGAAAACCTTTGCCACACTCTCTGAAACAATCCTGATGTTGTGGACATGCCCAGCTCACTATATGAGTCATGGTCATCAAGATCTGTTTCCTCGCATCTCCCCAATTCATAGGCTCTACTCACTGGCTGAATGACCACCTATCTTGAGTTACACATCAAGCAGCACAATATCCAGGTTAACCAGTACATCTAAAATTTCCTTTTGTGTCAGGTATTAACAACGAGGGCGGTTCTGATAGCTGAATACCTTACGCGCTACCCCTGAGACGAGCTGTGTCGGTGAACGCCCATATCAACAGCGCCGGTGTTCAAATGTACATTTGAACAGTCTTCACTCCTAAAAATCTCATTTGGTCTCCCCTGTTCATGTTTTCTTGATTAACGGCTGACTCTTTATAGTAATTCACGGACTTGATCTCGTACGTCATCGGCTTCCTTGGTAGATGTCGCTGCTAACAATCAGACAAGCAATTAAACATGAATAGAACGCGGAGTGCGGGATTTGCATCCTGTGTTAGACTTTAATTGAACCATAAATCCTGTGGATTCTGATTGGCGCTGATCAGCACCAGCACGTCCAAACAACATGGATCAATCCCGGTATATACTGGGGCTCAGCACCAACAACACAACCAACAGTGTTTCAAGACAACCAACATCTGCACGTTGTCGAACCAGCCATGACTTTTTAGGTAGATAAGAACGCGGTGCGCCTCCTGTTTGCTGACCTGTCAACCTGCTTCTCTTCAATTTCTTTTTTCCATCCGTTACGGTGAAGGAGCAAAATATCGCCTTGTGTTCCGCCCCAATTCACCCATGATGGTTCTATTTGCCAAGACAGCTATCTTATTGATTTCAGTTCTCGGTCTTACTGAAGGCTTCACGAATAATCCACCCAACTTGCCACCGCGTGCAGGAAAACGTACCTACCGTGGATGTTATCGCGGCCTGTCAGACACAACCGACCCAGTCGTCAAGGTCAAAGGCGACAAAACCAAGAACACATGGACTGCCTGCGGCCAATACTGCCTCAGAAAAGGCAAGCCGATGGCTTTGGTACAAGGCGCAGACTGCTACTGTTCAGAAACCATACCAAACCGTCGCAAAAGTGTCGGAGGCTTCGGCCATTACTGCATGGACCCTTGCCCAGGCAAACCAACTGATCTTGTCGCTTGCGGCAGCGAAAGGTTTGGAAGTTACAGTGCTATCAACACGGGTCTCAAGAGCGAGCTTATACCTGATCAAGATCCGTTGCCTGGCGACCCGATTCCAGATTGTCTGGGCTGCACGTTCAAGTTACCCAGTGATGCCGTGTTCATTGGTGAGGCCAGCGGCGTTGAAAGCTGTCGGGGCGCTTGCAGAGATCTGAAGTCGAAGACGTTGATGATGTATGACAAGCAGTGCGTTTGCACGAACGCTACTGTTTCGGAACATGCTCTCGATCGCGTCCCAGAGGAACTGTGTTCCATCCGATGGGCTAAGAAGCCTTGCGGTGGATATTCGTATTCTCTTCGCTCTGCGCTTTTCAGCGTATATGACGCGAGTGAGCCCGAGAAGCCTGCACCTGGAGGAACTACGTCGCCAGGCACCCCATTGCCTACCGACTCCCAGCCTGCCCAGGCCACTGGGCAGACATCTTGGGGTTCAATTGGAAAGATTATAGAAGATGTGGAGATGGAAGTTCAGCTCCAGTTGTTGATGCTTGAGGGAGATCTTTGGGAGATTTTTGCATGGATGGGTCGCCTCATGACAAAGCTGGTAACGCCAAGGGAAGGACATGAAAATGACGATCGAGAGCTTGACTTACAGTGATATTCTGCTAGACGATCTAAAGATTGTAAAACTCAATGCCTGGAGGATCCAGTACATACAACTCATAGCCAGAGTCAGGACGAGGATTCGAGGAATGCCATAATTCGATTGACTCCTCTTGATAAAGCCAGTTTCATTCAATCAAGACTTACATTTACTTGAACGCCATATAAATCTCGGATTTCGCTCCGAACTCTATGTTTCGCACGGGAGAAAAAAGATGTTTGACAATAATGAGAATTGGCAAAAGAATGGTTCCGCCCGGGATCGAACCGGGGACCTTCTCGGTGTGAGCGAGATGCCATAACCAACTAGACCACGCAACCTTCATTTGATTAGTCATTGGGAGAAGGGAGCGGCTACTGCCTGACATGATCGTGCGTGACTCTTGAGCGTTTTACTTTTATAATAGCCATGGACAGGCTATAGGCATTATGTGAGAACCAGACGTGAGAAGAGTGAAATAAACGAACCGCGCGAAACATGAAAATTACCCATCGTAAACCCAGTGTGCGTTGCAACGGCGATTGGCTTATCGATGAGTGGCCAATTACAGGTGGGGCTAATCGAGTTCTCAAAATGAACATGCGATTTCCAGGGTAAGACATGAATCTAAAGAGAGCGACAATTTAATGAGCAACTTTGCATAAACAACATATCTTTCTGTTACATTAAGCCTTGACTGTGTATTAACGTTGACAATCTGCCTTTATCATGGCCGACTCACGACCCGTCGAAAAAACAGCATGCTTTATCGCAACATGCCATCTGTGCTGACGTCACGATTTTCCGTGTCGTCGTGGCAGCTTCAAATTTATTGCTTCTGACCTCACTCCGGATATGTCACTTCTTTGAGGAATCATGAGAAACATAATACTTATTTGTCTTGTGTACATCCTTCCATAACCATTTACCTATACAGTGTGTAGGAGCTTACAACTCCTCGTCAGCCTCAGGCTTTGACCTAACAAAGTCAGGCTTGGTGATAACATCATTATCCGCATCCTTGATTCTGTCCCAGAACTTGGCAGCGTTCTTTGGATCATCCGCAAACAGTGTATCAATGACCTGCTTCTTTGGTGTCTCACCCATCCACTTGAACAGCGAAATATCTCTAAACTCATCCGACCTAAAGATTTCCAACATCTCAATAGGCTCATCTCCAATATTCTCAACAAAGTGTCCCATGTTCTTGGGGACGATGCCAACATCACCGGGAACGTAGTCAAAGGTTCGGGCGTTGCCTTCAGAAGCAAAGATAGTCACGCGGGCGCGTCCCTTGATAAAGAATGACCATTCATCAGCGGAAGGATGCCAGTGCATCTCACGAATGGCACCGGGCTCAATGATAGCGTGGGCTGCAGCCACGGTCTTGGAGATGGGGAAGTTCTTGGAGTCGGTGATGCGGACTTGACCTCCGCTTGTCTTGAGAGGCTCTTGGTCAAGCATGCGGTGGGTGAAGTTGAACTTGGACTTCTTGGCCTTCTTTCCCTTGGGGGCTTCATCTCTGATGGGGCCAGGAGTGCGGCCTTTGAAGATGTACTTCTCGCTCTCGGGAAGACGAGCAAAGACCTCAGGATCCAAGTCAAAGTTCTTGGCAATCACAGACTTGGGCGTATGAGCTACTCGTGTTAGTTTCGAGTGTCCCAGAATCAGGTAAAAACGTACCGAGCCAATCTGTGAGAACAAAGGTCGATTCCTCAGAAAAGTGACCATTGTCAAAGATGAGGAGGAATTCCGTGCCGTTTGGGCTCAGACCCTGCAGGGAGTGAGGAACTCCGCTGGGGAAGTACTGCAGGTTGTTAGATAACGATCAGCACAGAACCCGCTTACTTACCCATAAATCGCCCTTTTGCAAATCATCAATGAAGTTTCCGCCTTCATAATCAAGAGCCGTAACTCTGACTTCTCCATCCAGCACGTAGGCCCACTCGGCCTCCTGATGCCAGTGAAGTTCGCGATAAACGCCTTCACCGAGACGCATATTCACGCCCGCAAGCTCAACACTCGTTGGCAGCTCGCGAATGGTGGTCTGACGGGTCCAGCCGCCCTCCTATTCTCAAATCAGCAAAAGGTTCTGCACATCACATGAATCTGCACGAACCTCGATGCGAATATGCGAGTCCGCAAAACTCCAGCGCATGTTGGCCAGATTTCCATGATCAGTGCTAGGTGGTCTAACGAGATCAGGATTCTGACGCGAGCGCGCCTCATTCCACGGTCCCAAAACAGAAGCTCCGAGACCGTTGCGCCAGGGCAGAGGATCAAGCTCGTCGCCGACAGAGTCGACGGGCTTATCAATTGGGTCTCTGTGACCCGGCGTGAACGGCACTTTCTTGCCGCCCGTCACACCGCGATAGTTGGGTGGTAGTCCCAGACCTTTGAGGAGCCTCTGGCGAGGACTGTCCTCTACGGGGACGCCCGCGCAGATGTCCAAAAGGGCTGCGAGATAGGCAAGGTGAGGGAGATGCATATTTGCGGGGCTGCCACAGACAGGTTACAATTGACTTGTTGATTAAACAAAAAGGAGTGCTAATTTGGGCAGGATGAGTATTTGGTTGACATTGATGAACGATGGACTGGGGGCACCAATTGCTCAATGTCTCTCACGTTAAGTAGGCTTCTCAAAGTTGAGCGTAAACAACGCCAAGATAGAGCGCCAAACGAAGTTCATGACGCCGAGAAAGCGATCGCCGGCGAATCACCGAGTTACGTCTAGTTTGGTATGCAATCCCGTCTGGGGTAACAGCGCATGATGGTGATGACTGCCGTTTGCCAATGCGGGGCTCGGTTATCCGGCACATAGCCCCCTCCAGGTCAAACAAGTACGCAACCCTGCCTACGTGTTATTGCACTATGTACAACTCTCTGAATATGTCTGTGTGCGGCGTAACACTAAGCAAAATGCAACGAGCTTCTCAGGGCGTTGCGAGCGCTTACAGGCTTCCGCGTAACCTGTTAGGGTGTGATCAGCTCGAGCCGTATACTCAACGTGGTAAGAAGGAGGGGAAGGGAAGATGGTGTGTAAAGATGACGCCGTGATAGCGTGGGTGCATTGGATCAAAAGAAGAATCCGGGATGTGGGGTACGTTGTAAGCCGGAGATAAAACTAGACCCGGGATTTGACGAGATTTCCCCGCTTATGCCAAGAATAGTGCCCCTGCCCTGCAAGTAAACGATCGGGAGAGCGTAAGCCAAGCCTATCTTTTAAGCACGGAGCTAAGCTTGGCTTTGTTTGAAACCTTGTCTTAGCTCGGTGAAGACGCGGAGTCTGGGGGAGAAACCAGGCCCCATTTCGTTGATCTTTTTTGCTTGGCTGGTGCTTCGCCTTTAATCGTAGTTTACACCTTGGCAATTTTCGTTTATTTATGCCCCTCTTCTAACCGACGTTACAAAGAAACGCATATCTCGAACCACTTTCACATCATCCAACAGACACAAACACACAGCAGCAGCAATCTCACCCCAATGTCTCAACCCTACGGCGCAATCACCAACGGTGAGAGCAGAGCTGAAAACGGCATCTCCGCACAGAGCGATGAGACGCAGGCTCTGTTCGCTCCAAAACCAGGATCTAGATCTTGGTTGCGCAAGAGATTAGGTTCTGATGTCCGCCGAGATTGGGCTGATGTTATGCTTCTGGCGTGCTACATCATAACAGGCATTCTCGACAGTGCTTCCATATCAACATGGGGTGCCTTCGTATCTATGCAGACCGGTAAATCCTTCCCATTGTTTCAATCTGATCTGGTCTGACCTGATATTGGTAGGAAATACTGTTTATCTTGGTCTTGGACCTACGGCTGGGACTAATCGTTGGAAAAAGTCTGGATCTTCGATTCTGGCTTTCTGTATCGGTTCATTCTTTTTTAGCCGTCTGCACAGGGTATTTACACCCACGCCTAGACGAAAATGGGTGTTTTGTTTGTCCTTTGGCATTCAGACAGTTTTCATCGTTGCAGCTGCTTGTATCGTCACCTGGGGCCCTAAAGATGCAGGTCCAGATGATACACCCTGGTATGTCATTGTGCCAATAGCTCTCGTGGCGTTTCAAAGCTGCGGACAAGCTGTTGCGAGTCGCGCACTCAAATTCAACGCTTTGACTAGTGTTGTTCTCACGAGCATCTACTGCGACTTGTTCTCCGACGCGGAACTATTCGAGAGCGTTTTCGTGAATGCGGAGAGAAACAGGCGTGTTGCAGCACCGGTTCTGCTCCTCATCGGCGCTATAGTTGGAGGACTCATTGCGAAGAGCGAGCTGGGGACTTCTGGTGCGCTGTGGGTAGCCGCTGCACTCAAGATCACAGTCATGTTTGGTTGGGCGGCGTGGCCTACAGAAGAGGGGTCTTGAACGGGTTATCGGTCCTACTGGTGTGATTCGACAATTCGCTGTTTGACAGGGTTCTATCTTTAGAGTCTAGACCTTTTAGTAGTACACCAGAGCACTTTAGGAAGCTCTGAAATTACAAAGCTGATGCACGGTATACGCCACGTTATGACTCGTGGTATATACGCCTCTTTCTTGGTATCCTAGTCATGCAGGCTTTCATCCCATGTCCAAGTCCAGCCCCTGGGTCCCGTTTCAAGCAAAGTTGTATTGATGTAACTTCCACCACTGATCTTTACCCTCGGGCTTTATTAGGCGTCGATCTTGGTACCCCCATCATCATGTGGTCAGCGGACATGTTTGTCCCCCCTGGCACGCAACCCTCCCTGGCCCGGCTAAGCGACTCCGGCAGAAGCCCAAGGTCAGCTTACTGGCTGCTAACACCGCCGTGTAAGCATCCTATGTGATACCTTTGGTCGAACTCAATTGAATTGATTTGCTCTCGGATTGAATGGATATCTGTCGGTGTTCGGTATCGAGGCACATCCTTCTGTCGATGATTCCTGCATGGGGATATACGCCCGTCAGACAGAGTGTCGCATTTATATACCTACCCAATCCGCGATGCAGTGGTGATGAGGGGAGGGTGTACGGCGAATGGTCACCGGTAGAG